ATCTATCTATCTATCTATCTATCTATCTATCTATCTATCTATCTATCTAATTAATTAATTTTATTTTTATTTGTCAATTGCTTACAAGATAATAGGTATAAGTAAAAACATAGTTATGAATACATGGATACATATAAGAAAAATAATAATAAAAAATATAAAAGAAACAATAGGACAGGGACAGTAGGCACGTTGGTGCGCTTATGCTACTCAACTTCTAGCCAAAAGAATGTCTTAGAAAATGTACTGTAAGGTAACCTACTTTATATAAGAGGAAAAAAAAAACCTGCTACAAACTTACAATAGACCCCCCCCCAAAAAAAGATACTTATACCCCAGTTCTGGTGTTCCAACTGCATTTAAGATGCTTAGTAACTGGCTCACTTTTAAGATACGGTTGCAGCATTCTATGGTCACATGATGCAATTTATGATTTATTTATTTTTACTGGAAACAGGCCCTTTTAGCTGGTTTCTGAAAAAAAAATCATAGGAATGCATTAACTTGTTTAATAACCATGGAATTCACTTAATAACCACTGCCAAAGAGGTTGTAAACCAGTTTGGTTTAGTAGTCAAGGAATGGGGTAAAAACTAAAAGTCAGATGGGTGACTTTGGGCCAGTCACATTCTCTCTCTTCCCATCTTTTCTCACAGAGCTGTTGTGAGAAAATTAGGAGGAAGGAGAAATATTAGGTATGTTTGCTGCCTTGAGTTATGTCTAAAAATAGTAACGGCTGGGTGTAAATAATACAGTTGGTCATGAGGGTGCTCAACTTAGTGTTTCTCGTGACACATGATGAAAATTCTGGGCTCCTTTAAGGTGAGAAGTCAAGGATGAAATAATAAAGCATATGGAAAAGTTGGAAATCTGTGTGGTTTTAACCACTTTTTGCATCTACCCTTTGAACAATTGGAATATAAACTTATATTGTGTTGCCTGGCTTAATGATTGCTCTCAGAGATGATTACATGCTCAGATAAACTTTAAGGTGTAAGCAAATTATTAGGAGTCATAAAGTTCAAAGAGCCAAACAGAAAAAGGCAATGATAAGTGAAATGGGTCATCAGTTTCCTTGCCTTGTTCTATCTAGATTATACTGTTGTCTCTCTGCTGGGCTAAGAAAAACAAACTTTCATACTGAATGTTTCTGTGTTCAGAAGCATTTTGAATTTGAACTATTTTAAATTTGCAGAGCTTCATTTTGAGTTTAAAGCAGCTGTTTTTGCATCTGGAGGATGTGCTTTGGTCAGCTTGGAAATATCTTGAATTATTTCAGCATTCCACTCATTTTTGTTCATCCCATAAATTGCCTTGTCCAGATAGTGCCTTGACATAGAATCAAATGCAGGTTGAATTTGAGGTGTTCCTTTTAATTTTGAATAACTGTAAGCCCTTATATTGCAAGCTAATAAACTTCAGTTTGGTTTAATTGAAATTATAAATTTAGTTCACAATCACTTTTCTTATAAACTGGTCTAAACTAAAGAAGACGGAAAACTGAAAAGCCAAATCTAAATTAGTCTTCGGAAACTAATTGCATATTAAAGCATTTTTATTTAAGCAAGTCTTTGTGGAAGCAGACATGAATGCTAAAATTCTGAGACATACTGGACATTGCCTTTTATTCATTGTGTTTTAATATGTTTATGTATCTAATTGTGTTTAATAATAGGGCTCCATTGTTTGGTTAGTCTTTGAACATATTTGGGAAAAAGGCAGGATATAAATTCCATAAATGAACAAAGCCAGCCTTTTCAATGAGTTGTGTGGTTGACCAAGATCGAAAGCTAGCATTTAGTCATGAGAATCAGAGGCAGGAAGCAATTTGGTCTCGTTCAGGAAGTGGTGACAATGTATATTTCCAATACTTCATTTGTGAAAACAAAAACCATCCACATAAAGAAATTTCATCCAAATAAGATATTAAGAATAAGGTTTTCCTGTAAATAGTTGCATATACACATTTCCTCCTTTTCCTTTTGACCCCCCCTCCCTTTCTGACATTAAAACCATTAAACTAAACTTGGCAATGCGACTGTCTTAAATGGTTGTAATGCTTCTTTAACATTTTAACCAGCTCAATCACTTAAGTAAATCAGTGGCTGCAAGTCTCTAACCTTGTTATAGAGTAACTTAATTCTTTCTAATGGTCTCTGTGTAAACCAGCTTAATTATTCCTAATTGTCAAGACTGCTTCTTCTCTATTCATCTACTTTGTGGAGGCAGGTTCTAGTAGAGCCTCAATACTCATGGATAATACTGAGCAATTTCATAAACTAGAAGTTACTAACACTTAGAACATTAGTATTAGGGGCTGAAGCAAAGAAGCACTTTGGAGTAGGGTGTAGATGTGTGATTTGCTGTATTTGTCTGTACTTCCTTAAGGTAGCCTTGACTGTTTTTTGGCCTTGTGTGGGAGCTATATGGAACCAGAATGGCAGATATTTAAATTAAAAATTAAGTGCTGACAGAGGGCCAGAAACCTGTTTTTCTAACTATCAAGTTGCTAACAAGGCTCTAAAAGGTGTTTGCCTCCTTAGACCTACAGTTAGCCACACGAAGACAGTTCCACAAGAGACCAAAAACTCTGATTCTTCTTCTACGTTCTTGTAAATGTAATTCTCAGCTTTCAACAACAAACTTTTCTAAGCAGATGTCTGAGTGAATAATTCACTTTTACAAGCAGTAGCATGATAGATGTTATCATAATAGATATTAGATGTCTAAAAAGCTGTCTTTTGTTGATATAAATTTAAAACAGTCTTTTAGGAAGGTGTTGAGAAATTATCTGAAGATAATGATCCACTGGTTGAGCTTCCTGTTTTAAACTCTTTTTCTCCCTGTAAATTTCATCATCCCTGTTAATTTAGCAGTAAAAATTAGAGCAGTAAAGTTCATGATTTTACTTAATTTTTGTCTTCCTACTATTACAGTGCTGCAACAGTTCATTTAGTGACTGTTTGAAGGTAGAGCGGCACTGAAAAAAGTGACTTATGACCATTTTTATACACTTCTGATTTTTCACACTGCAGCATCCCCATGGTCACATGATTTACATTCAGATGCCAGACAACTGACTCATATTTGTGACGGTTGCAATGTCCCGGAGTTATGTGATCCCCTTTTGCAACCTTCTGACAAGCAAAGTCAGTGGGAAATCAGATTCACTTAACAACCGTGTTACTAATTTAACAACTGCAGTGATTCATTTAAAAATATGGCAAGAGTCATATTTGGGGCAAAACTCACTTAAGAAATAATCTCCCTTAGTGACATCAATTTTGGGCTCAATTGTGGTCATAAGTTGAGGACTACCTGTACTACTTTTCTAAACATTATTTCTTGAATGTCTTAGGTCATTGCTTTGCAGATTCCTTCTTTTCTTTTGTAGATGTTCTGTAGAGCATTGTACAGATAATCCTTGGCTTAACAATGGTTCATTTAGTGTTGGTTCAAAGTTACAACAGCAATGAAAAAATTGACTTATGACCAGCTTTCACACTTGCAGCAATTGCAAGTGTCACCTGATCAAAATTTAGATGCTTGGCAACTAATTCATATTTATGACCGTTGCAGTGTCCCTGGGGTCACGTGATTCCCCTTTTAAGACCTTCTGACAAGCAAACTCAATGGGGAAGCCAGATTAACTTAACAATCATGTTACTAAACCTAAATGGTTGAAGTTTGGACTGTTCTGAGATTATGCAATGACTGAAATAAACTTCGGACAGTGTTGGTGAACCTTTTCGGCACCAAGTGCTGAAATGGGAGCACATACATGTGGGCATGGGAGTGTCAGAAACCGGAAGAGCAGCTCCCCGGTGCACATGCTGGGAAACTGAGCTTCCGGTTTCTGGCACGCATGCATGCACGAAGACCAGAACCCAGAAGAGCAATGGGCAACAGCTGGTGTGCCCGGAGAGATGGTTTTGCATACCATTTCTGGCTTTCATGCTATAGGTTTGCCATAACGGCCTTAGGAGATTGTGCAATGTAGTGAGTTCTGTGTCTTCTGCTAAATGGTAGTGGGTTAATCCTATTATGTCCTGAAGGGTCGTGTCCTCTTCTTCTTAACCCTATCACCCTGGAGCCGAAAGTCTTTTGTTTTGTAGATCAGGGATCCCCAACCTTTTCGACGCCGCGGCCCGGTTCCGGCATCAGCTGGGCGCCGCGGCCCGGTACCGGCGTCAACTGGGCGCCGCCATCTTTTTATGACGAAAAGGCGCTTCCGGTGACGTCACCGGAAGCGCTGTTTCGTCAAAAAAGATGGCGGCGCCCAGCAACCAGCGGCCCGGTAAGGCTTGTTCCGCGGCCCGGTACCGGTCCGCGGACCGGCGGTTGGGGACCCCTGTTGTAGATAGTCTGGCCCTGTCTTTCTTAATGGGCACAAAATATCTGCTGGGGGCGAGGGGCTATTAAGATTGAGTCTGCTTCCTGCCTCTAAAAAAACATGTTTCTCCATTTCTCATTTAGGGAAATACAGTATTCTGCCTTTTTTAAATATACCTCAAAATATTTCATTCTTCTAGGAGGAAGGGTGATGGCTTCCCACACATGGGATCTAGAATGTAAGAGGCACAGTTAGATCCAGTTGTGCTCTTCTTAGTGGCTTCATATACCTGGAGGAACAAGAAGCTTTCCCTAATTGAATGGAGCTTGTTTGGCTTGAAATATCAATATGCATTTTCCTTCTTTTTCAGATTTAATACTGTGTACAAATGACATGAACGTAAACATCCCACAGTTGGCAGACAGCCTATTCGAAAGGACAACCAACAGTAGCTGGGTAGTAGTCTTCAAATCTCTCATCACAACTCACCATCTCGTGGTTCATGGAAATGAGGTAACACCTGCTTCTCTTATACTTCAATTAGTGCCTGTGAAACATGCTGGACCCCCGTTTCCTATAATTACCAGCAATTATGGCCAGTTGCTAGGCCTGGGAATATTGCTTTAGAGATACGTGTGGGTCCTTTTTCTCTCCCTGGTGGCTTTCTTTTCCATCAGGGAGTAAAAAAAATACTTCAAAAATAATAAATAAGACAAAGAAAGGGCTAGCAAATACATGTTGGAGAGCAAAACACCAGAATAGATCACAATCCAATTTACATACGAAGGAAGACTGGTATATTTTGGTATCACAAGTGTATTTGCACCTTAAGTTTAAAAGTGCTAAGTCTGCTAGTTTCAAAACAAAAAGCAGCCTGAAGGACATTATATTTTAAATGATACTTGTTAGTTATTATATGATTAAACCATGGTAAACAAAAGAGGGGACAGGGTTCAGGAAAAACAGTAACTTTGAAAAATTGCTCATCCATAATTTCTAAAGATATACAGACTTAGCAACATCATATACTGTATAATATGAAGGTAACCATATATGTTAATCATGTACATAATTCTATACAAATTCATCTGAGAAAATGATGTGTCTTACGCTCCTTGATTTTAAGTATTTCTGCCGGCTGTATATTTTGTGTCCATGTACATGCACCTATGGTTCTTGGTAAGTGATCCCTTGTCTCTTTATCTCTAAAGGAGATATTTAAGTATACCCTCATCTTGAAAGCCAAACTGGTAAAACTTTACATGGGTGCTTTAGGTTGATTCCTACTTCCACTCAGTTTTTATGTTTAGTTCAATCTTCATATACTGTTGGGGGGAAAAAAAGATGAATTTTGAAATCTCTTAATGCCACTACATATAGTCCTCGACTTACAGTTGTTCGCTTAGTGACCAATCAAAGTTATGGCCTACCAAAAAAAAGGGAATTATAACATGTTTCTGAAGTTCTGATGGTCATGCCACCCTGCTGTGCAGTCATGTGACTACATGTTGGGTGCTTACCAACTCGGCCACATTTGCAGCATCCTTCAGTCACATGACTGTGTTTTATGACTGTTTTGCCAGAAATTGACAGCTGTAGCAAACACTGGGTTCACTTAATGACTGCCATGTTAGTTTAATGATGCCACAAAAAGGTCATAAAATTGGGTTGGTCACATGACCCACCTGTTTTATGGCCATCATGACATGCCACCTTAATGGGCAGGCTCTGTTATATCTTGAGGACTACCTGTATTCAGAATATATTCTGAGGTGTAATGTGAATTGTGCCTTTTCATGAATTTTGGCTTCCATTCTCCTAAAGAATAGTGTTTCTTAAACCCTTTTAACTAAAAACAATTTCCAGTTGTCCCAATTAAAAGTAGAGCAATGCTCCAATTATAATCCTCTTCTGTGAGCAGAAACAACGCTTTTTGGTTTGCCTATTTAATATTGCCTGTACTAACTTGTGTCTCAGGTATATAATTCTCCTAGGAAAAGGGTGGGGCAGACCAGTATATTTACAGAACAATGATGCTATATCATTCTGAGAAATATATTTGGAGTATTAAACTAGCTCCTTTCCTCATACTTCTATACTACAATACTTTTATTTATACCATGCAATTCATGTCTTTGGCATTAGAGAGAACTTTATCAGTAAAGAAACAGGAAGCTGTGGGCTAGACAAGACTGAGAAATTAATGGGCTAGGTATGAGTCATCCAAAATGAGCATCATTAACCACATGGTTAAATCGTGACTGATTAAATGACTAAAATGGCTTTCCATACAGTTGTCTGCATTGTTCTAAGTAGGCCAGTGGTGAAACGATCAAGTTTTTAAAGCAAATTAGCCGTGTTTCTTAACTTTTAGAGAAAGTTTTAGTTACTCTGACAAGATTTGCAATCAGTGTCACTTTTTATGGGATTACAGGCTAGCAGTTCTTCTCCTAATATTCATTTCCAGAGGAATCTGTTGGCTCACAATGGTTTTCATTAACCTGATGAGCAGACTGCATTTATATACTGGATTATCAGAATATTAAACTCCATTCGCTATGAGAAATATATTGAGCCGTGTACAATTCCAGCTGAATAACTGAATCATTTTATTCCTTCCAGCGTTTTACCCAGTACCTGGCTTCCAGAAACACATTGTTTAACTTGAGCAATTTCTTGGACAAAAGTGGTTTGCAAGGTAAATTATTCAATCTGTGTCAAATAATCTCTAACTTGTTTTATAGTTTTAGTTCTCAGTCTTTTGTGTCTTATGTCTAATGAAACTTTCTAGCAAGAAAAGCTGAATTGCACTATGATAGAAACTAAAAGCCCCCTTTTTTTCTCCATGAAGAACATGTTCATATGTTTACAAATATTTTTACTTCATTAGTTGCCTTGAGTGCTTGTGTCAGGGCTCCAACAAATCCACCCTCATTTAAATCAAAAGTCTCTAGCCATCTTGAATCTATATATATATATATAAAAGCAAAATACCACTCACGCATCATCACAAAATCTCCAGAACAGTAAAGCCTACAAACTTGAAATTTGGCACATATGTTCCTCTTGGCTTCTAAGTGCTCATTAAGAAAGGATTTTTTGAAATGACTATCAGAGCATTAGTATTTCGTATATTATTATTAACATGCTCTGATGCTAAGGAGTTCTACTTCCCCTCCCAACCTGAAAAGAAATCTGTTCCAAATGCAAAACACATGCAGAGGAAAGGAGTTTCAGTTTCACAGCAGCAAGGAGCTTTAGTGCAGAACAGTTGAGCTAAGCCATGCCCAGGCTCCTTACTCACTCCTTACTCACTCCTTACTCCTTGCTCACACAGCAAATACGTTTCAGTTTCCATGTTTCAGTTTCCAAACGGTCCTCAACTCTTTCACACACTGACAGGATGCTGGTAGGCAGAGGCAGAATCCCCCCCCACACCTTATTTTCCTCCTCACAAACTAAGCCCGATCATATAGTGAAGCACGGGTATAGAGTTAGTAGAAAAACAGAATATAAATTAAAATAACTAATCCATAAAACAAAAAGATTATTTTTATTAAGTTATTTTCTCTCATACATCAGGATATTTTTTCCTATGTCTGATCAGTTTTAAGATTAATTTTCTACCCTCAGTTCAATATAGATTCAATGACAGCCAGTAAAAAGCACCAGTCTCAAAACCAATAAATTAACAAGAAACAGCAAGGAAAATTTTTGCTGCATCACTCACCAAGGCTTACGTGTGGCTTCTTGCTTTCTAGCAATTACTCAGAAACTAGGAAAAAGTTAGATCCTGGGAAAGCTTGAAGGTTAAATAGAAAAAGATTGAAGGCAACTACTGTAATGTTGGATAAAGGCAGCAATGGTGAAGGAAGCTGGCCACAGCTCCAAATCACCCATTATTATTATTTTTTGCTTTACAAAAATACATTGAGAAGGAGAAAGATGGCAGACTTTATAAAGATGGTCCATGACTTATGACCATTCACTTAGTGACCATTTAAACTTAGAATGCACCATCCCAGGGGTTCTTATGGCCCGATTCGGAACTTCCAACAGCTTCTCTCCCCCCCTGCCCCCCCAGGTCACATGACTATTCGGCAATTAGTCCATATTTAAAGCTATTTGCAACATCTCCCAGTCATGTGACTGCATTTTATGATCCTTTTTATGCCCAAGTTTTCATGTCCAGTTTTCAGCAAAGTACCCCACAGTGAAAAATGGGTTTGGTTTTATAATTGCCGTGTTTTTCTGAATGACTGCCACATAAAAGGATGTAAAAATTGGGTTGGTCACATGAGTGACCCGCTTTACAAGTGTTACAACTTATGACCATAATGGGCAGGTCCATTATAGTTATAAGTTGAGGGTTGCATGTATTGCAGTTTTATTCAAGCTAATCAATAAACCACGACTCGTAGTCCCAGTTTTTGACGTCAGTAAGCAAAATGAAGGAGTGAGGGAACTCAAGGTATAATATCTGACGTGGTTCATAGCCAAACATATGCTGCTGATAATTATCTTACTGATTCAAACACATAATACGTTGGTAAGCCTTTAAATATCATAGTGTACTCCTTTAATATTAAGAAATAACTTGCTTTCTGTTTGCTTCCTTTAGGATATGATATGTCTACATTTATTAGGAGATATAGCAGATATTTGAATGAGAAAGCAGTTTCCTACAGACAAGTAGCTTTTGACTTTACAAAAGTAAAAAGAGGGTAAGTATTTCACACGGATAAATCCATCACTTTTTTGCAGCATCTGCTTTAAGTATGCGGAATAATTTAGAATATAAAAGTTCAAAGAGTGTGAAATAATTTTCAAAGCTTCAGGGATCTGATCCTTTCTGAAAACTGGTCACGAAATTGCTTAAACAATTTAAACATTAGTACTATTGTAGATAACTGTTATATCACCCCTGCTAAAAATCCCTGACAATATGCAACAATTCAAAAACAAAACAATAATAGCATACAAGCAGTGAAAACCAACAGCAAAATTAGCCTCCAAAAATTAATATACAATGAAATGTATAATTTTTGCTAAAATTAGAAATGGAGACAAACAAATAAATGGGCCAAGAATTTTGGACATATTGTTGTAATGGGGAAAAAAGAATAATAACAATAATTCAGTGACTTTATGAGTTTTTGATAAGCAAGTCAATGGGGAAGCCAAATTCTATTTCTTTTTCACTTTTTCATTTTTTCTCTATTTCACTTTAGCTTAATTGTATCGTTTTTGCTCTCTGGAGAAATTTATTTAATTAAAATTTTAAATGCACATACACAACTGATCAATGCAGAGTGAACACAGAGGGATTTTTTTTTTTTAAGCTGTGGTGTATTCTATTAAGCAGTGACTCAGTTCTCAAGCACTTTCATTTTTCTTGTGTTTGCTTCAAGGAAAGTAAACACTTGTTTCAGGGAAAGTAATAAAAAACCCGTTGATGATTAGATTCATGATGTACTGATCCGGGTAGTTGGCACAATTGATCTGAAAATAAGTGGCATCAGAAAACATGCATGTGCAAAATTTATATGTTGTAGGCTAACAGCCAGAGCTTCTAATTGGATGGAAGTTGAAGAATGTGGAGGATAATTTTTGAAAATCTACTAGCATATCTGGTTCTTAAAACCCCAAACTAGCTTCCAGTTTGTTTATGTTAGAAATTCCAACGCAAACTACATCACTAAATAATTTTATTGGGAAAAGGCAGGGTAGTTCAGAAATTAAGCCCAGTCCAATTTGCTACCTTATGAGAAAAAGGAAGTGAAAAAAAAACAGAGCAGTCTTAAATATGTGTGGCGGGTATTATACCAAATCCATTTAGTGATCTAACCATTTCTATTTTCTTTTTTAATAGAGCTGATGGAGTCATGAGGACAATGAATACTGAAAAACTGATAAAAACTGTACCAATTATTCAAAACCAGATGGATGCACTGCTTGATTTCAACGTAAAGTCATTTTATCTACTTATAAAGGAATATTATACAGGAGCTTTTAAATGATCAGAATTAATCTTGTATTGCTTTCAGCTTATTGAATTAATCTGATTTAACTTATGTCTCTTTAATGGCATCTAAACACCTGTTAAATTTGCATAAGGTAGTAAAAATCTATGTTTGCCTAATATATATGTTAGAACGTACATATTGCATGATACAAAAATATGCATGTAACTAAATATATTCATGAAGTATTTAAAATACACTGTTGTGTTAGAGAAAATAGACTTTGTATCAACAGTAGTTCAGAACTAATAGCTGGGTGAAATGTATTCAAACATGGTTTGTGTTACCACTGTTTAGAATCCATACCCTGGTTTGAATTTCAAAATGTAAGGGGGAGCATTCTTAACAGTTGTTTCAGCTTCTTTAAACATGGTTAACTTGATATCTGAATGGAGTAGAAACCCAGAACTGTTAGTAGGTCCAGGTAGAAAGACCACACTTTGTTTCACTGAATTCTTCTGTTAATTGTACAGATGAAAACAATCAAAGCTGGGAAATGTGATTGCTTTGGGCCAGTATTTTTCAAGCATGACAACTTTTAAGTTGCGTGAACTTCAACTTCCAGAATTCTAGGGGTTGAAGTCCACTTATCTTAAAATTGACAAGTTGAACATGGCTCTGGAAACATTGGAGGCCCTTTAGCTGTTAGGTGCTATGCCTGCCTTTTGTTCATTAGAACCAGATTTGAAATTGGGGGATGAAACTTGCTTCAATTTTCTCTCGGCAAAATAGCCCAGAAGAAATACCATCATTAGTTTGTGTTAGATAGCCGTCAATCCCCCTGGCTAAACAAGACAGAAAATACAACCAGATGGGCTAAATCTACTTTATTGAAAGACTTCATTAACAGAATCTTTCAAGTCTGAAGGGACAACTTCCTGCCACCAACTTTTAACCCCCTGATCAACTAGGGCAAGTCCTTCCTCAATTTCTTCCTCTGAGCATTAAGCCTTTGGCAGCTTCCCCTTCTCTTGTCTGATTGATTCCAAGGCAGCATATCTCTTTCTCTCAGGCTTGTATGTATCTCGCCTTTATTATCTTTACAAACAATCCAGGACAGCAAACATACGCAACATGTCTTCCTCTTATTTCCCCACAATAACTACCCTATGAGGTCAGTTGGGCTGAGAGACACCGACTGGTCTAAAGTCACTCAGCTGGCTTTTCATGACTAAGGCAGGCCTTGAACTCACAATCTCCCGTGTTTTTTTAGCCTGGTGCCTTAACCATTAGACCAAACTGGCTCTTTCCCAAGGTTACCCACACATTCCATTACTACAGCAGAATGTTGGCAGAACCGCACAAACTTATGAGAAAGGGGCAGGTTTTTTTCTCTCTCTCTCTCTCTCTCCATAATTACATTGTACATAGTTGCATTATTCTGGATGAATAACTGCAAATCAGTTTCCCAATATGGCATAATATTTATGCAAGGATATTTTAATGTGGTTTTTTTTTTTTTTTTTACTGAATTGTGAAGTTTGGGAAGGGCTACAGGTGAGAATGGAAATTTGCCGCCTTATTTTCATCAGTAAAAGAGCCTAAAGTTAAGGATAAATCATCCTGTTGAAAATAAGCTCATTCGCTGCCAAATTTCTGAGGCGTGAGCAGAGGGTGTCTTGTGAGATGCCTGTCTGAGAACATCAGTGAAACTATGGGAGAAGACTTTTGACTCTGCAAAAATGCAAAGAGTGAATGGGTGCCCTTCAACTCTTCTTCAGGAGAAGGGTCAAGTAGGATTGTGTCTACCAGATGCGGGTAGTCCTCCACTTTAGACCACAATTGAGCCCAAAATTTATGTTGCTAAGTGAGAAATTTGTTCAGTGAATTTTGCCCCATTTTACGACTTTTCCTGCCACATTTGTTAAGGGAATTACTTCAGTTGTTAACACAGTTGTTAAGTGAATCTGGTTTCCCCATTGACTTTACTTGTCAGAGGGTCGCAAAAGGGGATTTTATGAGCATGAGCCATGGTGGCCCATTTGTTAGAATACAGTATTGCAGGCTAACTCTCCCCAGTGCTAGGAGTTTGATCCTGACTAGCTCAAGGTTAACCTTCCAAAGTCCTTCCAAGGTCAGTAAAATGAGGACCCAGATTGTTGGGGGGCAGTATACTGACTCTGTAAACCGCTTAGAGAGGGCTGTAAAGCACTGTGAAGCGGTATATAAGTCTAAGTCAAGGGTCTTCAAACTTGGCAAGTTTAAGACTTGTGGACTTCAACTCCCAGAATTCCTGAGCTAACATGACTGGAGGAGGAATTCTGGGAGTTGAAGTCCACAAGTCTTAAAGCAGTCAAGCTTGAAGACCCCTGGTCTAAGTGCTATTGCTACATGACCCCAGGACACTGCAACTGTCATAAATAAGTACCATTGTCCAGAATGTAAATCACATGACCATGGGGTCACTGCAACAGTCATTAAGTATGAAAAGTGATCCTCTCTCTTTTTTTCAGTGCCATAGTAGCTTCAAATAGTCACTAAATGAACTGTTACAAATCAAGGACTACCTGATTAAGTTTATCTGCAATATGAAGTAGAAGATAGTGTGGATGGGCTTTTTCCCAGTTTACTTAATTTCCCTCTCTCCCCGTCTCCCCCCCCCTTTCTTTCTTTTTATAGGTCAACAGCAATGAACTCACAAATGGTGTAATTAATGCAGCCTTTATGCTCCTTTTCAAAGATGCCATTAGACTTTTTGCAGCATATAATGAAGGGATAATTAATTTGCTGGGTAAGAACTTTCTCAACCACTCAACTCCTTATACTTACTTAGTAAGGTTGTGAATTTCATTTTCATTGTTTTTCAAGACAATTTCACATCAGCCTTTAAGAATGGCTTTCTTTACATATAAACAGAAATAATCCTGAATGCAAGCTGATTCAGAATAATTTTGGCACATTCGGTTCTTTAAATTATTATTTTTCTGTAAAACCATTCACCACATAATCAAATTACACTTTTCTCTCTGTTCCTTCTTTATGGAATGTGGCAATGTTGGTAATAGATTTGACCTTAACTCAAGTTTTGTTGTCATAACTTATGTTTGTTAGATTGATTTAAGGATAAATGTTAAGTCCCTGAATAGAGTAAGCAGGCCACACGTCCATTTAATAGGGAATATCCTACACACAGTGTATTGATTTTAATGTTATAATCAAAATTCATACTTCACTAGTCACTATGAATCAATTCCATGTGAAGAAGAAATGAAGGCTAGAATATATGTCAAATCAATTTGTAGTTTGTGTCGTTCTTGATAAGTTAAATTTCTAATTTCTACTTTTTAGACTACAGGTAGTCCTCGACTTATGAATGTAATTGTGCCTGGCAATTATATTGCTAAGGTGGGACACCCATGACCAGACCTGTTATTGAAACTTTTTTGCAATGGTTGAACCCATTGTTCGCTATTGGCTGAATTTTCATGAAAACTGGAAGTAAACCCCAGTTCTGGTTAAAATGTCATAAATCATGATCATGTGACTGCAGGGCACTGAAGATGCCATAAATGTGGATCGGTTGCCGAGTGTCCAAAATGCAGTCATGTGACCATTAGCAGGGAGCAACTTGTAACTTCAAAAGTGGGTTGTAAATCCCTTTTGGGGAGGGTTGTTTATTGGAACTTTGGCCTGTCATAAGTCGAATACTATCTGTATATGCAGAGCAACAATAATGGAAATTAAATATCTTCCTGCCCTGTTCTTGATATTCTCAGAATTGTTGCAGAACTGGTACATTCATCACTTACTAATTATTCTGCAGCTGGACAGGTCTGGGGTACAATAAGGCATAAGCTTAGCACTGTAAAATTAAGTTCAATGGCGCTGCCTGCCAGCAAGGTACATGCATGCTCCTTGGTGCTGTAAAATCACAAATGCACAAATGGGAATCAGGCAACATCAAAACTAAAAGTCTTGGGTTAAACAGAGTAAATAATGTGTGTGACATATTATTTAATTCTCAATCGTGGCTGTAGGCTGCCCTTATGTGTATGGGAAGACGTGCAGAACAGGTATGGACAACCAGAGAACTCTATGAGTTATCTCACTATGCCCATACTTCCTTCCATAATTGTTTTTCTTCATAATTTCCGAAAGGCACTCTTAACAGCAGCCTGGTTTAAACCTGAGCTGCAGTAATCCCATTTTATTATTTGAAAAGGATAGGTGATTGATTTTGACGGACATAAATTTTGTTTTGAAAGCAGCAAAGAGGACTAAACAAGGAGCCTCCAGCTGCATGAGTAAGATTCGGATTCTTAAAATTTTAAATTAAGATTTATTTAAATTCTTTGGCAGCCCAATTCCAGTTACATTAAAAGTTTGAAATGAAAGTGATAACATTGTTTTGAGATGACTGAAGTGAGGGGATATATAATTTAGAGATTGGCATTAGAATGTTCATGTTTTGAAGAGTAGAATCAAAACGGTATACTGAGACAATGAAAAGGCGCGAAAATATTGATCATAAGAATGTTGACAAATAATGAGGTGTAAATGTAAATGGAAAACATTTGTTAACTTATAAATTGTTTTTAAATGATATTACTCTGGTTTGCCTAGAAAGAATTAGTCTGGGTTGTTTAACGTGCATGAAGGCTGAATCTCTTTCTGATTACTGGAAAAATTCCGTTACTGTTCTCTTAAACAAGAAGGCAGTAGAAATGAATGCAAAACTGCAGAGGAACTAAATGGTTAAGCATATTTAGGAAGCATATTTGTTTAAAATTGTAAAAAGGTGAGAATGAACACAATTTAAGAACTACAGTTCTACTCTATACCAGACATTGGTTGTGCAGATCAGATTTTTGCCTTTCGAGCTGGTCATTCAAAAATTTACAGATATAAAAGTGTACTGTATATTTAGTGAAAGCGGATGACAAACTGAATAGGCTTGAATTATGGAATATTCGACATTAATGTGGATCGAATGTTGGTTATGGAATAGAGCAGTATGTGATAAAGCATGTATGTAATTGAATATTTAGAAAGCAATTCAGTGTGGAGAAGGGAGCAAGGCAAGAAGAGTATGAGATGTCCCCTTCGTTATTTATGTCCCCTTCGTGTTTTTGAATAAGTGAATGTAGCTTGGTGTTTGTGAAGAACCTATGATTTGCCACCAATGTTAGATTGTATGCTGCAAAATAGGGATCTCGAAATTGATGTTTTAAAGACTAGGCAGTTGTGATTGACAAAAAATGGAATAAGATACAAGCCACACACACATAAATGATAAAAACTAGGGCAAGTAGTTTTAATGTAGCCTTGAATAAAGGAAATTCAATTTGTTATATATATAGCATTTTTATTTAAGGGTAACCTTGGTGATGTTTTTAGAGCAGCTCAAATATACATTTATGCTGTGGGATTTCATTTTAGTATTTAGTATAAACACAGGCTTTTTTAGAGTTCTAATTTTAAGTAATTACCTGTTTGAATTTAATTCCAGCTTACATCCCACTCTTTCTTATTTTGGGACTGTTGTTGGTGTATCAGACCTTCATAATACATTGACAGACTGCAAGGAAATTATTGTGATGTTTAAAATTTAATACAATGAACAGTTGTAAACATCTCTAACCTTTATAACTGTGTAATAGACAGATTTTTTGCTGTAAACAAGATGATTATCATGACCGTTCTCATTTTAAAAAATTTCCTTCTGCAGAAAAATACTTTGACATGAAAAAGAATCAATGCAAGGAAGCCCTTGACATATATAAGAAGTTTCTGACTAGAATGGCAAGAATTTCTGAGTTTCTCAAAGTTGCGGAGGTAAAAATTGCTTAGTCCATAAAGAATATTCTTACTGTTTTATTATTTACTATATTTTGACTGGATATTATTGCCAAGAATTTATGGAATGTTTAAAAATTTCATTGAAAGCTTCCATCAGTGCTTCTCAATCTTGGCCATTTTAAGATAGGTTGACTTAAATTCCCAGAATTCCCTAGCCATTGCTGGCTGGGGAATTCTGGGAGTTGAAGTCCACCTTTCTTAAAATGGCCACAATTGAGAAACACCAATCTAAACTTAGATTAAACCACACTGAAGAGAAATCCAATGGAAGTACTGGGAAGATTAATATTGGTGCAGATACAGATTTTGTGAATATTTCATTCACATTGGCTGCTTTCCAACACTGTTGATATACTGTATATGAACTAAGTCTTCTTACATAGTTAGGAATCATTTAAAAAATTATTGTCATATTCTCTGGGTAACTTGTAGACTGAAAAATCAGTGGTGAAAAGCATAGAATGTTAAAGTGAGGGTCTAGAAAAAAGTATGAAGGAAATGGAGGAAAAAATTAAAAGATTGGTTACAAAACAGGAATATTATTTGCTAATATGCCTAACCTCATTTGATAAAGGCCCTTGGAATCTTTACCTTCTACTGATAGCCCTCAACCTATGACTAATGAAACGAACTTATCTCTACCGTAAATCGTGATGGTTTTAAAATGGATTGGTCACATGACCGAGCCGATTTTATGAGCTTTTTCGTGGCAGTTGTTAAGCAAACATCTGGGTACAGTTTTACCAAAACCCAGAAGTAAGTTCAGCTTTCGGCAGAACTGTCATAAAACCTGGTCATGTGACTAGAGGATGCTGCAGTTGGTCCTAAAAATGACTTTTGAACTTCTGACAGTTGTGTTCCGTGACTGAATTCAGTCACAGGAACCCAACTGTCAGAAGTTCAAAACCAGGTCGTAACTACTCCAAGAAAGATCTGATGTATGTTCGAACGGTCGTTAAGCAATTGGTCATAAATTGAGGACGACTGTATTGTATTGGATCTGTACAGATAGACAATAATTATAACCAACAACGCTATAGCCATTTTTACTTGTCTGCACCTGTCTGTTCATCTTCATCTAATCTAACCTCCGTGGCCAAAGTCTTACTTAGAATAGCTTTAGCTGTGACTGGAAAAAGAGAAATCTAATTAGAAGTCAGATTACAGGCCATCCTTGATTCTCAACCATTTGTTTAGTGACCATTTAAAGTTACGACAGCACTGAAAAAATTTCAACTTCTGTTTTTTACACTTACAACTATAGCAGCATATCTGTGGTCACGTGACCAAAACTAGGACACTTGACAATAGGCCTGTTTTTATGATGGTTGCAGTGCCCCAGGGTTGCATGATCTCCTTTTGCGACCTTCTGACAAGCCAAATCCATGGGGAAGCCAGATTCACTTAACAAACGCATTACTAACTTAACAGCTGCAACGATTCCCTTAATAATTGCGACAAGAAAAGTAATAAAAAAGGGCCAAATTTGCTTAATAGCTGTCTTGCTTAGCAGTGGAAATGTTGGGCTCAATTATAGTCATAAGTTGAGGACTAACTGTACACCTCTGCGTAAAATCTTGACCTCCGACTTAGGTACAAAGCTGTTGGAAAGATTGTATGTTAACTGAATGGATCTTTCACAATTGGTATTCTTCCAAGTACTTTGTCTTTACTTGTATTACATGAGAAGGCTGTTATCAGGGAAGGTCAGAACATAGCTGCTTCTTCCAAGAAATTTGATAACTCTACACTAGTTGGGTGAGGTAACTGCTGTTCAGGCGTTATATAGTATAATCTGATAAAATTTTGTTGACTAACCACCGGGTTAATTTTATAGAACAAAAGGAGGTGTGGGTGATAAGAATGAAATGCATATCCTCTTACTGTCCTGTTCCCCAAGATCTAAATCAGGGGTCTTCAAACTTGGCAAGTTTAAGACTTGTGGACTTCAACTCCCAGAATTCCTCCTTCAGTCATGTTAGCTCAGGAATTCTGAGAGTTGAAGTCCACAAGTCTTAAATGAAGACCCTTGATCTAAATTATGGGCTGTCGAAAGTAGCATCTGTCTACAGGTCTCCTTTTCCTTACATTTTTGCCGTGAAAAGGCTTAATAAGTTTATTTAGAATTCTGTCCTTGAGTGATTGCCCAGAAAGGCAGGAGGTAAAACTGCAAAAGTCCTTTCGTTTAATTTTTCTGAGCCTCTATGCTAGAGGAAGTTTGTCTTTCTCCCACACCTCACCCCCGAGAGTTGATTTAATTTGTCAGAATTAATTAATTACTTTAAAAGATCCATGATATTTGTACAGGCAGTCCTTCACTTACAGCAGATCATTTAGTGACCATTCAAAGTTACAATGGCCCTGAAAAAAAAGGTGTTTTACGATCATTTTTCACACTTAACGACCATTGCAGCATCCCCGTGGTCACAAGATCAAAATTCGGACGCTGGGCACCTGACTCGTATTTATGATGGTTGCAGTGTCCTGGGCTCACGTGATCCCCTCTTGCGACCTCCTGACCAGCAAAGGTCAAGGGGGAAGCCGGATTCTCTTAACAACTGCAGTGATTCACTTAACAACCGTGGCAAGAAAGGTCGTAAAATGGGGCAAAGGTCACTTAAGAAATGTTACGCTTAGGAAACAGAAATTTTGGGCTCAGTTGTGGCCGTAAGTCGAGGACTACCCATATTCACATTTCAGTACTGTACCGTCCCATTTCCAAGCCACTGAAGGCTTTTGACCGAGGAGAAGTAAACCATCATAATAATGATTTTGGTCAAGCTCTTAATGAACATATTAGTCAGTTCCATCATTCACACTGAGAATTCATTGGAACAATATGGTTTGGTCTCCTTAGCAGCAGTGAAGGGGCCTGCAAACTCCAGTCCACCACAATAAAGTGCCACACCATAAGAAATAAAAAAGCAGATGTTTCAATTGCTGTTTAATGCAGTGTGGTGGGATTTGCAGAAGATTTTTCATTGGGGAATCCAATGAATGCGAAGCAGATTGTCAGGGAGTTTAAAATGTTCTCCCTGAGTTGTTTAACCACTCTGTGGAAAAGAAGTTTGGCAAAGAAAAGGAAAAAGAAGAAGAAAAATGTTTTCTTCCCTATCTATTATTTATTCCCACAGTTTTTTGTAGGTTGTTGACCTCAGAGCAGCAATCCAAAGAAATGTGCACATTTGCAATTCCGCCAGTATTATCGCTCCAGGATCTGTTGGGTTTTTAATCTGAATGCGCCTGTTTGCTTAAGATGAGTCATCTTGCTCACAAAAAGTCCACCTTTTTATTATTTTGAAGAATTAAGAAATGTTGATCTGTACGGCGTATCTGTGTTAAAAATATTAAATGTAATGGATAGTAGAACTTTCAAGACTACAATAGTTTTGTAGTTGTCAGCATGTACACTGGTGGTTGTAGTGTAGCTGTAATGCATTACAGGTAGTCTTCGGCTTACAATAATTCATTTAGTGACCGGAATTACAGTGGCACTGAAAAAAGTGACTTATAACCATTTTTCACACTTGACGACCATTGCAGCATCTCTGTGGTCACATGACTCCTTGGCAACTGACTCCTATTTATGACGGTTGCAGTGTCCTTATGGCCATGTGATCCCCTTTTGCAAACTTCTGACAAGCCAAGTCAATGGGGAAGCCCGATTCACGTAACAACCTTCTTACTAACTTAATGATGGCAGTGATTCACTTAAGAACTGTGGCAAGAAAGGTCATAAAATGGGGCAAAACTCACTGTGCTGTCTCGCTTAGCAACAAATTGTTGGTTCAATTGTGGTCGTAAATCGAGGACTACTTTTACATTGCAATACATTTAAAAGGTCAAGGTTTCCCTCACACATACGTGCTAGTTGTTTCCGGCTCTAGGGGGTGGTGCTCATCTCCATTACAAAGCCGAAGAACCAGTGCTGTCCGAAGACGTCTCCGTGGTCATGTGGCCGGCATGACTAAACGCCGAAGGCGCACGGAACGCTGTGACCTTCCCACCAAAGTGTTCCCTATTTTTCTACTTGCATTTTTATATGCTTTCGAACTGCTAGGTTGGCAGAAGCTGGGACAAGTAATGGGAGCTCACTCCGTGACGCGGCGCTAGGGATTCGAACTGTCAAACTGCTGACCTTTCTGATCGACAAGCTCAGTGTCTTAGCCACTGAGCCACTGCAATACATTATAATATATTAATTGTAGTATACTGTAATATATTGCAGAGCACTACAACAGGGATTACAAATACAGGTTCTTCATCTGATATACTGAAAAGTTTGTTTCCTTCCACTGTAATTCGGTTCACTGTGTCAACATCAATTCTGTTCACTGTGTCAACCATCCTTCTTTTATGATGTTATAATCGCCAATGAACTTCCTTCATTGTTTTTAGCCAAATGTGGCTGAAGCCTTTATCTCATTAAATCTCTTTGTTCTTGCAGCAAGTGGGGATAGACAGAGGAGATATACCAGATCTTTCTCAGGTAAATTCATTATGATTAATTATTATCTTGCTTGTACATGCCATCTTGAGTTGTCAAAAAGACAATTTTGATGTAATTTGATCATACTTAACAGAATGGAGAATTTTTTTGGTATAAAAGCCGTAAGTTTAAAACCTGCAGTTTTACCCATGGTTCAACTTTTGCATAAACAATTTTTACATTTTTCAGGATTGATCTTTGATAAGCTGGGGAGTTTGATAGTTTTTATTCTCTTCTGCCATTTTTCCCCTTTTGGTTTATATTTTGTGGCTTTAAGCTATTGATATTTTTGTTTTATTTTAAACCTATGTTGCCACATAAGTCACTGTGGTAAGAGAGGGGGGGGTATCTCTGTTTTTAAATTTTTCCTTAAAGTACTATGTACTTGAATGTAAATAATATTTTGAATTTTCTTATTAAGCTAAAAAAATACCTCAGTAGAGTACATGATTGCCAAGAACCAAGGAAGGATAAAAGATTTACAGTAATTAATATACTGATTTGGCTTAAAGTAGTAACTGCTTTAAAATTGTATTCCTTGGAATGTGGAATAAATGCCAGTTCTTAAATGTACCATTTGATCTGCTTTTTTCTGAAATTTATGATCGCTTTTTAATCCGTGTCTGATAACATAATGGAATCCTACCTGCTACTTAATACATTTTAATCACTGGAGAATGATGATGATGGTATGATATTATATTGCTGCCAATCTTGCAATTACAATTAGGCAGTAAGTATAGGGTTACAAAACTAGATAATCCTGAAGATTATGCTTTTTTAATGCTTTTTATGTTTTTTCATTATTTTTGTTAAATTTTGGTCATTTCTGTACCATAAAAATATATACATTCATAACAACAGACTTGCTATTTCCCAGGGAACAACCCAGTTCTTCAAGGATTTACAACAGCAATAGCACTTAGACTTGTATACCGCTTCACGGTGCTTTACAGCCCTCTCTAAGCGGTTTACAGAGTCAGCCTATTGACCCCCAACAATCTGGGTCCTCATTTTACCTATCTTGGAAGGATGGAAGGCTGAGTCAACCTTGAGCCGGTCAGGATTGAACTCCTGGCATTTGGCAGAATTAGCCTGCAATACTGCATTCTAACCACTGCGCCACCACGGCTCATGCTCATAAGATCCCCCTTTGCAACCTGCTGGGAAAAAAAAGTGACTTATGACCATTTTTCACAATTACTGCTGCAGTATCCCCATGGTCATGTGATTTACATTCAGATACTTGGCAATGGTATATATTTATGACGGTTGCAGTGCCTTGGAGTCATAGCCTGAAATATTGCATTCTAACCACTGCACCACCACAACTTCCAAAATGTCCACAGACTGGAGGCTGGGAAGGTTGGCACTAAATGTTTTGGATTTTCTAACCAATTGATGAATTGTCTTGTAGGCACCAAGTAGTCTTCTGGATGCTTTAGAACAGCACCTCGCCTCCTTGGAAGGAAAGAAAATCAAAGATTCTACCGCTGCTAGCAGGTATGTGTCAGAGGCTTTTGATAACCAACTGGGCATTGGGTAGCATGCAAGCTTCTTCGGCTATGCTTTGTATATTTAATATTTTGTAGCCAATTCCTTTGCCTGATAAAATTTGACACCAGCTGCTCTGCTTTGTACTAACAAAGGGAAAATTATATGTGACACTCCCTTAGAGGGGAAAACCAGTCTCAGTCCTCATGTTTGTATATATAAAGAGGTTATGTGGACATATTAAACATGAAACTCTGAAATGGTGTCTATGGAGATTCTCAATTATCGAGGTCATGGTTGCCCCAAAGGGACTTTTTTTAAAAGGGAGGTGGACTTTTTTTTTTCATTGAAGACGTTTTGCTTCTCATCCAAGAAGCTTCTTCAGTTCTCTGAAGAAGAACTGAAGAAGTTTCCTGGATGAGAAGCAAAACATGTTCAAGGAAAAACAAAGAAAATTCACTTGCCACTTGAAAAAGCACCTTTGGGATATCTGAAATGGTGTAGAGTAGAAATAGTTTCTACCCTTGTATCTGTAGAAACACGATTGCTGTAGTTTACTGTTATGCTTCCATATCTGTAGTGATCCTCCTAGGCTTTAATTTTTGATTTCCTACAAAAAGATGTCTGAACTAAGATGAAATTGCTAATAGCATGTTAGTGCTGGATACTATTTTCCCTTTAAAACAGTTTGGAATTTTGTGTCTGCTTATTTCTGCAATGAATAATTCTTCCTGAAGAAAAAATTCATTGACTTTTGCAGGAAATGCCTCTGGCTGATCTTATTCTTCAGTCATTGTCTTTATTTAGCAAAACATTTAGCATTGCTTTCCTGCTGCGATATAGAGTAATCACTATTTCAGAGCCTTGGTTGCTGATTATTTTACTAAATTCCTGACACAAGCTTATATAAGGCGTTCCTACTTTACAATTTGGAGTGACACAATTCTTATCTTTCTGATTTTCCCTTTGGCACTACTGGGACCAAAATAGTTCATTAAAAGCATTCCTAGGAGAAGGGAAAGGGGAGGGGAGGTTAAAAAAAGGGGGGGGGGAGAAAGATTAATAGTCCCTATTTACTCTAGGAAAAAGTGGCTCACCATTGTTCCCAACAGCAGTAAATCTGTGGGATAGGCTTGACTGCAAGGAACAGGTTGAAATGCACCCTGCGAATGTTCATGTCTCAGAGTGGATGAGAAACTGGTCTCGCCAGGTTACTCCAACATCACAGTGGCATAACCACAGTACTAAATCTTCTATAATTTATTGCATAATAAGCAACGAAAACAATATCTATAAAGTTCTCAAGGCTGGACTGGTGATTTTGCTCTGTTTAATCCCCCTGAAGCCTCTTGTTATCTTGAATAACTTAGTTAAAGTCATGCCTGTGAGGCACATAACTGGGAATGAACAAAGCCTAATCAATAAGCAGTCTATTAATCTAATATAAAATGTAATTAAACTTCAGTTACCAGCATTGCATTGAAGGAAATATTAATAAATGCATTGTTTGTTGAATGCTGAACAAATGAAGTACAACAGAATCCCTTTTCTTATCTACAGTGTATAATAGTCGGTTTCCTATTGTCACATTTTCCTAGGGCTACCACGCTTTCCAATGCTGTTTCTTCCCTTGCAAGTACTGGCCTCTCTCTCACCAAAGTCGATGAAAGGGAAAAACAAGCTGCACTAGAGGAAGAACAGGCCCGTTTAAAAACTCTAAAGGTTGGTATGTTTTTCTTCCTTTAGACAGGGGTGTCAAACTCGATTTCAGGGTTGTGTTTGACCTTGGGGGCAGTGGGGTGTAACTAGCTTGACATCACTCGTGTCAGAGGCACTTGTGGTGGCCAAGTGATAAGGCAGGACTTCCCTCAGACTCTTCCTACCTCTCATTATAATCTTCCTTCCTTCCCCTGGCCCTATTTTTGGTCACGACAGCCTCCTATAGCCCTCTGGCAGCAAAAATGGAGCTCCATTTTTGCTGGCAGAGGCACTGCGGGCCAGTCCTTTGCTGTGTCCAGGGCAGCCCTGCAGGCCAGATCTAAGTACCCCGTGGCCCTTGAGTTGATAGCAATAGCAATAGCACTTAGACTTATATACCCCTTTATAGTGCTTTATAGCCCTCTCAAAGCAGTTTACAGAGTCAGCCTCTTGCCCCCAACAATCTGGGTCCTCATTTTACCCACCTTGGAAGGATGAAAGGCTGAGTCAACCTTGAGCCTGGTGGGATTCGATCTGCCAAATTGTAGTAGGAGTAGCTTGCAGTACTGCACTCTAACCACTGCGCCACCTCCAAGGCTCCTCCAATTGATACCCCTGCTTTTGACCAATGCATCTCAACCTTGGCAAATTTAAGATGCGGGCACTTAACTCATGCTGGGAATTGAAGTCTGTGTAATTAAAGTTGCCGTGATTGAGAAATACTGCATTTTAAATCGGTTTCTGTATGTTCAATGTCCCTTTGATTGCAGAAGGATTTAAAAAATGGGCTGAATGGGATACCTTTTCAAATTTGGGAACCAAATTTTTTTTAAAAAAATGCCCAGGACATCGGATCAGGACGCAAAATGCCATGGATAAGAAAACTGGTTGCAGTCTCTACCTTACTTTGTCATGAAATCTCATCAGATACACTTTGAAAAACCCTACTGTCAGTGATTGGGACTTCAGTTTCCATCATCCCCAAATAGCATACTAACAGCCAGGGAATATGTGAGGGAATATTCCAGAATTCTCGTGGTCAGAACACAGAAGCTAATTTACAAACCATACGTAGCTTACTACAGATAGTAAAGCAATATTTAAAATTGTCAGTGGGTAATAGAAATGGAAAACAGGGCTACCCCACTAGTGATACTAAAGAACAGATCTCTCCGATTTTCCCTCTCCCTGTGGTGGTGCATCCTTACAGCCAGTCATTCTAAATAATTTTGTGATATTAAGAATTTGACTGTGTTTACTTCTCTTCCTCTCCTGGAGTAAAGAAGAGGGTGGAGAACAGCAGGGCAGCTGGGATTGTTAACTGACCACTTCCACAGTATAGTCTGAACTTTCTTTATTAGTTCCCCACACATCTCAGTGGGGTTTACTCATTTCAAGCAGTCCACCCAGGAGTTGGGCTTGTGGGTGCACGTGGGAAGACGGAAGAGGGGTGGGAAGCTAGTGATCACTTGCATAGGACACTTGCTAACACTGGTGTTGTGGTAAATGAGATGTCAAGAACAGCTTTGAGACGGAAGTGGGTGGTTAAATGCATTTGAGGTTCTCTTCCCCGTTCCTTGTGGAGTTTTTTTGCCCATTACCCTCTGGCAGAGAGGTTATTTTTTCCCCTTAGTCTTTTCCTTTGCAGAAAGAGTCTCTCTTTGTCTTTGTCTCTGCCTCTCTCTTTCTCTCTTTCTTTCTTTGTCTGTCTCTCTCTCTCTGTCTCTCTCTGTCTCTCCCTCACTCACACACACACATGCCTTAATCCCTCGCAGATTCCCCCCCTCCCGCCCCCAAATTCTGTGGAACTTGTTCAAGTTCCCAAGAACTCGGCTTTGGAAAAAAAAACCTCCATACCAGTGGACAAGGTAGGTTATTTTCAATATCAAAAGTATTTAGGGACAACTGCGTTGTTTGGGAAATAATATTTGTAATATCCACTTCAAACTCATTGTTTGAAACAGCAGCGGGCAAAACATTTAGCATCAAACTGGTAAATGTTTTGTAGCCTCCTGTTTGAAACCAAAGAGTTTCATGCGCAAGGTTATTATAAACCAGTGTAGAAACAGTAATAATGTATGTATGCTTGAATAGTATTTCATGCTTATGCCTTGGAGTGTTTTAACAGGGTTTTTGTTTCTGGTGGTCAAAAACAGGTTGCTTAGGCCTTTGTTTATTTCGTGTATCATTGAAGACACAAAAAATGACTTGTTCTTGGGCATCAAATCACCTGGTTTTTTTAAAAAATCTGGTTTTATTCTTCCAACAGGAACAGCGTCTAAAAGAGCTTGCAAAGAAACCCCACTCGTCTTTAACCACAGCCTCTTCCCCTGTGTCTAATGCTGCAGGAAGTATAATGACCACCCCAGCTATCGATATTTTTTCCACACCCAGCTCTTCAAACAGGTAAGATTCAGAAGAGGTGTTTTGCCAAGTGCTAATTTGAGGGAAGTCCCACTCTTTCTAGTGTCAGAGCAACTGTGAGACAGAAAACCGAAAGCTGGACAGATGACTTTGGGCCGGTCACAATCTCTCAGTCCAATTCACCTCACAGGGTTACTGTGGTAGAGACAACAGGAAGGGGGAAGGTGCATTGGATATGTTCGCCAGGTTATTTGTAAAAAAAATAATAATAAAAGTGGGATACAAATAAATAATAAATAAAAAGAGGTCATAATGGCCCTGTTTCTTCAGCACCATTCCTCGCCCCTGAAGTACATTGCAGGCAGAGGTTTTTGGTCCAGAGGGGATACTAAGAACTAACATATAACTATGAGCGAAAGTCTCCTTTGGGCATGGCAGCTTCCTTGAATTTGATGAACTGCCTCTTTAAGTTTTGATTTTCTGATATTTAATTTTACACGCGATAAATGGCAGCAAGAATTGTGTTGTGCAACAATGGAAAATTGAGGAGATCCCTACAGAGGAAAGTGTTATAAAAATATTAGAATGTGCTGAGATGGATAGATTAACACTTAAAAGAAAAGAAAAGAAAAGAAAAGGAAGAAACAATATTTTTTAACATGGGACTTATTTTACCAATGGCTAACTAACAGAAACAGAGGTTAGAAACTAAAAAGAGTAAAAAGATAATTAAAATATTTGTATTGAATTTTTTTCAAGATGGATAAACTAATTGTATTATTACATTTTGATTAATATTGATATGTTTATTATGATTACTATTATGATTATTGCTGTATCTCTACTCAGAACTAACTGTGCCCAGACCACACGCTGTTCAGACAGATATGGAATTTTTGTTTATTAAAGAAAATGTATCAATAAAACGTACATTTAAAAAAAGTTCTGATTTTGGTTTCTCAGGAAGTGAATTCTGAATCCATGCGTCAGTCTGGGTGTGTACACGGGGGCTGTTCTGAAAAGGTTCTTAAATGAAACAATGGCGCTGTTGTTTAAATATTTACCACGCTCTTCTATGTGTTATTGTCTCTGTAGTTCATCAAAGCTGCCAAATGACTTGCTTGATTTACAGCCAGCTTTTCACCCAGGTGTGCATCCGATATGCTCTGCACCACAAGTGGGAGGGACCTGGGGAGGAGGTAAGAGATTTTGTTGTGATTATTACATAGCCACCCTTACTCTTGATAAAAATTCACAATCCCTGCTGTATTTGGTTGATAAACGTTATTATTTTAATACTTCTAAACGTGTGGGTCACATATTTCTTTAAAGCCTTAGAATTTCATGGATCAGAAGAAGCTTTGTTTTGAATTTCCAGCACGATTATTGAATTGCTGTTTATTTTATTGGGATGCTGTGTTGTATAAGTCTGATTTGCCTCTGTTTTTTGAGCAATATTTGCAAACATAGGTGGGATTTCAATAGCAGGACAAAATATATGGCTAATAAGAAAAGCAAGAGCAAACTAGCATCCTGTCGGCTTATTTCCAGTCTCCAAACTGTGAGCTCTGGGTTCAGCTGTACTGGTGCTTTGGGAAGTGATAGATCTTATTTAGCCAGGATTAAGCAGAGATTTGAATATGTATGTAGGTATTTTAGATACCTAAATTTATTGATTAAAATTTGAGAAGGCGTCTGTCAGATTTGAATAAAACAATTTTAAAATAATTCAAGAGAATGGCATGTAAGATGGAAGTGAATGGATCACTCTTAAGGAAGTTACGCTTACTCATTACAATTCTGTTCTAAGACATAAAATATTGGTATCTTCCTTCCCATCACCATTTCCCAATAATGATCAGTCTTCATTTTTGCATCCAACCAGAGGGAGTAGGGCTTGAACTGTCAAGTTGATTTAACAAGAGTAATAAGTACCGTGTTTCTCATATAATAAGGCCGGGTCTTATTTTTTTTTGAGCCCCGAAAAAATGGCTAGGCTGTCTTTTCAGGGGTGACTTAATTCCCCCCCCTTGCATCTTTGGGTGGGCGGGCAGCGACGGCTTGGATGTTGACCTCGGCGTTGGTGGGGCACTTCGTATCGGGTTCAACGCAGACAGCACCATATCCGGGTGTGCAACAAAAGCACTTCCTAATGGCAAGCCCCCCCACCATTGCCCCCCATTTTGCATGTTTTAATATAGGCCTTAATTTGGGGGGAGGGGCTTAATTTCATTTCATGCCTATAAAACATGCTGGGACTTCCTATTGGGGGAGGCCGTATTGTTGGAGAAACAGGGTAAGTTTCAGTCTATGTATAGAAAAAAGATTATTTGTAGAAACACTTTGAAGTATGATAAAAACAGGAAAGTTCCCTATACTATATAAGGGTTGATCCTTTCAAAATCCAATTTTAGGATACTAAAGTTTAGGCTCTTTGTGGACCATTATTTCAGCTACATAGTCTATAATTCGTGAAACCATTTGATGTAAACATATTATGTCCCATATTTATTTATTTGTTGCATTTGCCTTTCCATCAGGAACTCAAAGTGACATTCATACTGCTTCCCGGCTAGTAAGGGAATTAGATGTAGCTCTTCCACAGGGCTTTTCCAGGAAAATCTTAACAGTTTTGCCTCATTAAAAATGGAGTCAAAAGACTAAGCCATTGTTAAAAAAAAAAAAAAAAAAAAGCAGAATTCTCTGCAAGAATAAAATCTTGAACATGAACTTGATATTGTAGCTTACCAGAATTTTAAGAATTAAAAACTGTAAACATCACGATTCTGTATTATATTTGCTGCTTTGCTATTCGAATGGAATCGTGGAAGGTAGAGAGAATATTAAAAGCTCCTTACATTAGCATTTCATTTCCTCTTTAATCTATCTTTCCTCCCCCCAAAAAATAACAATTCAGTTCTTTATCCTGCTCACTTTTTCTATCTGATCTGCCTTTCACATTGCAATGAAATTGCTGTGTGCTTTCTTTTAAGCTGTAGTGTATCATATGGTATGAATCAGAGTAACCATGTTTCAGTTGGTAGCTGTTCATTGAGAGGGAAGGGGGCTGAGGCAAACCCCCCCCCCGTTTAAAGCAACACCCTGTCTAAAATAGTTAAGTACATGGATGAAAATCTGCATGAAGGCCAAAATTATAGTTCTGATGGTTTTCCTAGAGAAAATGATAAGCCACAGTAAGGTTTTTACTCAATCTTTCATTTGATACACATGTTCAGCTTTGTCTTCTATCACCTACCCCAGGGGTCCCCAACCGCCGGTCCGCGGACTGGTACTGGTCCACGGAACAAGTCTTACCGGGCCGCTGGTTGCTGGGCGCCGCCATCTTTTTCGTCAAAAAAAGATGGCGGCGCCCAGTTGATGCCGGTACCGGGCCACGGCGCCCAGCTGATGCCGGTACCGGGCCGCAGCATCAAAAAGGTTGGGGATCACTGACCTACCCCATAATGCTGAGCTGGAATGGACCTAGGATTATACTCACTGAGAATTATGGCAGTTGAAGTCTAACTCACCCGGAGAACAAAAATTTGGGGAAAGCTGTGTAGCCTTTTTTGGGAGAGGAAGCTGCTTTTGGCCTTGAAGCAGCATGTTGAAGTACTGGAGAAGCTCTGGGTGAAAATAGATTTTATTTCAATTAGTGTTAAAATTCGTTCAATGCATTTACTAGGATCATTCCCCTTTTTTTCTTTCTATGATGCTGAAAGTATAATTCAAAATGAAACTCCGGGGTCCTGAGCCTTATTTTGGAAGGGGCACAGGCAGCTTCGGAGTTCATTTCTGCTCTGAGATTGGGATTGGAACCTGAACCAAAGGTGCTTTTTTCAAGAGGCAACTGGACTTTCTTTGCTTTTCCTTGAAGATGTTTCCCTTCTCATCCAAGAAGCTTCTTCAGTTCTGACTTGTGAATAGAGTTAGATTGAGTCAGAACTGAAGACGCTTCTTGGATGAGAAGGGAAACATTTTCAAGGAAAAGCAAAGAAAGTCCAGTTGCCTTTTGAAAAAGCACTTTAGGAACAACCATGACCTGTATGAAGTTAGAAATATTTGCTAGAGGGCATTAAAGTTATGTTTGCAATTTCATTCATAGAGAAGAAAGCTAAAAGACCACCAAACCCCCCCCCCCCCAAAAAAAAAAAAAAAACTTGAGGCTTTGTTTTCTGCTACCTGCATTTAGTCTCCATATTGATCTGAGAAAACTCATGTCTAACCTTTAAAAAGACTAGAAAAAGGCTTTTAATTTTTACAGGTGCTTATTCTGCTTTGATTTTTTTTTTATAAGCCATCCAAGTTTATAAGCCAACAGTGTAAAATAAGAAATATTACTATATACTGTGAGCCACTCAGAATGTTAGGAAGTGGGGCACAAAAATCATTGAACAAATAAATTAGCTCTATGGAATTCATATTCAAAACCCTTAAGGATCAGAATGAGCTGCTTGGTTTACTTGTCTCTGATCTCAAATAGTATATCGGGGTTCTCTGATAGTTGCTATATAAGGCCGTGATGGCGAACCTATGCCACACATGCCGGAAGTGGCATGCTGAACTATCTCTCCAGGCACGCCAGCTGTTGCTGCATATGCACTCTGGCCAGCTGGCCTTCGCGCATGAGGGAGCGCCGGAAACCGGAAGAGCAGCTCCCCGGCATGCATGCGTGTGCTGACCAACTGATCTTCACACCTGCATGCATGTTAGAAACCAGAAGACCAGGTGGGCTGCGCACATGCACACGCTGGTAAGCTAACCTTCCGGTTTTTGGCATTCCCACATTAGGGAGTTCTTCTTCTGGTTTACATGTACATGCGTTCCTATTTCGGCACTTGGTGCCGAAAAGGTTAGCCACCACTGGTATAAGGTATTTGAAAGAGGTAATGTTGAAAACATGAATGGTGATGGCCTGTGATGAAGAAAAACTTGGCATTTCAACCAGGGTGTCTTCTAACAGCAACCAAGAAGAATATTTCATAGGGTTCATAAAGTGGGCCCTAATCTTTAGACTGATTTGTACTGTAATGCATTTGTTAATCTTTAAGGAGATGCAAGACTCAAATCAATAGAAGCTGACAATAGAAGCTGGTTGTACAATAGACATTTTGAACAATGTCGGTACCATTGTACAGTTTCAAACAAAAGGTGCTTGTGTTGGACATACCAGTTCAGTATCTAACACACTGATGTGGCAGTAGACAAAGATTATTTACATGCACATATGGTAAAAGTCCAAAGTACAAATTGATTGCGGGACTTTCCTTCCAACATTGATGGGAGTACACATACCTTGAAGAGCTGGCATTTACTTTCCATTTATTGATTGACTGGTCCAGTCAAGTCACTGTTGACTCTTACCGTAGAAACCACATACTGTAGATAAATTGAATTTCTTATTTCATTTTTGAAGCTCCTTGAGATTTGTTTAGGTATTAGTAAATTTCTAGGTTAAATAGATAACTGTATATACCAATGAAAGGAAACTTCTGCTGTGTTCTAGCTCAGCTTGGAGATAACATCTAGCCAGTCTCAATCAGCTTTGACAAACCAAGTACGGTCAGACCTGATTCGTGCTTGAGTGGGAGACTGACAGGAATTCCCTAGGCTATAAACTAGACTGGAAAATTTGAAGAAGAAAAAAAATCACAAAAAGAGCAGTGCAAATCACTTCAATGTTGTTGTCACGAAAATCACAAAAATATGTTCATGAAGTCATCAGGAGCTGAGCCGGACTCTGAAGAGAACTGTATATACACTCAACAAATTAACTAATTTAGCTTGATCAGGATAGCTATTTTGATTTGAAGACAAAAGACATGATTCAGAGCTCATGGGGTTATGAACACAGCATCCATTTGCAGCTCTTAAAATCATTTCCCAGAATTGCTAAACAGCGATGCTGGCTAGTCACGCAGTCTCCGGAAAAAAGCAGAGCTGTTTTATCTGTTCGAAAGTATCTACAAAATAGCAAACTTGTTAAGATGTTGATTTCCAAAAGAAATTGTTTTCCTTTTAGTAGACCATGCTTGTACGGGTAGTCCTCGACTTAACGACCACAATGGAACCCAGAATTGATGTCGCTAAGTGAGAAATTTGTTACGTGAAGTTTCCCTCCATTTTACGACTTTCCTTGCCACGTTTGTTAAATGAATCACTGCAGTGGTTAAGTTAGTCACGTGGTTGTTAAGTGAATCTGGCTTCCTCATTCACTTTGCTTGTCAGATGGTCACAAAAGGGGATCACACGACCCCAGGACAACCATCATAAATACGAACCAGCTTGTCAAGCATCCAAAGGTAAATCGCCTGACCATGGAGATGCCGCAGAGGTCATAAGTGTGAAAATGGTCATACATCACTTTTTCCAATGCTGTTGTAACTTAGAACAGTCATTTAACGAACTGTTGTAAGTCGAGGACTACCTATATAGTACCCTGTGTTTTGATTAATAGGAATGCACGTACCAATCTCCTTGTAAGTGTAATTAGTAGCTCTTTTTTTAGCTAAGGATAGTATGCAAACCACTGAATGGTCACATCTTCTATTAGCCAGTATTCGAAACTCATAATTGTAGCTTAGCATTCCACAACTAGACATAGCAACCATTCTGCCCATTATAAAAGAGTTGCTGATTTTTATTCAGGCCATGAAGTAGAACGAGGATGAAAACTTATTGCCTACAATAACCCAGGCTAATTTAAATCTATCAAACGTGCCCCATGTATGATCTTGGATGCAAAGTGAGAACCGTCAACAATTAAGTCGTATTCTTCTTATGTTCTTCCTGGATACTAATGCACCACTAATTTGGTTCCCCTTCCTTTTCCTTCTTGCTCCACCTGGACTGTGGCAGATCCTTTTGCGTCCACTCCCGATGCCGTCGACGATGCCATTCCAAACTTAAATCCTTTCCTCACCAAATCTAGCGATCACCTCTCTGTCTCCTCTGATGTACTCTCTTCTTTCACTTCTAGGACGCCAACTCATGAGATGTTTGTTGGTAAAGTACTGGGCTGGCTAGCTAGCCGGCTTTTCTTTTTCTCCGACGGGTCTGGTCAATCTTAAACAAATCTGAGGTTTTTCAGTGGGGGAAGGGGGGGGGGGAAAGAGTCCATTTCTGAACATCTTTCTTAATATTTGCTAGCGATTTAATTTGGGGGTCTCCAAACCAGACGCATTTCTACTCCCAGAATTCCTCAGCTGACTGGCTGAGGACTTCCAGGAGTCAGACATGATATTATTCAGATTAAAATCGGAATTCCAATTTTTTGGGGAATCGCCCGGGCGGTGCGAGCGGGCGGGCGGTGCGAGCGGGTGGGCGGTGCGAGCGGCGGGTGGTGCGAGCGGAGCCCGGGCGGGCGGTGCGAGCGGAGCCCGGGCGGGCGGGTGGTGCGGGCGGCGGGCGGTGCGAGCGGAGCCCAGGCGGTGCGAGCGGCGGGCGGTGCGAGCAGAGCCTGGGCGGGCGGGTGGTGCGAGCGGAGGCCGCTGAGCGGCAGGAAAAGGGAGCTGGGCAGCGATTTCTTGGCGCGCGGTGGGGGGTCTCTTTTGGCCAGCCCCAATTTTTTTTCCAGAGGGGAATATCATGCCTGAGGAGTTCAAGTTCACCAGTCTTAAAAGTTGCCAAATTTAGAGACCCCTGATTTAGTTTACCCACAGGTAGTCCTCGACTTATGACCACAATTGGGACTGGAATTTTGGTCGCTAAGCAATATGTTCCTTAGACAAAGGCATCACTTGCCCAGAATGACTTGATGAGCCGTTTTTGCCATGGTCGTTAAGTGAATCACATGGTGGTTCAGTGAATCACACTGTCGTTAAGCCAGATCCAGCTTCCCCAATTGACTTCGCTTACCAATAAGCCAGTGGCGGATTGTGATCACGTGACCTCAAGATGCAGCAACCATCTTGGCAAGCACCAGAATTGCAATCACATGGCCAAGTGTTGTAACAGTGTAACTTTGAACAATTGTTAACAAAGACTTGTAAGCTGAGGACTACCTGTATGATCAAATTTTGAAGACGAGTGAGTGATGGGAGGGGGTTACGTTATACATTCCTTTCCATCTACCCATCTGTCTTCTCTCTGTTTGACTCAATATTGGTTAGTTTTTCTCATTGATTTTCCTCTCTGGAAGATGTTAACCTTTGTTTCAGTCAATCATTAATATTGTGGTGCCAGAAACCCAAATGGCCCTACCATAGGGAGCGTCCCAGTGGTCTTTACCAGTTCATATCCTGCTCAGCTATGAGTTCTCATGGATGCCCTTAATCTTTTTGTCACTTTGGTCTGTAAGTCAAGGAAGGTGCAGTGCTATCTGATCTGAGAAATGTAACCCCTAAATCTTTTGTGCCCAAACCTGTGACTTTCAGTTTAACTTTTGTGGTTATCTCGATGACTTCAATCCGTTTTTGTTTTGTTTTTGTTTTTTTAATCTTACTCCCTGGAAACACCCATATAATCATCCACTACAGATAGTCCTCGACTTAAGACCACAATTGAGCCCCAAATTTTTGTTGTTAAGTCAGACATTTGTTAAGTGAGGTTTGCCCCATTTTACGACCTTTCTTGCCACAGTTGGTAAGTTAGTCACTCGGTTGCTAAATGAATCTGGCTTCCCCCGTTGACTTTTCTCGTTGCCAAGCATCTGAATTTTGATCGCATGATTATGGGGGTGCTGCAAAGGCAGTAACTGTGAAAAACTGTGGTAAGTCACATTTTTCAGTGCGTGAACCGTCACTAAACAAGCGATTATAGGTCGAGGACTACTTGTAATCAGCTCTCCCACTTTACTTTTTCCCACTTTTGAGATATAAAAGGTAACATTTAACCTTCTTGTCTTTGTATAGAATAAAACCTTTACTATTTAAGAAAATCCTAAATTGTGTTTCTCTCTATGTTGGATGTCATGTAGTTACAGTCTTAACTTGGTGTCTGAATGTTTGGTTAACCATATAATAGTGTGCACTGTTTGTTTGTTTTTAATTTTCTTTTCCCATAACATTCCTTTTTTGCTCTTCTGCTTCACATGCTTCTGTCAGATTCTTTTTGTGGCCCACAAGCTTATCCTAATGCTTCCCATTTCTGCAGTGAACCCTCAACTGTAGCTGGTCTATTTGGAGGTAGGTTAACAAAAAAATTAGAGAACAGAGCTTTTGTTCCTCATGCAGAAGGAGGAGTATAGCTGTATCAGTTTCAGAATTCTTACGTTTTAAAACCTTCTGCTGAATAAATTGTGAGTTCTAGTCCTGCCTTATGCACAAAGCCAGCTGGATAACCTTGGACCAGTCACTCTTTCTCTCAGCCCTAGGAAGGAGGCCATGGCAAATCACTTCTGAAATCTTGTCAAACTGCAGGGATAAGTTCAAACAGTTGCCCCAGAATCAACACTGACTCAAAAGACATTTTTAAAAAAGGAAAAAAAATTGTTGATATTCTTCAAACATCAACGGGCTTTTTCGTTCCCTTTTTTGAAAAGCAATAAAATTGTTGTCCAAAACATTATAAATGCCAGTTATGCCTATTAGTTTCCGCTGTTGTTCAGTCATAAATCATAATCGTATATCTTCTGGTGATGTCCTAAAGGTGCTTTTCCAAAAGACAACTTGGACTTTCTTTCTTTTGCTTGAAGACGTTTCGCTTCTCATCCAAGAACTAAAGAAGCTTCTTGGACAAGAAGCGAAATGTCTTCAAGCAAAACAAAGTCCAACTTGTCTTTTGGAAAAGAAACACCCTTGGGACAACCATGACTTGCATGACTGAGAATCTCCATAGATATTCTTCTGGTGATGGTTTTCCTAAACAAGCCCACTGCCTTTATAAATTTGATTTATTTTATGTCCTTGAAATAAAAGTTCAACATGTATAAAAAGCACGTTGGTTGGTGTTTTCTTAAATAGGAAAACTGACATGCAGATGATATCAGTTTTGGTTTTATAGCAGTTTTAAAATGGAGAATGTAGAATAGAATACTTTATTGGCCAAGTGTGATTGGACAGACAGGGAAGTTGGCTTGGTGTAAATACTCTCGGTATACATAAAAGAAAAGGTACTTTCGTTAAGAATCAAGAATCATAACGTACAACACTTAATGATAGTCATAGGGTACAATCAACAATCAAATCATACTAGGAAACAGTCAAGTGGGAGGGAATGGGTGATAAGGAGTGAGAAGATTAACAGTAATAGTAGTGTACACTTTGTAAATAGTTGAACATTGTTGAGGGAATTATTTGTTTAGCAGAGTGATGGCTTTCGGGAAAAAACTGTTCTTGTGTCTAGTTGTTCTGGTGTGCAGGGCTCTAAGTCTGTACTATTTAAGTAACTCTAGCCATGCTGTGGAAAAGTCTGGTGGTGGTGTTTTTTTCAGACTGGTGCTAGTTGTGTTAGAAGCTGCTTAGTACAATATCATTATCCCATTTGGAATAGAGTACATACAGTTACGTTTTGAGTTGTTATCAGCCCTGCGATGACATATGGATCACACGGTTATGTGAAAAAGTATTCTTCCTTTGGATTTTTGGATTGTTTTCTGGCCTAAACCTCTTAAAAACACAACAAGACCAAAAACGAGCAGTTCATGCTAGTAAACCTCAATTAAGGCTGTGAAATAATTTGCCATGCAGGAAGGGACCAGAATTCGTTCAGAGCCCCATCACAGATTAATCACCAGTTACAGAAAGCATTGGCTGCAATTATTATAGCTAGAGGTGGTAAATTACTAGAATTTCTGAATCTAAGGGGGTGATGACTTCCTATCATTCAACAATGGTGTTGCATGTTCTGTTGGATTCTCCTACTATGTTTTAGTAACACAAGGACTAGTAATGTGAAGTTTAATGTTCCATACAAAGATGTGGAAAAATTAGGAGAATTTAAAATGGAGTAAATGTGTTCTTTCCCTCCCCCACCCCACCCCCAGGAGTGTGTCAGGAATATAAGATCCACTTTAATCAGCTCAACATTTCATCTTGTCATCCGTTATTTTGTTTATAGAATCTTAGTCAACATCCTTTTACAGCTAACTACCGTTTCTGACTAACAGCAAGCAAATGGTGTCTTGATAAGCAAATAACTGGGAATATCAATCAGTCTTTATTATGGTCATAAACCAGCAATAATGGGATGAGTTACAGTCATATAAAAGAAGCATAAAATGCATGCCAGACGTAAAAAGTGAAATATCTGAAAAGAGTTATAAAATGCACATCTACACACAAAGAGAGTATAAAAGGCATAAGGTAAGGCTCCAAAAAGGTATGGGAGCCTTAGATGGCTATAGGGGAGACAAAAGACTTACTATGAGGAAATCTGTTGGGTTACAAAACACCCCGACATGATAAATTTGGTGCCCATTGGCTTAAATTTATAATGTGGGCTACTACAAAGAAGAGGAGGTCAAGCTACTCTCCAAAGCACCTGAAGGCAGGACAAGAATCAACAGATGGAAACTAATCAAGGAGAGAAGCAACATAGAACTAAGGAGAAATTTCCTGACAGTTAGAACAGTTAACCAGTGGAACAGCTTGCCTCCAGAAGCTGTGGATGCTCCAACACTGGCAGTTTTTAAGAAGAGACTGGACAACCTTTGTCTGAAATGGTATAAGGTTTTCTGCTCAAGCAGGGGGTTGGACTAGAAGACCTCCAAGGTTCCCAACTCTGTTACTTTGTTATCCTGATTGCTAACATACACCAGAATTCATGATCTGAATTTTGATAAATGCTGTACAGTTTATCTCCAATTGTAATGTGATGTAAGAAACCCAGTTAGGAACTTGAAGCTCTTCTATGATTGGGGGTAGAAGAGTAAAAAAAAAATTTCAACAGAGGCAAACCTTTAGATAGAATTGAAACTGGTTGGATAATTAAGTTAAGGAAATATGTGGAAGAAAGATTCTGATCTTTATTTTTTTTTCTGTTTACTGTGTTTGCTTTTTTGTCTGATTGGTCTTCCTAAAAATAACAAGCTGTCATGTTTGAGTTCAGAAACTTGCAATAAAATTCTGAAATCAGAATATGTTTTTCTGAAGTTAGTTAACTTTATTATCATTGCACCTCGGTACAGCGAAATCAAACACCATCTTCAGTGCACATCATGACCATGAAAATAAACACAAACACACATCCTTCACACTCCACACATTGAACTGAAAACCCCTACACCACACCAACACTGCACTATACAGTAGAATTCAACAGAGCTACTGCCCTGGGATAGAAGCTGTTCTTCAGCCTATTTGTCCTTGTTTTTATTATCCTGTGCCGTCTGCCAGATGGTAATAGATCAAAAAAAGGGTGCCCAGGATGAGATGGATCTTTGAGAATGTTTTGAACTTTCTTAAGGCAGCGGGAGCTATAAAGCTCTTCCAAAGAGGGGAGAGGGCAACCCATGATCTTCTGGGCAATGACATTAACCCTCTGGAGTGCTGTCCTATCTGCCTCTGTGCAATTGGCAAACCATACAGAGGTGCAGTATGTTAAGATACTCTCTATGATGCAGCGGTAGAAGGTCACCAGCAGTTTTTCATTCAGTTGTTGTTTCCTGAGAAGCCTCAGGTAGTATAATCTCTGCTGGGCCCTTTTGACCAGGCTGCAATGTGGGCACCCCAGTTCAGGTCCTCTTTTAGGGTAACACCCAGAAACTTAAAAGTGGCCACTTGCTCCACTCGGTCTCCATTGATAAGCAAGGGCTGGATGTCTGATCTGTTCCTTCTATAATCCACTATAAGCTCCTTGGTCTTATTGGTGTTGAGAACCAAGTTATCGTCTCCACCACCATGAAAGCAACCAGTCCATCTCAGTAGGCAGATTAATTCCCCCCACCCACCCCCACCCCCCGGAGATAAGTCCCACCACTCATAGATGGAATACAATAGAAGTTCTATTTCCTGAATTTATTGCTATGTTTTTCATTTGATGGCTTAAGATTTCGGATCAAGCATTTGCCCTTTTGACATTTTGCCACTCTGCGGCATCCTATTACGACTATAAATAACTATCCATCTATCTCATTTTCTAACCAAAAAAGTGTCACCTTGTCGGACTTCTTTTTCAAATAAAATAATTGTGTGTAAAGTTTTAGTGCTTGTATGCCATTTCCAGGCCTACAAAAATAATAATACTTTTGAGGCGCTTGAATTCAACTAACCAATTATACAATACAATACAAACTGTATGTTTCCATGCTGGAATTGTATTTTCTCTGCTTTCTTGCTCTGCTATTTCTAATACCACGTTTATTGTTGTCACTATTGCAAAATTAATATCAGCAAACTGATCACTCTTGTATTTCACATTATGGTCCCTCTTGATTTAGTCCTGGTGCTGAAATATCAGTAGATATTTCAGCATACAAAAAGTGGCATAGCTATTTCTTTAAAAATTGGTCCCTATTCCCAACCATTTTTAGGGGGTGGTTGTTGTTGCAAGAGGCTTAATAAAAGGCAAGTCATAAAATATATGGATATCTGTGGAACATGTAGCATGACTGCTTGATGGAAACGGAGTGTAAAACATGCTTGGCTTCTATGGCTGACAAATATTTGTGGGAACTTAATTTAAAAACCCAAGATTGAGGTAGATATAATGTAGGTTCTAAATGCCATTTAAATGCTTGTGATTCAAATACAGGAATCTTTATGAATTGGTTAACAGTAGAAATAAGTCAGGAATACTATTCGGAGGAATTCTTAAAAACTGTTTTACAAGTTGTGAATTGAAATAGAAAATTACAATGACACCAGCTCAATAGTAATGCTAAAATTATTTAAAGTACATAAAAGTATATTTTAGTATGACATACAGGCAGGCAGATATGGAAGGGAGGGAGGAAAGGAAGGAAGGAAGGGAGATTACCTCAGGTCATCTTGTTTAGGGAATACGTGTCAAATAATAAATGATGTATTCCTTCTGTACTTTTCTAGATACGAAAAATGGCTCATGCAGTACTTTCATTTACTTTTGCTGTCAAGCTGAAGTTGAATGGCCATCTGTTAAAAATATTTTGATTTATATTTCTGAAATGGGCAAAGTGTTGTCTCAGTGAACTCTAGGACTGCTTCCAGTTCTATGATTTTTCTGAAATTTTCACTGTTTGAATCATGGAACTTTCCTCCAGTTTTTGATTTGTCATTCAGTGTTTGAATTTTCTTGGTCATCACAATAATTTATGGCAATATTTCTTGTCTTCAAATTGAGAGTTTATGTATACTGCATATAAGTAATTTTCCCCATTTTTGTTGGCAGGGTTTACATCATCTCCTGTTGCCCCATCGCAGCCATCAGCAGGCCTTAATGTTGACTTTGAGTCTGTGTTTGGAAACAAAAGTTCAAATGCATTAGTGGATTCTGGTGGTAAGTCTTTCAAGTAGCCCTTATTTAACCCTGTTGTGATAAAGGAGAATATTTTTAGATCAGGGTTAAAAAGAAAGGGTTCTTGGTGCTTTCTGAGCGGGATTGTTTTCTTGCAGATGTTTCATTACCCAGCTAGATAACATCATCAGTGCAATGATATACAATGAAACATCTGCAAGAAAACAATCCACCTCAGAGAGGACCAAAAGCCCCTTAATCCTGTTCATAGAGTAAAGAAAAATGGCACACAAATGCATGAAGATCTCTGAGTTTTCCTAAAAGGAGCCTTTTAAATGCCATGTTTCTCAAGGATGAACAGATTGAGTTTCATCTCATGAAATCTATGAATTCTCTCACCCTCAGTGAAGTGATTTTGTAGTTGTTCACCAAGGTTAATTCTGGAAGAGCTTGCAAGTTATAATCAGCTTTTTCAGATGTAAGATTCCTTTTACTCTTGTTTCGGTTTTGACCCCAGAATTTCTGGAATAGTCAAACTTTATTTTACAGAAGAAAGATGGCAGTATTTTAGTTATCTTTTTATCTCCCTTTGAAGCATAGAAGCAGAACTCCTAAAGTGTTTTTAGCTGTACAGGTAGTCCTCGACTTACAACAGTTCAGTTAGTGATCTTTCGAAGTTACAACAGCACTAAAAAAGTGACTTTATGACCATTTTTCACACTTAACAACCATTGTGGCATCCCCATGCTCACATGATCAAAATTCAGATTCTTGGCAACTGCCTCCTATTTATGACGGTTACAGTGTCCTGGAGACACGTGATCACCTTTTGCAGCTTTCTGAAAAGCAATGTCACTGGGGGAGCTCAAATCACTTAACCCTATGACTAACTTCAGTGATTCACTTAACAAATGTGGCAAAAAATGGGTCGTAGAATGGACAAAATTCACTTAACAAATGTCTCATTTCGCAACAGAAATGTGGGGCTCAGTTGTGGGCACAAGTCGAGGACGATCTGTATTATGCTAAGATATTAAAATACCTGTGTGTTGATATCTGATTCAATAATTGAAAATGTTTTTGTGTTGTTTTTAAGGCTTTGATGAATTAGGTGGACTCCTAAAACCAACAGTGGCTTTTCATAACCAGAATCTTCCAACTTGCAAAGCGCCACCCAATAAGTTAGTATTAGATGACTTGGATTCATCTCTAGCCAACCTCGTAGGCAGTAAGTATTTTTACGGGGCTTATATATAAAAATCAAAAATTTAAAAGAAATGAACTTTTTTTCTAACGATTTTCTTGTTTTGTTTACAGATTTGGGCATTGGAAATGGGACAGCAAAAAAGTGAGTTTTTTAAATAGTTTTTTCTTCTTCTAAATATATGTTCACAGGAGCTTTACATGGCTTACCAGATTCAAATTTTAATGGTATGGATAAGGACAGTGTTGCTGATTGGGAGAGTACTCTAAATGAGCCAGCTGTGACTGAACAACCAATATTTAGCATTTTCCATCTACCCCAATAATATCCATGCTGGGGGTGGCTACTGGACTAGTGGCAGACTTCACTTCCCCCAGTTGTTCTCTGCCCTCTACCCACCCACCCCTATACCGGCAGTCCTTAACTTAATTGAGCCACAAATTTATGTTGCTAACTGAAACAGTTAAGTGAGTTTTGCCCCGTTTTACAAACTTTCTTGCCACAGTTGTTAAGTGAATCACTGCGGTTAAGTTAGCAACAAAGTTGTAAAGTGAAACTGGCTTCCCCATTGACTTTGCGTGTCAGAAGGTCTCAAAAGCTGGTTCACATGATCCCTGGACACTCCAACCGTCATAAATATGAACCAGTTGCCAAGCACCCGAATTTTGATCACTTGACTATGCGGAGGGTGCAGATCATAAGTCTCTTTTTTTCAGTGCCGTTGTAACTTTGAACAGTCACTAAATGAATGGTTGTAAGTCAAGGACTACCTGTAGAGATGGAGGATGCAAAATCTCATGCTTTGGGGGTGTTTTTTTAACATGAGTACTTGTGAGTGTTAATACTTTGAACATTTATTTATAGTGATGTAAACTGGACCCAGCCAGGAGAAAAGAAACTAACAGGCGGTTCCAACTGGCAACCCAAAATTGCACCCACCACTGCTTGGAATGCTCCAACCATGGTAAGCAGTTATCATAGGGCAGGGGTCCCAATCCCTGGGCTGCAACCCCCTACTGGGCAATGGCCTATTTGAAATTCAGCTGTGCAACTTGCAGGCCGGTGCACATGCATGTGTGCACAGCTTGACTTGTGTGAACATTGGGCCGATGCACGTGCACCCATGCGTGCAACTCAACTTCAGCAAGTAGCAGTCTGCGCTGGCCCGCCGCTTATGCAGCCCAGTTCCCCTCTCCCCCCCCCTCCAGCCAGGCCACCAAGCCGCAAAGGTTAGGGCCAACAGTCATGTGGGACTTCATAAATCCAGCGGCTTAGATTGTATCGTGGGTAGATAAGGTACCATCAAGAATTCTAGTATGTGTTCTAGAAAGCCTGGATATCCAATATTCTCTTTTGGATTAGATTCAAATCACTTCATAGTGGCTGATAAAATACCCAATTTGAGGTTAACATCAGCCATAGTCTTAAAAGGTGCAACATTCAGTATCTTTTGTTTAAAAAGCTGGAGGAGGTGACTCTTGACTTTCTTGTGGAAAGTTGGCAGGAAGGTCACAAATCACAATCATATGGCTGTGGGATGCTGTGACAGTCAGAAATGCAGGCCAGGATCACAATCACACTACCATGGGATTGTTGCAATGGCTGGTTGTAAGTACCACTGTCATAAATTCAAATGCTGGCTGAAAGAGTGGCCATTAAGCAAGAACCAGTTGTATCTGAATATTCTTCAGGCAGTTTTTGTTCTAAGAATACAATATACAGTATCTAATGAGTAGAACAAGGAAAGAGGAGTCAGAAAAACATAAGGCATCAGAGAATCATGAAAGAACTCTGTAAGAGCAAGCAATCATCATACTTCTGTTTTAGTATGAAGGCCAAACTAAAAAACCTTCCAGGCATGTTTTGCTTAAAAAAAAATGAAACTGTGGTTTGGGGAAACCTCCCCTTCTTAAACCTATCTGTTTCCCTTGACCTCCCCAACTCTTGGTTAAGAAATATTTCTAAACCATTTCAGAAAGAGAAATTTAGCTGTGGAAGCAGTCATGATGTGCCCTTCCAACTTCTCTGGGTCAGGATCCAGTTTTTGTAGGACTTAATATGACAAAGAAATCCTTGTAATCATCACATTTAGCGCTGCCCTAACTTTTCATACCTGAATGAAGACTGAGGCTTCCAAATAAATTGCACAATAACTTTAAATTTAAAACCCAGTCTTTAAAAAAACAACAACCCAATATTCTTACAGATCACCAATATATGGAATGGCAATTTTGAAATAGGTTTCTAGGAAGCATGGTGTAATCTGAGGAGATTTAGGCTTTGGGTTATACCATATGCAGCGTTTTGAGTTTTCGTGATCTGTTGGGATCGGAAAAAGCAGTGTTCTGTTTTAATCTTCTGCTTTAACACTGTGTTGTTTCATTTTCTCATCAGTCTTTTGTCACAAATTACTGGAGTCCAGTATGTTAAGAAATACATGAAATGTGACAGACTTGCCTATAGTAGATTACATTATATGTTTTGTCACAGACTTATCAAATCTTAATTTTCTTTGTCACTCAACGTCTTACTGGTTTACAAGAATGTGTCATCAGAGTCGTTAAGCACACTTGTAACCAAAATGCTTTTGTGTATATTCTGTTGTGTAAGCAATCATTTCTAATCCAGTGTTATTGCATTGTGTAACTGTTCTTCCGGGGGAAAAACAGAATGGCATGCATTTTCCACAATACGTAAGTGAACAAAACCTGCAGCCTCTTTTTTTTTTTTCCCCTTTTTTTTTGTGCAATCAGATTGGCATGCTGATATTAATCACTACAGCCAAATCTCATAATCCCGCTAATCCACACTTCTGGGCATGATGGAAATTTCGAGCAGTTTCTAATCCGCCCAGATTTTAAGGGCACCCTTTTGAAGCCAAGAATGGCATGAAGAAATGTTCACAATTATTTTCCTGCTTTTGCTGCCCAATTACTGGCGTGCTGCATCTGCCTTGCCTTTTTTTAAATATGCATTTGAATTTGAATAAATGAAATGGAAAAAAATGGTGTTTGTGCATATAAATAATTGCATGGAACCTCACAAGCTTCTTTCCACTCCCACTTACCATAGAGTTGATTTCAAAGAGGGAGAGACCAATATGTTCTAAAACAAACAGGTTTCCAAACTTGGCAACTTTAAGTCTTGTGGACTTCAACTCTATGCTGACTAGAGAATTCTGGGAGTTGAAATCCACAAGTCTTAAAGTTGCTAAGTTTGGGGACCTCTGTTCTAAAATATCACTGAATGGGGTGATATTTCCCATGCTGGGTCAATTGATTAAAAAAATGTCTGAACTGCAGTGCTATCTCATTCCACTCCAAAAACATTGATAATTTTTTAAAAAAAAACACCCCACAAATGGCCTATCTAATTGTTCATAAGTATCGATAAGAGCTAAAGAATAAAGTCTCTATATACTTTTATACTATAAATCACTGCAGGTAGTCCTCGACTTACGACCACAATTGCACCCAAAATTTCGGTTGCTAAGCAAGACCAATTGCTAAGTGAGTTTTGCCCCCCATTTTGCAACCTTTTTTGCCACAGTTGTTCAGTGAATCACTGCAGTTGTTAAGTTAGTAACACAGTTGTTAAGCAAATCTGGCTTCCCCATCGACTTTGCTTGTCCGAAGGTCATGAAAGCACATCACATGACCCTGGGACACTGCAACTGTCATAAATACATGTCAGTTGCCAAGCACATGAATTTGATCCTGTGACTGTGGGGATGCTGCAACAGTTGTACATGTAAAAAAAATGCTTATAGGTCCCCTTTTTTTTGATGCCGTTTTGAACAGTCACTAAACAAATGGTTGTAAGTTGAGCACTACCAGTTTTTGAGGTAAGTTTAACTAAGAGAAGTTTTCAATCTTTAGATTATCTTTCTGGTTTGTTCAATCTGCTCTATATATGACGCTTACGACTGAATTTCCATACATCAAAAATCATAGTAACTTTAATTCTTCAGCTCTTTCTTTTGAAATATCCTACTTCAGCCCGTTTGGTTTTACTTCCCATATCATTATTGGTCTTTCCCTATAATCTTTTCATGGAGAAGAAAATCTTAGACCACCTTAAACAGTTAAAAAAATGAGCAAACCTATGGCCATGTATACGCATATATACAGTGATGGGCTTCTACCGGTTTCACAACTGGTTCAGTGAGTGTGCACTTTGCGCGCAGAACATTACAAAACCGCCATTTTATAGCTTTACTACTTTCTGCAATTCTGGTGAATACAACAGCCGAGGGGCGGTAATCCGCTGTGCTGTGCCTCAGCTGAGCTTCAAAACTGCAGAAATAAAGGACAGACTAAGGCAGGGGTGGGTCGGCGGGAGACAACCGATTGCCAGAGCTAAGGATTCTCCCGAACCCACGCAAACCCTAGGCAGCCCACCCCTGCATATATACACCATCTTTTGCTATGTTAATATTAATCACTGCCATTTCATCAATCATAGTAAACAATAGCCAATTGGACCCCATTGTCCTGTGTAACAGTGTAGTCCATAGGAAACCACAGTGTGGTTTTCCTTCATTCACTTTTATCTTTTTAGAAAATCTCTTTCAGACAGTTGGATTTCTTATAAAACGATGGGTATGACATTGCACAGCAGGATGAGTCTAGTGTCTATACTATACACACGTGTTTTTCTGCTTGCCATTTTATGGAGCAATTGGCCTCTTTCTAGGATCTTTGCATGAAAGGTCATTCAGGTTCATTGAGCAAAAATTGCATTATTATTATTAATTGATTATTGCTGATCAGAAGGAGGAAGGAGTGACATATCTTAAGTTACTCGTAAGCACAATTGCTTGCAAAGATATAGATATAGATCAGTGGTGATGTGCTACCGGTTCGGCTCGGTTCTGCCAAGCCAGTAGCGGCGATGAGCAGCAGAAACCGAACCGATTCTCCGCCGCTCTGCTGTTGGGCCCGCCCACCCGCCTGGGCTCCCATGCTCACCTTTATCCTCTGCTTTTGAAGGGCAGCTGCTTAGTGTGGCACAGAGGAGTGCTGTGCGGCAGCTGCTGAAGTGACAGGGAGAGTGGAGGCTTGCAGGAGGCAAGTGGGAACGCCTCTGCGCCTGCGCAAAGTGCGTGTTTGGTGCGTGCGTAGCAGATGTCACAAAATTAATATAAAATTAAGGATATTCATGCCTAAGTTATGTAGGTTAAAATGCTAAAAAAAAAACACCATAAAGGAATGCATCTTACAAAACACCTTGTCAATATTAACTGGCAGCGACGTGGAGAAAAAACTCAGAATATATGTATGCTGGCATATAGTTGTTGAACTGTATGCAAATATCTAGCACGTTCCCAGTAATCTGATAATTGTCTGAAGTCCATCAAATTTGGAGTTCATTTTCATGAAGTTTTAGGGATTCATTGAGCTATAGTTAATGTTTTGGTAAACCTCCTACCTAAAATTTAATGATTTAAGGTAGTTAGTTAGAGTTGCCAGCTCTCTGGAGATCCCCATATTAACCTGGACCAGCTCTAACCTGTAGATACCTCAGGTATCTGCAACTATGTTTTAGTGCTTAAAGAGAGCAGCAGTCTGAAACTGCTCATTTTAATCAGTAATTGATTATTCTAATAAATTATGTAGTTGCCAGTTAGGCTTCAGCTGGTAATGGAGGTCATACAAGAGTATTGTCAGTTAAATAGTTCATTAATTGTGATAATTAATAGTTCTTTTATCTTGTCCCAGTTGAGAGGCTTTGGGGGCAGCGATCTCCCTTCAAAAATATCAGAGCCATAGTTAATAACAAAAACATAAAATCAGCTCTGTCTTTGATCAAGGTACAAAAGAATCATTTATTCTTTGGGGATTTATTTATTTATCCATTCATTCATCAAGTTTATATGGTTTATGTTGCTGCCTATCTCACAAACGATTGTAGGTGTATATTCTTAAGATATACAGAACAATTGTTATCATTTTAAAAAAATGTAAAAACTTATAAAGCACAAGGCTAAAAAAGAGAATAAAATAATGTTGTGCTTTTCCGATTAGGCACCCCCTGTCATGGCCTATCCCGCTACAACGCCAACAGGAATGATGGGATATGGAATGGTCAGTAAAGTTTGTATTTTAAGTCTTTTGAGGAGCATTAATTCGTCAGACATCCCTTCCCAATATATTCATTATGCTTGTTTGTGTGTTTATGGAAGAAGACTGTTCTGAGATGAATCTGTTTGAATTCTGTCCCATTCTCTCTCCCTCCCCCTCTCCTCCCTTCTCTCTCCCCCCTCCCTTTGTGATCTCAGTTTGCTAGGAAAATCACTCATGGTAAACTATTCTGAGCACATTAAGGTAGAAAAGTGGGAGACAAATTGTAACCCCAAAGAAATAATAGACTCTTTTGCTTCCAGTTTTCTAATACCTTCCAGATGTGCTGCAGAATTTGCACAAATGTACAGTTAAAATTAGAGTTAACTTAAAACAGATGGGTGATGTAAGAAACATTAACAATCAGGCCCAGTTATTACAACTGAAATGAAAAGGGTGCTTTCTGAATAAGAATACCTTAAAATGATGCAAGAACAGATGTGGCGAAAGAATTTTGTATGTATCCTCTGGGCTGGAGCTTTTGTTCCAGCCCAGCTGGAACAAAAAGCAGATTCTTGTTGGCCATTTCTAAAAGCAGGGGTCTTTAAACTTGGCCACTTTAAGACTCGTGGACTTCAACTCCCAGAATTCTCCACCCAGCATGAAGTCCACGAGTCTTAAAGTGGTCAAGTTTGGAGTCCCCTGCCTAAAAGGACAGAGAGGTCATGTAGGGAAAATCCCTCCAGCAAAAATGACACCAAAGTATTTCCAGTGACTTCTTTGTGGTAGCTCTGATGGCTAACCCATCCTGCTATTTCATAAATGTTCTACTGTCTTATTTACAGAAGATGATGGTTGAAAGCATACTCTTAATGGTTGTCATCATTCATTTCATAACATTAATTCTGTGCTATTCTGGATTTTTAGCCATCCCAAATGGGAGGAGTACCAGTAATGACACAGCCAACTTTAATATACAGCCAACCTGTCATGAGACCTCCAAATCCTTTTGGTCCTATATCAGGAGCACAGGTAGGTTTTAATTTGTACTCTGGAGCCCTGAAAGTACAAGGAAGGTCCTCTGTTGAGAATGAAATCAGTTAAAATATTTTTAATTGTTAGTGGCAAGCAGATGTATCTGGTTCAGATGTTAAGCTAGTTTCACATCCAAGACAGCTTTCATTCTGAGCCAGATGGAATTGTCCAAATTGTTCATAAGGAATTATACACCAGAGGACTTCAAAAATCTGAGGTGTGAGTTCTTCAAAGGAGGTCCTACTGAAGCGAGTTTTGAGATGACAATCAAATTAGGTAATTCATCAATGAATCCATAAATAAAAATAGTATTTTTTTTTCTGTCAGAGAAGTTGAAGCTGAGGAGGCGCCAGAAGAGTTACTAAAATGACTGAATAATACATATTTCCAGGGGGTGTATTAGAAGGAAAGTTATAAAGAAATGTGTTTTCACTATCCAGATGAAATATAAGATTTCTACTTCTGAGGCTTAAAGTATTAAGCTGGTTTTGATGCCTACAGCGTATTCTCATTGTACTGATGTCATTGCACACTTTGGTTTTTTTTTTTTAATTTATAACAAAGGAAATGTTTCATTTTTGTTCTTCCCTTACATGAGAATGTGAAAATGTTCCCCTTGGATGCATTCTGAAATCAAGACAGTACTGAAGACTGTAATGTCTCTATGTCCACAAACTTGCTTTCTTAAGCTTTCAGAAAATACGTGGAAGGTGCCGAAACCCGAGAATGATTTTATAAGATAGAGATTCCGATGCACATTGGGAGAGCTTGTGTCTATTTAGATCAGGGGTCTCCAAACTTGGCAACTTTAAGATTTGTGGACTTCAACTCCAAGAATTCCTCAGCCAGCTATGCTGGCTAAGGAATTCTGGGAGTTGAAGTCCACAAGTCTTAAAGTTGCCAGGTTTGGAGACCTCTGCCTTAAGCTATCCAAAAAGCAAGCAAACAAACAAACAAAAAGATTTGAGGCCAGCAGTATTTTCACAGATAGGACATATTTTGAAGAGTTCAACCTTGAGTTATTCCTTCCCCTCTACCCCTAAATGGCACGGCAGCAGAAGAATTTGTAACTTGTGCCCTTTCTGAATGCTTGGATTGATCTTGGCCGTGTAGCTAAGAATGAGGAAATCAACTGTTGTCATTAGCAACACACCCTCCGTGTAAGCATTCTCTGGGTTTGCCCCTGAATTAAACCATTTGTGGTTTAATTCGTTGCTCTTGGCTTGGCTTTACCGATGTCAGATTTATTAGAGTTTCTCGCTGAGGGAACAAAGGCTTGTTGTGAAGGCCTATTTGCTAGCCAGGTGTCACCACTACTTGGCCTGCCTTAGCGTTTTGAAGGAATAGTTGTTCCTTTTGGGTCACCTGTTGGCGTTGGCAAGCCTTTTGTTAGTTAAGCTGCACGCACGGGCAAACTCTTTACGTTACGTGAACTAAATATGTTAACCACAGCAACTGGAGTGAATGAGCCTGGACTTTCACCGTTTGCCATGGAACTGAAAGGGACCCATTCATGGCATGTCCCTCTCTCTTCCCTCATTAAACCCCACATAGTTTTCTCATTCTGTTCTCTTCCATATCCACCTGTTTCTCTCCAGACACAAAGTACAGGTTATGGACCCAAAGATAGGTTTTTGTGTTTAAAGGGTGCTTCTAAGAGGATGTCAATGGGACCAGTTTTAGTAACTGCTGCTGTCAGAGCTTCACCCAGAGCAAAAGAGAAAATATCTCAACTAGGAAATTTATATTAGGGAGAGTAGAGAAGAGGGAGCAGAGCAGAGCATATAAGAAATAAGACTATACTATAGGAAATACACAAGGAAGTTGTGTCAATTACTGAACTCTAAGCAAGTAATTTTGGCTAATGTAAGCTTGTTTATTCATTTAACAAATTTCTAAGGCTGTTCAACTCCCTAAAGGCTCTGGATAGTATAGAACAGGGCCCCTCAAACTTGGCAGCTTTAAGACTTGTGGAATTCTGGGAGTTGAAGTCCGCAAGTCTCAAAGTTGCCAAGTTTGGAGACCTCTGGTATAGAATATTAAACAGTCAAAAACATAACCAAGAGAAAAGAGCAATAATCTTCCAGATCAGGGTTCTCAAGGGAATTTCCAGGACTTCAATTCCCAGAATTCCAAAGCCAGCAGGACCATTGATGAGAATTCTGGAGGCTGAAGTCCACATTACTGGAAATTCCCAAGGTTGCTCCAGACAGTAATAGAACCATTGCCTTTAACACTGCATTTTTACCCCAATGGGTCTGCTCCATTTCCTAGCCCAGGGCACGGGGTCAAAACCAGGTTTTCATGGCTAACTTAAACCAGGTTGAGGTACACTGACGTGCTTTTGCTTCCTTTGAGCTGTTTCCTCATCTGAGGGAAAATGCCTGGATGAAAGAAACTTCATACAAGCATTAATACTATCATCAAAGGCAAAGGAACAGATGCATTTAATTTTATTTTAACTCTCTGATGAAGTTGATATCCTGTGCTGGAACCAGAACATGGAAGGAATTAAAATCCTATGGGAAAGCTTGGATCAGAGTGATATTTTAGGCATTGGTGGGAATCTGAGTGCTTTTAATAGAATTTTGTTCTACCTTCCTACATTCAGTGTGACTGAACTATTGTGTATACGTATGACTAAAATATTTACTTTTTTTTAAAAAAAGCAATTTGGCGCTGCTGTTTGGAAGACAGTTTCCATGGTAGGAAGAATTCGCTAGACTTTTAAGTATCTTGGGCTCACTTGTAGATTATATTCTAAACATAACGAGTCTATTTTTAGCAAAAAGCAAATTCTGTCGTGACAGTTGATATGGAACAGACAGCCACTTTCCCATATTGATAATATTTATTCACTTATGGTTTTGAACAGAATTTAAACATAATGGGAACTGTCTTAAAAAGGCCCCAGAACAGTAACAGGGAAGAAAAATTCCCTTCTCTTCACCTAATTTGTGCAGCCAATCTAATAACATGTTAATCTGAGAAGTACAGAGATATGTTAGTATATATAATAACATAGAATAACATGATTGGAAGGGACCTTAGGAGGTGGTCTAGTCCAACCCCAGTTGTCTCCAGTTGTATTGTGAAAGTGTCTCTCAGGAAATATCTGAGTAAGCACTAGGTAGGCGTAGGCATGTAGATGTGCCAGAACTGGAAATAAGGGTTTTAATTATAATTAAAGGTTTAGAAATTGCAGTAAATCCAGTAGGATTGCTTATCTCTTCGCCAGTATTGCTACTCTTGGGTAAAGAGTTTTGTCCTCTGTGCTGTATGTATTCCTTAACCTCCCTTTTTGTGGCCTTTGAATTCTTAATAACAAGGCTGATTCAGAACTGATGAAAACTGTGGTGTAAACCCTAAAATAAGCATATCACAGTGAGTGCAGGTCATCCTTAACTTACAACCAGTTGCTTAGTGACCATTTGAAATTAAAAATGGACCTTCCCGGGGGATGCTTACACTTACACAAACACAAACACACACACACACACACACACACACACACACAGTCACATGACCTTTGAGCATTGGGCAGCCAGCCTAGATATACGGCCATTTTGCAACATCCTGTAGTCAGTCACATGACTGCATTTTGCAACACTTTTGTCAAAAACCCAGCCTTTGCTTCCAGTTTTACGACCCTGGCTTTGGCTTAACAACTACCACCAAAAAGGGTCGTAAAATCGGATAGGACATTGTGGCGCCATGGTTATAAAATGCAGTGCTGCAGGAAAACTCTTATCCACTGCCAGCAGTTCGATCCTGACCAGCTCAAGGTGGACTCAGCCTTCCCTCCTTCCGAGGTGGGTAAAATGAGGACCCAGAGTGTTGAGGGCAAGATGCCGGCTCTGTAAACCGCTTAGAAAGAGCTGTAAAGTACTGTGAAGTGATATATAAGTCTTAAAGCGCTATTGCTAGGTCACATAGATGCTTCTCAGGACTTACCACCATAATGGGCAGGCTCCATTACGGTCATAACTCGAGGACTCCTCTGCTGCGTAGCTGTACCCAGCTTTTGCAGCCTTTGATTCCCAGAAGGAACCTTGAGTTGTATCTTTTGGCAATCAAAATGCTGTCCAACTCAGCTCATCTGTCTTGTGGCGAATCTTTCAGGCAGATTTGTTCCTTTGAACATGACTTGCCAAACACTGAGCCTGGAATCCATTCAAATGAGACCAGCCACTTCACTGTAATTCTGGCTCCATTTTTTTTTTTAAACCTACTCCTTTCTTTGCAGAATTTTATGCCTGACCTCTATTTAAAAAGAAAAAAAATTCCTTCCCAGAACGAACACACACGTAGGCCCAATACTTTAGGCTATGGTCAAAGGTGGGAAGTGATTGTAAAGGCCTTTTTGTTGATAGGCTGCTGTCTCCGCCTGTAATTTAAAGAGAATTAGTAGAGAATGTTACTAATGTTACTGCTGGGTGTGAAGAATCCTCAATATAAAATAAAAAAAAGCAGAGCTGGAGTAGTCAGAAGAAATCATTGCACAGAGCCCCCTTGAGGGGACAAAACCAAAATAAGCAATTAGAATTAGAATTCTTTTATTGGCCAAGTGTGATTGGACACACAAGGAATTTGTCTTGGTGCAAATGCTCTCAGTGTACATTAAAAGAAAAGATACATTCGTCAAGAGTCAAAAAACATAAAGTACAACACTTAATAATAGTCATAGGGTCCAACAAGTGGAAGGGGATGGGTGATAGGAGTGATGAGAAGATTAATAGTAATAGTAGTGCAGACTTTGTAAATAGTTGGACAGTGTTGAGAGAATTATTTGTTTAGCAGAGTGATGGCGTTCGGGGAAAAACTGTCCTTGTGTCTAGTTGTTCTGGTGTGCTTTATTCTTAACTCCGTTGCATTATTCATGTTCCATTTTTGGTGGATTTACTCCAGAGCACAATAGATAACCAATCCTTAGCCAGGCTGGTATCAGCCCTCTTATTGCTGATGCAGCTGATCCTCAACTTACTGCCACAATTGAGTCCGAACTTTCCATTGTTAAGTGAGACATTCGTTAAGTGAGTTTTCCCCCGTTTTTATGACCTAGGTTTCCACGGTTGTTAAGTGAATCGCTGCAGTTGATAAATTAGTAGCACGGTTGTAAAGTGAATCTGGCTTCCTCCCATTGACTTTGCTTGTCAGAAGGTCGCCAAAGGGACAAAGCAACGGGTCATAAGCGTGAACCAATTGCCAGGCCTCTGAATTTTGATCACGTGATCATGGGGATGCTACAAAGGTGGTAACTGGGAACAACGGTCATAAATCACTTTTCCCAGTGCCGTTGTAACTTTGAACGGTCACTAAATGAACCGTTGCAAGTCGAGGACTAACTGTACAAGTACATTATTTGTCTGTATAAGTAAAGGCTCAGGTCTGAATATCTGAGGCAGTTTTGAAATTGTAACACCACATTAGGCAACTGGTGAAAGACAGAAAGTGAATCTCTGATTTTTGGCCTTGTTGAGAGAATTAGCCAGACCACTAAGAGGTTGTTCTCGACTTATGACCACAATTCAGCCCACTGCTAAGCAAGACAGTTGTTAAGTGAGCTTTGCTCCACTTTACCACATTTCTTGCCGCAATTGTTAAGTGAATCACCGCAGCTGTTGAGTTAGTAACGCAATTGTTAAGTGACTGTCTGGCTCCCCCATGGACTTTGCTTGTCTGAAGGTGCAAATGGTGATCACGTGACCTCAAGGTACTGCAACCATCATAAATACACGCCAGTTGCCCAGCATCTGAATCTCGATCACATGACCATGGGGAAGCTTCAAGAGTCCTGAGGGTAGGACAAGAAGCAATGGGTGGAAACTAATCAAGGAGAGAAGCAACCTAGAATTAAGGAGAAATTTCCCGACAGTTAGAACAATTAATCAGTGGAACAACTTGCCTCCAGAAGTTGGGGATGCTCCAACACTGGAGGTTTTTAAGAAGAGATTGGACAACCATTTGTCTGAAGTGGTGTAGGGTTTCCTGCCTAAGCGGGGGGGGGGGTGGGGTGGACTAGAAGACCTCCCAGGTCCCTTCCAACTCTGTTATTCTATTCTGTAATAATCACAGTTGTTAACGTGAAAACCAAGTCATAAGCCACTTTTTTTCAGTGCCATTGTAACTTTGAACAGCCACTAAACAAATGGCTGTAAGTCAAGGACCACCTGTGAAGGGCTGAGATGCCAACATTTTCTTCCAGACACATCCAAATACTGAGATCCCTGTTTCTAGGGGAATCTATGAGCCGCGGTGGCACAGTGGTTAGAGTGCAGTACTGCAGGCTACTTCTGCTCCCTGCTGGCTGCCTGCAACTTAGCAGTTCGAATGTCACCAGGCTGCAGTTTGATTCAGCCTTTCCATCCTTCCGAAGTGGATAAAATGAGGACCCAGATCGTTGGGGGCAACAGGCTGACTCTATAAACTGTTTAGAGAGGGCTGTAAAGCGCTGTGAAGCGGTATATAAGTCTAAATGCTATTGCTATCTTTATTTTTGGCATCTACCATACCATTGGAGCAGAAATGGTATTTTCCATGCCATGATTCTTCCCTCCTCCCTTTTAACCAGTCCACCTCAGCTGTAACTACCTTTTCTCCTAACTGCCTTCTCCATCATTACATTTCCCGCCTTCCTGGTTCTGTCATTGAGGCTTTCTTTTTCTCTCTCTCTCTCTCTCCCTCTCCCTCTCTCTCCCTCTCTGCCATCTTCTCTCCCAGCTGTCTGCTGCCTCCAGCCCATCCACTCAGAGTCCACACAGACCTTCAGGAAAGGACCCCTTTGCAGAGGTCTCCCTGCAGGATTTCTTGTAGGATCCTTTAGGTATTGCATGTTCATTTTGGGGAGGGTGGGAGGGCATTGGCCACCTGGGAACAACCTCTTTCGTCGTCCCAGAGGGCCGCTCCCTGCCACAGTCGCATCGAAATATCGTTCATGTTGGCGAGGTCTGCGCAGAATGGCACGTTTGAATGGTTTGATTGGATGAGCAAACTTTCCCTGATGGAGCAAAATTTTAGCATCGCCACTAAAACTCTGGAAACAATGTTATGTTGGTTGAAACTAATGAAATACGCACGTTTGTATGCTGGATGTGGAGGGACATCTGAATCAGATCAGCATCTGGTCTCTTGAGGTGCCTCTTTTGCTACGTTCCCAGGTGTGATAAGTTGAGCCGCGTGTCCCACAGATCTGATTCTCTCCAGTTGTGTACGTTGAGCTACACGGAGATCGTAAATGGCTGGATTCAAGTATTAATGTCATTCTTCAAGTATTAAATCTTTTTCTTGTGTTATTGGGATCCCAGAAGAACATTTTTTTTTTTTTTGGTTTACCCTTCCCTCACAATTTTGGATTTGCTTTGCATTACATTTTTGGTCTAAAGTCTCTCGACCATCAACCATGGCCTTTGAAAGAAAATTACTACTTTTAAAGATCCAGTTTGTGTTGTAGTTGCCATAAAGCCATTTTACAGTTGACCTCTCTAGTGCTTTGATAAGTTGCCCCATTTTGCCTGTAATTCCATTTCTGCATCCATCAAAGTTGCCACCCGTATTTTAAATCCCATATTGGGCTGAAGCGTGGCATAAATACAGCTGTCACAGCTATGCCACATCCTCCATCTTCATTGAATGGAAACCATTTGTGTGACTTAGGGCAGTTCTCCCTAATAATTTATCCTTCATTGTAGAATGATGTTGGAGTGGTACGATGGCCTAGAGGTGAAGCTCTCGCCTCACAATCAGGGGACTGTGAATTTGATCCTACGTAGAGGCAGATATTTCTCTTTCTGGGCACAGTGAGAATATATCTGCTGAACAAAACTCTGCCTTGGCAACAGGAAGGGCATCTGGCCCTTAAACACTCTGCTAGCTCCATTCAGTTTCCCAGACTCCACCGCGCAATGGGTTATCAGGTTGTTAATAGGAAATGATGATGGTTGTAGAGTGATGTTGGCTGCATCAGAGATATTTTGGAGGCTTCCTTTAGGTTTTAAACGTAGCTAGCAAAGGGATGAGATAAGAAGAAATTAAGACAGAGTTGTGTGCTGACATTGTTAAGGTGATCTGTGACTTCCTTAGTGCGCTCTGGAACGTTGCTTTCTTGCAGATGTTTCATCATGCAACTAGGTAGCATCAGTGCAGCCCTGATGATGTTACCAAGTTGGGTAATGAAACGTCTGCCACAAGAAAGCAACCACATTCCGCGAGCACCAAGAACCCCGCAGTTCACCCCTAAGCTATGGCTATCCCCTTCCTGTCGACAAGCTAATCTTGATTTCATCTTTTATTTTCTCAGATCCAGTTTATGTAATCATACCAGACGGAGTGGAGCGAGAGAGAGAAAAAAATTCCCAGCAAGACACGTGCTCAGTGACCAACCCTTTTTTTGCAGCTCAGTCCAAAACGGAAGCCTCTCCAGCTCTCCAGTAGAACAGACTCAAATCATGCAAAGCCCACAACAAAGTTGCGAGTCTCTCGGCCAGCCTGAGGAAATCTCAGCACCCTGCAAGCGTGGTATAAAGCCAAGAATTGCCACAAATTTGGTGTGGGATCTTTTTTCTATTCCCCTCGCCCTTTCCCGCGGTAACTTAACGTGTTAGTAACTCCCGCCCCCTATTTTATAACATTGATTGGTGACCTATGAAAGAAGCTACCTATTCTGCTAATCAATGTTCTCGAAAGCGCTCTTTGGAATGAAGAGCTGGACACCTTTTGTTTTTCTCCTTAACTTCAGTGGCTTTTCTCTCTAGAGGATCAAATCCTAACTCTCTGATTCTACAGCTTCCTCTCTCCGTTTCATCACCAATGTTAGTCTCCATGCTGAAAAGTTTTAACTTAAAAAGGAGAACAAAAAAAAACAAAACAAAAAACCCCCAACAACCAACCCACCGAATTATATATTCCGTTCGCGTAGACATTCCTTTATGTATTATTTGTTTGTATTTATTTATGATTATCCGTTTAAAATAACAAATATATCACAAAGCCTCCTCTACAGAGGAACGAATGCCGATGTATACTATGAGTCTCCCATTAAGGGTCCGTCTCCTTTTATTATTATTATTATTTTTTTATCCACCGGAACAATTTCTAGACAACTTTCAATCCACACTCCTGCCACGCAGAATATTGGGCACGTACCAAGGTCTGAAAAATGCCCCTTGTTGAATACACAACACACACACACACACACACACACCAGGAATTAAGAGCGATCGACAGACGAAGCTGCCAGTTCTGCTAAAGATTTGGGGAAAGGGTGGGAGTGTGTGAAACAGCCGACTGGTGGGAGCATGGTATTTTTTTTCAACCAGGCGTCCTCGGTGCTTTGAGAAAGCTTTTCCTTGCTTTGTGCTTGGCATGCCATTTATCTTACACTTGACATAACAGCCTTTTCCAAATGATTGTGAGGAATTGCTTTCACTTTCAGAGACTTTCCTTCTCTGTATAAAAGAAGAAAAAAAACAAGCAACTATGGACAGTTCTGGTGGGGGGGAGAAGACATTCTTTTCTGCGTTTGAATCATGTACCAAGAAACAGAACGAAAATCTCAGAAGGGAAGTCGTGTCTTTTTTTTGCTATGGGCAACCCATCCATGAAGTTCTCCAGGGGAAGCTCCGTCGAATCGTGTTCGGGATGGCTTCCTGGTGCCCTGGATTTCTCAGCGCATAGGAATCCTTTTTTTGTTCTTATGGTGAATTTGAAAACAGCACTGTGGATCGGTGCTATATGTAAATACATCCTATCGGTTTTAGGTGGCATTTGGGGCCTTAAAAGGAGGATAGTCTGGGGGCATGAAAGCAATTCTGTACATGAATGAAGCATATTTGCTGCATTGTCTCTGCAGATTCTATTTTTGTTTAAAATGTTATAAAATGTATGTTAGCAAAAAAAAAAAAGGTGGATTTTCAAATAAAACGCAGCTTCCACAAACTTGTTTGAGTTGCGGTATGAATCTCTGAGGGTGTGAGGTTTTATTTCTGTAGGGGTGCAGGGCAAAAATAGCCACTTTTAATTATTGTATAAATTCAGTAAGCGAGAAGAAAAATTCTCACCAGTTGCTGCAGGTAATATACTGTGTTTGGTTTTTGGACTGAGGTCTTCGTGAATAGTCCTAAAACTATTGCCAATACTTAACAGACAGCTATACTAGACTTCCGTGTCAGAAGCACAAAAGCACTTCTGTTGTGAAAGGATCAAATGGTGAAATCATTGTTCCTCGGGTCACGCCCAGTTGGGGGCTCTTTTTGTGTGTCCCCCCCCCCTTAAGTTGCTCACTAAAGTGGTACCCATCTATCTGCGGCCTGTTTTTGAATAGCTGGGTTGTCAGGAGCTGGAGTTAGTGACAGGAGCTTGCCCTACTGCACAGCAGCAACCAGGTCTCGAACACAAGCCTGCCGATTGTCAACCAGACCAGGTGTTCTCTTTAGAAATAGCTACTTTCTGCTTTGAACACTATTCTGTTACCTTCAAATATGATTGATTTTGCCTGATCTTTCTAAGCTTTGATTTAGTCTTGGGGGGGGGGGGAGATTCGCACTTGCATGTAGGTGCCAGATTCAAATATGGTTTATATTGGTGTTGTGGTCTGCCAACAGCCAGCAGAGCTGGCAGCAGACTCAGATAGTGAGGTTGGGGAGGAACATGGGCCAGTCCTGGAGTCTGGGGAAGGCTCCGATGAGGGCTCTACGTTGGAGGCAGAGATGGGACCAGGACCATCTGACAGTTATCAGCTGCCTTCAGAGTCAGACATCAGTGGGGCAAAAGAACAGCTGGAGCCTGTTCCCAGTGTGCGCATGTGCAGAGCTGCCAGAAGAAGGGAACAGCTAAGGAACAAGGGTCAACTCGGGAGTAAAGCCACAAGTGGACGGTGAACGGCCCCTCCCATAGGGAATAAATAGGAGCAAAAGGGGGATGGGGTTTTGCAGGAGACAATTAGTTCAATTCATTAGGGTGAACTGTTGCTGACTTCTTGCCAAATATTGTCTGCTACAGAGTGGCGTTTGGAAGATATCGGCCTGGCAGCTCTCCAAACCTGATAAAGGTCTGTAATTGTGAAATCTCTTGAAAGACTGTTGGCCAGAATTTTACTGGAGAGGGATTCGCTTTAAACTAAATAAAATGGGTTTTATCGGAATGAGGAGTCAGTTTTGTGCTTTTGGGGGAAGCCTAGATCAGAACAATTGGATGGGAGAAACATCAAGAAACCCCAGATCTGGGAAATAACCAACTACAAATACAATTACATGGATACCTGTCTCTGGGAATGGAACTCAATAGGAGTCCCAAAGGGTGCTTTTTCCAAAAGGCACCTGGACTTTCTTGGGTTTTTTTTCTTGAAAACATTTCACTTCACATCCAAGAAGCTTCTTCAGTTTTCGAGGGGAAAAAAAAAAAAGGAAAGTCCAGGTGCCTTTTGGAAAAGCACCTGTGGGACAATATGACCTGGATGATTGAGAATCTCCATAGACAAAGAAGATTTTTCCCAATTAATATGGTAAAATTCTTGCTTGGTTTTGCCTCAATTTAATAATTGATCCCATTTAAGTTTCAGAAAAACATCTGATAATGATGGATACAATTTCCATTTGGACAACATTTTGAAATGACAGGTTTTATTGCATCCGAAATAATCTTGACGAGGCAGTTAAATTAATAATATGATATCTGGGAGTTTGTGCCATTTGTGTTAACATTGTTATGCCTATCCTGTCAATGTGCACAGTTTGTGTTGTGTAATCCGCAAACAAACTGAAGCAAGTGTTTCATTCTACCTGTCTATTTTGGTCAAATTAATGCATGCAAATTTTTATACTAGAGAAATACTAATAGTCCTCGACTTGTGACTACAATTGACCCCAACATTTCTGTTGCTAGTTGAGACAGTGACGTGAGTCTTGCCCATTTTATGATTTTTCTTGCAACAATTCTTCAGTGAATCCCTGCAGTTGATAAGTTAGTAACCTGGTTGCAAAAGGGGATTGTATAACCCAGGGACTCTGCAGTTGTCATAACTATGAATCAGTTTGCCAAGCGGCTGAATTTTGATCATGTGACCATGGGGATGCTATGGGGAAAACGGTCATAAAGTCACATTTTCCCAGTGCTGTTGTAACTTCAAACGGTCACTAAATGGAATGGTTGCAGGTTGAAGATTACCCTGTACTTGAGAGTTGCAAATTCAGAGTCCAGTTCATTTAATGGAAAACTTACAAATGTGCTTAGTACTTAGAGCGTCGATGGTGCAGTGGTTAGAGTGCAGTACTGCAGGCTACTTCTGCTGACTGCCGGCTGACTGCAATTTGGCAGGTTGAATCCCACCAGGCTGAAGGTTGACTCAGCCTTCCATCCTTCTGAGGTGGGTAAAATGAGGACCCGGATTGTTGGGGGCAAGAGGCTGACTCTGTAAACTGCTTAGAGAGGGCTGGAAAGCACCATAAAGTGGTATATAAGTCTAAGTGCTATTGCTATTAGTACTTTTAGTGACTCTGTTGAGTGTTGTGACTATCAAATCAGGTTTGGTCTCTCCCTATTTTTTTTTTGATGGAAATTATTTTCCATCAGAAAATATTTAAAAGTATACCACTTCCTTTTTCCAGAGAATATTTATTTATGCAAGTATGTATGCCAAGCACAGCTAGAACTGGTTTATTTGTTTATTAAAAACTATCGAAAAGTATGAACATGGGACACAACTGCAAGTAAAAAAAAAATCCAGCCCTTTTATTTCATCATCTAGAAAAAGGGCAGGATTTTCTTAATAAGAACTATAGCTTTTGGGGCAGGATGGAAAAAGCTTCCCTCTTTTTGTAGACCACCCAAAACTTCATGGGAAGTTTTCATTTACCAGACAGGAACAATTCATACACTTTGTTTCCGTAACAAGCAAGTTTATATCTGATGGGAACAAATGTCAGGAACTCAACAAATACAACATGTATTTTTTTCCGGGTGCGTCCAATGCAAATAGGTTTAATTTGTAGATCAGTTGCAAAGAAAGTCTCAACAATTGACAGCCAATATTTTAAATTCTTCTTCCACTTTTTCATGGCCCCCAGTACCGAAAGGGAATCTATACGATGCTCCAAGTCTCTAAAAGGACTTTCCCTTTAGTCTTTCTCTCTTTTAAGGAAATACGGATTTGATCATACGGTAAGTGATATGCTGTGCAGATTTATTTGGGTCGTACCTCTCCTCAAATTGAGTTTTGCTGGGCATTTCTTTGATGTCTTCGTGAATTGGCATCTGCTCGCCCACGGTGCACATTAGTTTCAAATCCAAAGGACCCAGCTCCTTATATTCCTTCATTCAGAGCAAAAAAAAAAAAAAAAAAAGGTATTTGATGGTAAGTATGCTTGAATAACTCCAATTTCCCCTAAACCTACATGCATGTGCCCCGTGTGTGTAAATAATATGGATAATAAAGTATTTTATTTTAAAAGGCAGTGGTTGTCATTACCACGTTTTCCCGAAAATAAGACCCTGTCTTATGGTATTTTTTTGGCCACCAAAAAGGCACCAGGTCTTATTTTCAGGGGGATGTCATCCATTGACTAACCTCACTTGTGTGCGTCACCCCCGGCCTCCTTTTCGCGCTCAGAGGCCTTCAGGAACTTCTTCTGCACCCAGCAAGGTTTTCCTGAAGGCCTCTGCAGCTGATAGCAGAGCTCCAGATCGATCCGGAGCTTTGATATCAGCTACAGAGGCCTTCAGGATAGCCTTGCCAGCGTTGCCAGCTGCAGAAGAAATGGGCTGGCAAGGCAGGTGCGAGGCTGGCTACAACTGTCCAAAGATATAAGTAGTAGGGCAGCTCCACCACCACCCATCCCTAGCTTAATTTTTACCCGTGCACTCTGGAGTGGGTGGGATCTTAATCAGGGCTTATTTTGGAGGTAGGACTTATTTTGGGGGCTTATATTGGGTGCACGTGTAAAAAAAAAATCAAGCAAGGACTTACTTTCAGAGTAGGTCATATTTTTGGGGAAACAGGGTAGTAACTTACACACTGGTTAGAAGGCTGGGAAAATACAGGTAGTCCTTGACTTACAAAAACTCATTTAGTGACCAAAGTTACAACAGCACTGAAAAATGTGACTTAGGATCATTTTTTTTCACAGTTATGACTTTTGCCCCAGGATCAACTGATCAAAATTCTGATGCATGGCAGCTGGCTCATATTTATGATCATTGCTGTGTCGAAAGGTCACGTGAGATCCCCTTTTGCGACCTTCTGACAAGCCAAGTCAATGGGGAAGCCAGATACACTTAACCAGGTTACCAACTTAACAACTGCAGCGATTCCCTTAACGGTGGGGGGGGGAAGGCTGTTAAATGGGACAAAACTCACTTAACAACTATCTCAACTTGACAACCGGGTCACTGACTTTATTAACTGCAATGATTCAGTCAACAACTCTGGCAAGAAAGGTCCTAAAATGGGGCAAAATTCACTTAACAACAGAAATTTTGGCCTTTGGGTTGTGGTCATAAGTCAAGAACTATCTGCATATTGCAAGTAATTAAGGCACTCTCGGGAGGGTGCAGGATGAAGCCGAGTCAGCCTTGAATAAGCTAAGTTGCCTTCAAGCATTCTTGGAAAAATGAAAGAGGAGGTAGAAGACAGAAGCTCCTTGTAGAAGAGGCTAATCTTTTTTGCTGTTTGTTTTAATCTCTACAGTATGTAAGAAAATAAAAGTTGTAGGATTTTATGGCAATAGAAGACCACCTACCTTGACCTGGAAGGCAGGTGTGTCCCTTGCCAATATCTTAATCCTGGATCTAGTATAGTGTTTTTCGAACTTAGACACATTAAAGATGGCCAAGTTCCAACTCCCAGATTTCCCCAGTCACGCTGCATACTGGGAGTTGAAGTCCACCCATCTTAAAGTGGCCAAGATTGAAAAAAACTGTTCCTCTGACTGTGGGATGGTCAGCAGAGATGGAAGAGTTAAGATCACTGGACTTGCATCCCCAACAACATACATGGTGATGTTCTTATTAATCCTAATCACAATAACAACAGAATGTTGAAAGGGACTTTGGAGGTCTTCTAGTCCGATCACCCCATGCTCAGGCAGGAAACCCCGTACCATTTCAGAAAATGGTTGTCAAAACTCTTCTTAAAAACTTCCAGTGTTGGAACATCCACAGTGTCATGCCCCTGTCGGAGTCTGAATCCGAGGAGGAAGACAGGGAGTGGGAGTGTGGCTCTGTTGGCTATGCAGGAATCTGGGGAAGGGCAAAGTCCGGCTGGGCAGAGCAGGAGAGAGGTAGAACAAGGGAGAGGGAGTTCAGAGGAAGACCCAGACCCACCCCCTCCTCATCCTAGGGCACGCAGGGAGGAATGGAGAAGGGAGCAACGTGGGTTGCGTGGCTTACGGGGGAGGAAAGAGCCCTGATTCCCTTCATTAGCCACAGCTGGGAAGAGAGTTTAAAAGAGATGCATGCTGATTGCGGCAGCTGCTGGGAGCAAATGTTAGTTTAACTTGTGTTGACTTTGGTTATCTATGTTCCTGGTGTTCTCCCAACCGTATTGAGTTATTGCTGTGCCATCACATCTGGAATTCTTGCTCCTGCCCTGCTGGACTAATTACCTCATGTTGCCTTGATTGGACTTATAGTTACAGTTTTTGTTGACCACGTTTTGGACTTGGTTCTCTGCAGCCCAAGGCTGTTCCTGGGAGACTTTTTCTCCAGTCAGAAGGTAACCAGGAGATTGGGCGCAAAGTTGGAGCTAATAAAGGGACTCCTACTGATTATCTGACTGTGTTGCCTTTGTGCCACACCCCTTTGGGTTATCACACACAGCTTCTGGAGGCAAGTCTATCCAAAAGGGATGGTAGACTGAACGTCCATAATTCTCAACCCATCTAGTTCTCCTTTTCCACCACCACCAAATCATGGAGGAGGAAGATTAATCTTTACCTTGAAGTCATTTGTATCTTCATACAGCAGAGGAGGTAGAAACTGATTGGGCGACATTCCCCGCAAATAAACCACTTCAAAATCCTTCCATGATGCCTTCTCCAATTCTCTTTTCTCCTCACTTGACTTGGGGTCCACAGAAATTACTAGCTCCCTTGCTGGCATCCCATCTTCCTCGGCTACAAAATAAATTATACATTACTTTTTTTGTTTCTATCCTTCAGGATTGATTTTACATTTCATTACAAGGCGACCAGTAGAAGAACAGAGTTGGAAGGGACCTTGGAGGTCTTCTAGTCCAACCTCTTGCTCAAGCAGGAAACCCTGTACCATTTCAGACAAATGGATGCCCAAACTCTTCTTAAAAACCTCCAGTGTTGAAGCACCCACAACTTCTGGAGGGAAGAGATTCCACCGAAGAAGCGTTCTGTCCAGAAATTTCTCCTTAGTTTTACATAGATTCTCTCTCCATGTTTCTTGTCTGACCTCAGGTGCTCTAGAGAATAACTTGACTAGCCTCTTCTTTGTGGCAGCCCCTGAGGCAGAGGGGGTATTCAGCAGGTTCTGACCAGTTCTGGAGAACTGGTAGCGGAAATTTTGAGTAGTTTGGAGAACTGGCAAATACCACCTCTGATTGGCCCCGCCCCCATCTATTACCTGCCTCCCGAGTCCCAGCTGATTGGCTGGGTCTTCTTTGGTTGCCCTGCACAGGAGAACGGAGCTGGAAAGCAGGTTAGTGGGGTGGGGAGGGAATGGGGATTTTGCAGTATCTTTCCCCGCCATGCCCGCCAAGCCAAGCCATGCCAAGCCAAGCCATGCCAAGCCAAGCCAAGCCACGCCCACCAAGCCACGCCCACAGAACCACTGGTAAAAAAAATTGAATCCCACCACTGCCCTGAGATATTGGAAGACTGATATCATGTCACCCCAGTCCTTCTTTTCATTAAACTAGACATATCCAATTCCTGCAATCGTTCTTCATATGTTTTAGCCTCCAGTCCCTTAATCATCTTTGTTGCTCTTCTCTGCACTCTTTCTAGAGTCTCAACCCTCCTTTTTTACATGGTGGGGACCAGAACTGGGTGCAATATTCCAAGTGTGGTCTTACCAAGGCATTATAAAGTGATATTAACACTTCGTGTTGATCTTGATTCTATCCCTGTATTAATGCAGCCTAGGATTGCATTGGCTCTTTTGGCTGCCACCACACACTGTTAGCTCATAAATGAATTCTTTATGAATTCTTTATTGGCCAAGTGTGATTGGACACACAAGGAATTTGTCTTTGGTGCAAATGCTCTCAGTGTATATAAAAAGAAAAGATAACATTCGTCAAGAATCATAAGGTTCAACACTTAATATAGTCATAGGGTACAAAGAAGCAATCAAATCATACTAGGAAACAGTCAATATAATTAAATGATTGTCCACTAGGACAGTGGTCCCCAACCTTTGGGGGATGGGAAGGAGAAGGGCACCAGACCGCACGAGAGGTGGCCTGGTGCGCATGAATGCGCGCATGCAGCTCCACTCACACAAGAAAGAAGCCTTTGGGGTGTGGTTTTGTGTTTTTTCCGGGCTTCTACACGCACATCGGCCTGCCTCTTGTGTGGCCCAATTCCAAATAGGCCATGGCCCGGGGGGTTGGGTACCCCTGCATTAGGACTCCAAGTTCCCGCTCACAGTTACTACTATTGATCCAGGTTCTCTGCATATGTCACAATTCTCAAAAAAAAAAAAAAAAACCTTCCTCTTCAGTTTTGAAACTGGGGGGCAAGAGGTTTGTTTGCAAGTTTAGTAACCAGGACAGGCATTTAGATATTGCAAATGTTTAGATATTGCAAGCAAGGAAAGGAGGAACAGATTTCAGTCTAGCGCACAAGTGGTTTGCCAGAATAAGTGAGAGTGCATGTAAGAAAACGCATCTCAATCCATAAATCTTTTATTACAGTTAAAACATTAAAATATGAAAATAAAGCCACTCAAAGCATAATAGCAATACTTGGATTACAGTCGGTGATGAGATAATGGAGGGGCGGCCAAAGACTGTCTAATTTTGCAGACGGTATAAAGAGACAGTATGGATAGATTCAAAGAAACTATTATACTGAGCCAATAGTAACAGCTGTACATTTAAAAGAGACCAGAATTTTCTGGCTATTTTGTCAGCTAAAGAGTCAGAAAATAAGTTTGTGAATCCTTACAGAGGGTACAATATAACAGGACATTAGCCGTGGTTTCAGTAGCCCCCTTGCCCACATTTCCCTAACTTAGGACTCCCCAAACTCCGGCTCATCAGTTCATGAAGTTTCATGAATTTCAGCAATTCCCAAACCTACATTATATCAGGGGTGGGATTCTACCTGGTCGGACCGGTTCTATAGAACCAGTTGTTATGATTCTGCGCAGTTGGGAGAACCAGGAAATCTCACCACTGGCTGGCCGCCACCCTGCCACACCCCGCCCACTCCTTACCTGGCATGCACGCCATCAAACTTGCTTGGGTTTGGTAGGTTGCTATTTTTCCTGGTTTTTTTCCCCCAGCCATCAGCTGTTGTGCTGTGCTGGGAGATTTAGATTAGCTAGAAAGCAGGCAATCGTTGGATTTCTTGCTTTCTAGCTGATCTAAAAGCAGAGCTGAACCTTCCTTAGGACTGAAGCTTCTATTTTTCAGTGCAGACTCAGGTAGCAGATGGCAGAAAGATTGATCTCTGAGTGAATCTGTGATTCTGCGAGCAACTCAATCTGTCTGCCTGCTTTTGGGTAAAAGTTGCTCTTTTTTAAATAAAAAATTCGATATTCACATACAGGGTGTGTTGTGAGTTAATTTTGTGAGCTTGCTTGCTAGCAAATTTTATGAGTTTGCTTGCAAGCAGATTTTGTGACAGACTCAGGTAGTAGATTGCAGAAAGATAGACCTCTGAGTGATTCTGTGAGCAATCTGCCTGCTTGCTTTGCCTAATTTTGGGTAAAAGTTGCTTCTTTTTTAATAAAAAAAAATTCAATATTTACATAAATATTTATAATATTTACATACAAGGAACGCCCAGCCAGTCACATGACTACCAAGCCATGCCCAATCAGCAAGCCATGACCACCCACTCACATGACCACCAAGCCACACCCACAAATTAGGCCACGCCCGCAGAACCAGTTGTTAAGAAATTTGAATCCCACCCCTGCATTATATGAAAAAAAATTAATAAACACTAACTAATAAATCAGTTAGGTCTAGAGCAGGGGTGTCAGACTCAAGGCCCGTGGACCGGATCTGGCTCGCAAGGTGCTTAGATCTGGCCCACGGGACCACCCTCGGAGCTCACGAAGGCCTTGTGCAGCCCTCCAAGCTCCATTTTCACTGGCAGAGAGCTGCAGGAGGCCGTCGCAGCCTAAAATGGAGCTCAGGAGCCTGTTTTCACTGGCAGAGCCCTCAGGCCACCACAGATCTGCCCCCCCGACATAAGTGACATCATGCTGGCCATGCCCACCCTGGCCACCAACGCCCCTGATGTCAAACACAATCCTGTTGCAGCCCTCGATGAAATCAAGTTTGACACCCCTGGTCTAAAGGTTATGGCACCTGACTAGAAATCAGGAGATTGTGAATTCTAGTTCCATCTTACGCATGAAAGCCAGTTGGATGATTTTGGGCCAATCTCCCAGCGACTGTGAGTTCTAGTCCCACTTGAGGCATGAAATTCTGCTGGGTGAATTTGGGTCGATCACCAGGAGACGGTGAGTTCTAGTCCTGTCTTAGGCATGAATGCCAGCTGGGTGACTTTCAGCCGGTCCCTCTCTCTCTGAGCCCAACTCACCTCACAAGGTTGTTATTGTGGAGGAAATAGGAGAAGAAAGGATTGGCTTTGCTTGCTGTCTTGGGTTACAATAAAGGCGGGATATAAATAAATATATAGTATACTAGCTTGATACCCATGCTTCACTATGAAACTATGTGGTCGGGCTTAATTTTGGGGGAGGAAAATTATAAAAAACAAAAAAATCTGCCTCTGCCTACCAGCATCCATCGGTATTCATCTGGCTAGTGTCCTGTCAGTGTGTGAGAGAGTTGAGGGCTGTTTGGAAAGAGCAAGAAGGACACAGCAAGGAACCTGGGCGTGGCTTAGCTCAACTGTTCTGCACTAAAGCTGCTTGGTGCTGGGAAACTAAAATGGAAGGAAACTCCTCTGCTTGTGTTTTGCGTTTGGAAGAGATTTCTTGTCAGGTGGGGAGGGGGAGTGGAACTCCTTAGCATCAGAGCGTGTTAATAACAATATAGTTCTGATGTTCTGATGGTCATTTTGAAAAATCCTTTCTTAGTGAGCACCTAGAAGCCAAGAGGAACGTAAGTGGCAAATTTCAAGTTTGTAGGCTTTACGGATCTGGAGGTTTTGTGATGATGCATGAGTGGCATTTCGCTTTTATAAATATAGATAAATAAATAAATAAACATGGTAAAGAAAATATGGTTGAGGACAGGATGGCAGCTTCATTCCCCAAATTTGCCATTACCACTTCCAGTGCCTTTCTTTCATAATTCCCAGCTGCAAGACTTAGGCAGATCAATCTGATTCTGACAACAATAACAAAAAGAGGTATAACTACCTTCTTCTTGATCCAGGTTTTTCCCAGGAACCTGCAAACCAGCTCCTTGGGTAAGATACAGCTTCCTGGAAAATGCAAAACATAGCAAAAGTAGCACCCAGATTCATAACAGTAATAGTAACCCACCGGAAAAGAATGGGGAAAGCCAGTTTGTGGGGAAAGCTTCTGGCTAGAAACTGGGAAACTGAGTTCCAGTTCCACTTTAGGCATGAAACCAGTTAGATCAGTGGTCCCCAACATTTTTTGTACCAGGGACCAGTTTCATGATTATTCATTCTTTGCGGCCCGGTACAAAATGATCCACGGACCGGTACCGGCATCAGCACACACGACCAAGGCAAGGCGAGCCGAGCGACCGGCCAGCCAGCCGTCCCCCACTTCTCCCCGCCACCTTCAACTCCTCCTTTGTACCTTCTCGCGGTCGATGGGCTTTTTGGGCTCTTTCTTAATCTCCTCCTGAGTAACGCGAGACTCCACCGCCATCAGGACGGCTCTTCGTTCGAAGCCGCCCCCCCCCCTTCGACGAAACTAAGGCGCGAGGATTCCTTCAGCACCCAAACGCTGCTTTCCAACCGACGACCGGCAAGCTCACCCGGAAGCACTTTCTCAAGCGCCGTCAAAACAAGATGGCGGCGCCCAAGCAAAGTAGGCCCTACTTTCATTCTTTGTGGCCCGGTACAAAATGATCCACGGACCGGTACCGGTCCGGGGCCCGGTGGTTGGGGACCCCTGAGTTAGATGACCTTGGGCCAGATGCTCTCTTTCAGTCCTAGGATGCAGGCAATGGCAAACCACGTTCAAAAAAAAATCTTGCCAAGAAAACTGCAGGGACTACTTCAAGAAACCCCCAGGAGGTTAAAAACAACAACAACCAACAACCAGGACGTAAACCTTTGACCCTTAAGTACCAAAAATGTCAACTTTGAGGAATTCTGGGTTTGAAAAACCCTGGTCTATAGCAGGGGTCTCCAAATTTGGCAGCTTTAAGGCTTGTGGGCTTCAACTCCCAGAATTCCTTTGCCAGCCATGCAGATTGGGGAATTCTGGGAGTTGAAGTCCACAGGTCTTTAAAGTTGCCAAGTTGGGAGACACCCGCGGTCTTTCTTTGCTGAAGGGAAGTTTCCGACAATACAAAAGGCTCAAGAAATTCAAGGAACGCTAACCCAAAAAACATTCACATTTCCCTTTTTCTATTCCAGAAACTTCCAATCTCCAGAGGTTTTCAATCCCCCATTTCTTTACACCCCAAAATTTGTCAGGACAACTGGGGATGATGGGAGTTACATTCAACATACCCCCCCCCCCCCAAGATCCGTTTAGTTTTTTTTTTTTTTCAAAAGTTACCTTCGGAAAAAGGGGGCAGCAGGAAACAACTAAAAATGTTGGCCTCACCTTTTTGTTATATCTACTCACTGGAATGGGGCGAGGTTAAAAGGGGGGGGGGAATAAAATGGTGAGGTCTGGGGTGGGATTCCACCGGTTTGGACCGGTTCTATAGAACTGGTTATGATTCTGCGCAGTTTGGAGAACCGGCAAAGCGAGCCCCTGGCTGGGCCCACCCCTCTCCACCTGCCCCTCCCCTCCCCCACCCAGTCCTTATCGCATAGGCGTGACATTGCACGCATGCCCGATATCACTATGTTCACCCCCACTCAGTCACTCCTTAAGGTATTTCTTTTTTTCCCTCTCTCCTGACTGACTATCAGCTGTTCTGATGATCAGCGGCGCTGGGTCCCCCTTGCTGTCTTACTGCTTCACCCAGGTGGCTTCCCTGAGGCCCAGGAGGCAAAAGGGGGCATGTAAGGGGGAAACTGTGCCCCCCTGAGCTCGATTTTTTGCCTTCCTGGGCCCCAGGGAAGCCTGGGCGCAAAAACGCCTCACAGGAGGCTTCCCTGAGGCCTAGGAGGAAAAAAAACTGTGTGTGTGTGCGTGCTACAAAAAAAAAAAAAAGCCATGCCTACCCAGTCACATGGCCATGCCCATCTAGCGACACCCACAGAATCGGTTGTTAAAATTTTTGAATCCTACCCCTGGTTAGGTCCATTGCCAGAAAAACTTAGCCAATTATTGGGTTATGCCTGCCTGTACAAATAATGAGCATTTCGTAAACATTCTTCTTATACCTTAGAAGGGTTATGTCATGCCCCTGTTGAAGACTGACTCCGAGGGAGCGGAGGAACAGCCGGCAGGGAGTGGAAGTGTGGCTCTGGAGGTTGTGGAGGAGACTGGGGAAGGGCAGAGGCCGGCTGGGCAGAGATCCAGACCCATCCCCTCTCCATCCTAGGGCATGCAGGGAGGAGAGGACAAGGGAGAGACATGGTCGACTGGGGAGGAGAGGGCCTTGATCCTTTTCATGGGCTGCAGCTGTGACAACTGAATAAGAGGATGGACTTGCGTACGGGCCAGTGCTGGAAACAAAGCATGGAAATATCTCTAGTTTGTCGTTCCTCTCTGAGCCTTTTTTTACCTGGGTACTTTAAGAAACTGCAATCTCCGCTCAAACAGTTTATTGATGAGATAGATGTTTTCCTCCTCCATTTCATGGACAGCTTCCTCTAAAGCAGCCACTTCCTTTCGATAAGCTTCAACCTGCCATAAAAGAGGAAACCTAATTCTGAGATTCGAAGAAGTTACACGTGTAACTTAACAGAGCAGAAGCCTCATTTTTTCTCTCTCCAAAATGAGTCGCAGCGCAAGACATTTTGTTCAAGAATGGAGTTGAAGGTTGCTTGCTGAATGTAGAAAAAGCAGGAAGAAAGCCGGAAAAACAAGGGAAGGCCACCTGAACTCTCGGCTGAATGTTCCAATACTAAACAAGGTAGAGAAACAAGGATGTGGGATGTCTCCAGGAGTGTTTAATTTTAGGACATGTAAATGAGAGTATGGCCTCATCCAAGGAATGAATATTTGTCCAAAGAAACAAAAACAGCTGAGTATAACAGCAAACATCTGTTCACCTTGTTATAGGGAAGTGAAAAATTAGATGCAGTAGGAATACATTACTTAACAACTGTATAAGCAATACAGTTATGCCAATACAGGTAACCCTCAATTTACAACAGTTCATTTAGTGACTGTTCAAAGTTACAACCGCACTGAAAAAAGTGACCTAACAGCACTGAAAAAAAGGGTGCGATTCAACCAGTGTAACAACCGGTTTGGTGAGCGCACACTTTGCGCGCACACAGAGCATTTGCTACTGACCTTGTCCAGCAATCTCTGTGTGTTAAACAGCTGATGTGCGGCGATCTGCTGTACCACGCAAATAAGCTGAGCTTGAAAACTGGAATATAAAGCACAGACTAGACCCGGGGCAGGCGGGTGGGCCCAACAGCTGATCATCGGAACGATCCGGTTTGCTCACAGCTGATCCTCGGAGTTACCGGTTCGCCTGAACTGGCCCGAACCGGAAGAATCCCACTCCTGCCTAGGACCATTTTTCACGCTTACAACCATTGCAGCATCTCCATGTTCAAAATTCACACGCTTGGCAACCGACTCATGTTTATGATGGTTGCAGTGTCCCTTAGCAATGGAAATTTTGGGTTCAGTTGTGGTTGAAAGTTGAGGACTACCTGTGACAAGTCTTCCACTTTCAACCCAATCCATCTCACAGACTTCTTTTTTGGGGAGGGAGATAAGAGACCTTAGATATGTATGCTGCCTTGAATTGGCCAAAAATAAAACCAGGATAAGAATCCAGTGCACGCATGCATATGTACAGATGAGGTCAAGGCGAATGAATGTTGAACGAAAACCTTAGTTGATTAACTGGTATGAAAGAAGGAGTTGAAATGGTTTTGATCTTAAAGGTAAAGGTTCCCCTCGCACATATATACTAGTCGTTTCCGGATCTAGGGGGCGGTGCTCATCTCTGTTACAAAGCCGAAGAGCCAGTGCTGTCCAAAGATGTCTCCGTGGTCATGTGGTTGGCATGACTAAATGCCAAAGGCCCACGGAACGCTACAACCTCCCGCCAAAGTGGTCCCTATTTTTCTACTTGCATTTTTTAACATGCTTTCAAATTGCTACATTGGCAGAAGCTGGGACGAGTAACAGGAGCTCATTCTGTTACGTGGAGCTAGGGCCGAACTGTCGACCTTTCTGATTGACAAGCTCAGTGTCTTAGCCACTGAGCCACCACGTCCCTGTGGTTTTGATCTTAGCAGAGAATAAAAGAGCTTCAAACACCAACACAAATACTATACATGAAAGAAGAGTGGATGAGTTGGAATCAAAGGAAAGACCAAGAAAGTAGCAGTTGGATGTTCTTGAAATCCTACACACAAAAATACAGAACAGGTAGTCTACAACTTATGACCACAACGGAGCCCAAAATTTCCATTGCTGAGCAAGATGGTTGTTCAGTGAATGTTGTCCCATTTTACCACCTTTCTTGCCACGGTTGTTAAATGAATCACTGCCATTGTTACATTTGTAACACAGAAATGTCATAAAGGCATGGCACTATACAGGAGAACTAACCCATCAAAACTCGAATCCACAGTTCATCTACATTTACAAGACAAAGTCTGCTCTTTTGAAGACTGCAAAGTCCACATTTTGGACAGAGAGGACGTCTGGTTTGAAAGAGGGGTCAAGGAGGCCATCTACGTCAAAATTGAACAGCCCTCTCTCCAAAGAGGGGGAGGGATACGACATCATCTATCTCCAGTCTACCACACCGTCCTTTCAACAGTTCCAAGAAGGCTCCACATCCATCAGCTGTTCCTGAGGTGACAGATAAACCTCCAAGTGGCCTCAATGACACTCTAAAAGATGCAAATGACCAGCTGTCTGCAAGGAGTATAAATCGTTCCCTTCCCCACCATCCGGTCAGAACTGAAAAAGCTTCTTGGATGAGAAGTGAAACGTCTTCAAAGAAAAACCAAGAAAGTCCAGTTGCCTCTTGAAAAAGCACCTTTGGGTAATCACACAGTAGTTAAGTGAATCTGGCTTCTCCATTGACTTCACTTGTCAGAAGGGTGCGAGTACATGACTCCGGGACACTACAACCATCATAAATATGGGTGTCATGCCCCTGTTGGAATCTGATTCCGAGGGAGAGGTGGAACAGCTGATAGGGAGTGGGAGTGTGGCTCTGGTGGCTGTGGAAGAAACTGGGGAAGGGCACAGTCTGGCTGGGCGTTCAGAGAAAGACCCAGGCCTACCCCCTCTGCATCCTAGGGCACAGAGGGAGGAACGGATAAGGAAGCAACGTGGGTTACGGGGGAGAAAAAGGCCCTGATTCCCTTAATTAGCTGCAGCTGGGAAAGCAGGATAAAGAGGGTGTTTGAGTACAGCTCCTTGCTGGAAGCAAAGCGTGAATTATTTTGGTTTGTCAAGTCTTATCTGGGTTCTGCCATCCTCCCAACTGTATGTGTTTCGTTATCTTTGGAAGTCTTCAATTCCTTATCCTGCCCTGTCTCGTTAATTGCTGCAGCGTGGTTTGTGTTGGCTCTTATTTCTAATTTATACGTACTTTGAATTTCTTCCCTTTAAAAACTGTTCTTGGGAGAGTTTTTTCTCCAGCCGATGATAACTGGACATTGGAGGCCAAGTTGGAAGTAGTAAACGGACTTTACCTACTTTTGTGACTTTGTTGCTTTTGTGCCACGCCTCTTTGGGTCATCACAATGGGGATGCTGCAACATTTTTCACGTGTATGACTTTACGACTCACTCACTTTTTTCACTGCCGTTTTAACTTTTGAGCGGTCCGTAAATGAACAAGTTTACAAGTTGAAGACCCGTCGTGAGAAATGAAATTAACCAAAGACACCGTATTAAGAGGCCTACGGACTTAGGCAGAAATCAGACTGGCTTTCAAGGAGGGGAAGAAGATCCAGACAGATATAGGAGGCGTTGCTGGAGTCAGCTTGATTTCAGTTCGCTAATTGAGTTTTCTGTTTCTTTTTGTCTGCCTTCTCCTGCCTCAATTACTTTGGCTCCCCCCTTTTTTCTTCTTCTGCACTCTGCATTAATGCGGCTTCCCACAGGATGGGAAGGTTACGTACAGTAAGCAGGCCTGCCAAAACTCTTTTAGCTGGAAATGTTGGGATCTCGGCCAGCCCTGCCATCAGAAAAAGGGATGTGGGTGCCTCAGGTGATGGATACTGGAGGGAAGTGGAGGCAGCAGCCCTCCCTTCTCCTGTTCTTTACTCCTAGGAGCCAAAACCACAGCACTGATTGTGTTTACGTGTTGCTGGACTGAATATTTAGCAATCCAGATGGTGCTGTTGGAAGGGGCCGCGAGGAGAGCCATCAGGCAGGGCCAGGAGCTATACAATGGTTCGAAAGGGGAAGATTCCCTTGGGTTAATTTCTTGGTAAATCCATATGCACCATAGTCCTCAATCTACGACCATGACTAAGGCCAAAATGTATGTTGCTGAGTGAGAAATCGGTCGAGTGAGTTTTGATTGACTTTTCTTGCCGCCTTTGTTAAGTGAATCACTGCTGTTGTTAAATTAGTAACCCGGCTGTTAAGTCAATCTGGCTTCTCCATTGACTTTGCTTGTCGCAAAAAGAGGAATCCCGTGACCCCAGGGACACCGCCACCGTCATAAGTGTGAGTCAGTTATCAAACCTCTGAACGTAAATCAGGTGACCATGGGGATGTTAAGATGGTCGTCAGTCTGAAAAAAATGATCATAAGTCACTTTTTTCAGTGCTGTTGTAACGTTGAACGGTTACTAAGTGAATTGCTGTAAGTTGAGGACTCTCTTTGATCTTCTTGAAAACCACAAGGAAGCCCTGAGACCTCCTGATGGACTTCTACACAAGTACAGTTAGTTCTTGACTTATGACCACAACGGGGCCCAAACGTTTCATTGCTGAATGAGACCGATTCGGGCGAAACGGTAACTCCTAAGTTCAGCTGGGAGAGAACCAGTTAGCTCCGACAATCAGCTGTTGGGTTTGCCCCAGCACTAGTCTGTGCTTTATTTCCTGGTTTTCCAGCTCAGCTGCCGCGCGTCAGCTGTTTTACACACACGGCTTGCAGCAGAAGGCGAGTTGTAAACACTGCGCAAGCGAAGCGCACGCTCACCGAACCGGTTGTTACACCGGTTCAATCCCTCCCCTGGCTGCAATGGTCGTTAAATGTGAAAACAGTCCTAAGTCTCTTTTTTCAGTGCCGTTATAACTTTGAACAGCCACTAAACAAATGGTTGTTAAGTTGAGGATTAGCTGCACTTATAAATTCCTCTCTTGCTTAGATGATTTTTAAAAACCAACCAGAATTAGACAAATGCGCACCCAATTTCAAATGACATTTTGAAGAACTGTCGTGCAGGTAGCAATGGCGCTTAGACTTATATACCACTTTGTAGTGCTTCACGGCCCTGTCCAAGTGGTTTATAGAGTCAGCACATTGCCCCACAGCAATCTGGACCCTCGTTTTACCCACCTCGGAAGGATGGAAGGCTGAGTCAACCTTGAGCCGGTGAGGATCGAACTCCTGGCAGTGGGCAGAGTCAGTCTGCAATACTGGATTCGAACTACTGGCAGTCAGCAGAGTTAGCCTGGAATTCTGCAATACTGCATTCTAACTACCGCGGCTCTAACTGTGTGGTAGTAATTTTGCTGCCCTTCATTTCTGCCTTGCAAAACCTAACAGTCAAAATATGGGCCCTGATGCTCAGTGGATCCCTTAGCCTCCGTCTGCAAGCATTGGACCTCCTGGCCACCAAAGGATCTGCTTTCCATTTGTTTGCTGTCTTGCAGAAATCAACTTACTTCTTCTTTTAGCCATTCATATTCCTTAATCTCCCTGCGGCTGATCTTGTCAATGTGCTTAACGGCATTCTGGGAAAATAATCCAAATACACCAAAATTAAAATTGTAACCTTCACATTGAAGGAAGCGAGAAAAAGAAAGGTTTAGACATATCACAGGATACCAAGTCAGTTTTATGTTTTTCTACACCCGTTAATTTTCCAGAAGATCCTTTTAGTAGCTAATGACATGTAATACAGGTAGTCCTCAATTTATGACCATAATGGAACCCACCCATCATGGTCGTAAAGCACAATGGTCATAAACTGGATCCCCCAATTTTATAACCTTTTTTTGCAGCTGTTGTTAAGTGAACACTGTGTTGTAAGGTGACTAGTGCGGTCATTAAATGAACGCCACAATCGTTAACTGAATTAATGGTTCGCTATAGACTGGTTTTGCTGAAATGCAAATGCAAATGCCAGTTTCTGGTGAACCTGTCATAAAACTGAGCATTAGAAATATGACCACATGACAATGGGAGGGTCAGCTGTTGAAACCTTGGAACTGGGGGAGGCCCGTCATAATGCTGAACAGTCTTAAGTTCAAAACTATTTGTATAAAAGCATTATAGAGTTCTAGAATAAAGTATCAATATTATCCACAGTACATTTAACGACATCAGCTGTTGAAAAGCTCAAAGCAATTTGACAGTACTTTTTCCAGGTAACAAATGTTCTTAAAAGACATAAGCTTTTGTGTTGCATCTTTTTTATAGGCCTATGAATAAAATGTTATTAAATATATCCTGTTTCCCCAAAAATACAACCTACCCTGAAAGTAAGTCCTAGCTTGATTTTTACACATGCGCCCAATATAAGCCCTACCCCCAAAATAAGCCCTAATTAAGATCCCACCCACTCCAGAGTGGACGGGTAAAAATTAAGCTAGGGTGTGGATGGGGGTGGTGGAGCTGCCCTACTGCTTAGTTTTGGAAAGTTGTAGCCAGTCCTCGCATACCCCGACACCTGCCTAGCCGGCCTATTTCTTCAGAAGCCAGCAAGGCTAGCAAGGCTTTCCTGAAGGCTTCTGTAGCGGATAACAAAGTTCTGGATCGATCCAGAGATCTGTTATCAGCTGCAGAGGCCTTCAAGAAAGCCTTGCCGGCCACAGAAGTTCCTGAAGGCCTCTGACAGCGAAAAGGAGGCCGGGGGCGACACATGCAAGTGCCGTTAGTCAGTGGATGACATCCCCCGAAAATAAGGCCTGGTGCCTTTTTTGGTGGCAAAAAGATATGTCAGGGTCTTATTTTCAGGAAAACATGGTAGTAAAATCAAGATTCCTCCTGATTATCACCACCATAGATAAACACAGCTTTCCCACCAAGTTTGCTAAAGTTAAACATAAAATGCAAACGAAGAGGATGAAAGAACTGCTAAGAAAAATTGTGCTGCTAAGTGGCTGAAGTGTGATTGTGTGACTGGAGGGGTAGGGTGAAGTAACTGTAACTTTGAAGAGTGTTCATAAAAATGTTTTTTTGAGTCTGTTGTAACCTTGAACAGTTGTTAAGTGATCAGTCATCAGTCAAAGCTACTCTATGCCATCCTTTCCTACAAAATTTCTCCCACCCCGTCGAGATTTCAAGTCCCAGAATTCATCAGTGTGACTGGGGCATTCTGGGAAATTTCAGAATGTATCAGGCCCCAGTTAACTCTGAAAGAACAGACGAGGAGATGCCACTAAGCATATGAAATAGCAAAAATCAAAACGTACCTCGGTGGCCCATTCTTTCTTTAACTCCATCTGTCTCAAAGTGGTTTTGTCAATTCTTTCCTTCGCTTCTTCCAAAGAAATTCTAAAAAATTCTTAAAAAGGAGAAGAGGGTGTTGAGGAGACATACAGAAAAGAGATCTATTTTAGCCTTTTTAAAATGCCACCCAGAATGTAAATTACAGGAAGTCTTCAACTTATGACCACAATTGAGACCCAAAATTATGTTGGTAAGTGAGAAATTTGTTGAGTGAATTTTCTCGCATTTTATGACTTTTATTGCCACATTCGTTAAGGGAGTCACTGCAATAGTTAAATTAGTAACACGGTTGTTAGGTGAATCTGGCTTCCCCATTGACTTTGTGTCAGCTTTGGAACTGTTATTAAAAGCTGCCACACAGCTGCGGAGGATTGGAGGGGGCTGATGTTGTTTGAGTAGCTCTCAGTAGACAAAATAGATTCTTTAGTAATTCAAGGTCATTGTGAATTGCGCAGCAAGAATTGGGACGGAAGGGGGATTGGTTCACGTGATGTGGGGAAAAGGGGATGGTTTGTAGGTTGGGTCCTTGTGGGAAGTCTGGGGGGAAAACTTTACTTTCGGAATTCCACAGAGGTAACAAGTTTCTATTCTAATAAAAGTACTTTGAGCACTTTATGGTTGTCTTGGAGTTACTGGCTAGAATGGATAATCTCTGGAACGCTGACACTTTGCTTGTTGGAAGGTCGCAAAAGGAGATCACGTGATTTCCCCAAGGAACGCGGCAATCATCATAAATGTGAGTCGGTTGTCAAGCATCCAAATGTAAATTCATGGACTGTGGGGATACTGCAATGGTCATAAGTGTGAAAAACGGTCATAAGTCACTTTTTCCGTGCTGTTGTAACTTCGAATGGATACTAAATGAAGAGTTGTAAGTTGAGGACTACCTGTATTCCAGAATTAAAGACAGCAATTCTGGTTTCAGGTTTGGGGTTACCATACAATTCAGCGTTACTTGAGCAACGATTGTACAGTCTCTCTCTAAAAAATGAAGTGCCCATTTTTGCTCTTTTTGGCCAAGACACAAAGCTTTCTTCAACTTAGTCTAGTGCTTCCAGATGTTTTCTTTCTGCTGTTCCTAGAGTTTCCCATCAGCGTGGCCAAGAGGCATACAGGCTCCTGAAACATCTGGAAGACGCTATGTTGATTCAGACCTGTGGTTCTATCTGTCCCGAGTTTCTCCAACTTAAACATCTGGAAATAATTAGGAACGGGAACTTCTTGACTCCACACTTGACATTGCACTGAATCGGCCAACTGGCAATACCGAAACAAGTGGGATGAGGATCTGTTAGGATATTAAATTTAGTAGCTGGAACAGTAAAGTGTGCAATGGGCCAGAACACACCGTTGGAGCTGATTGGTTGGAGAGAGCTGGTCCCTGAGGCAATCAATGCTGTGATTGGTTGCTGTGGGTGCAAAGGGGGGAGTATTGTGGCCCGTCAACCCCAGCCCCACCCCCCAGCAGCTGAATCAGAGGAGGAGGCGGAGGCGTGGGAGTCAGGGCCAGCATCAAGGCAACCTGAGAGCTCTGAGAGGGAAGAGGGAGAGGAGCTGTCAGAGAGATAGAGACGGAGCCTGGATTGCCCATCAGCCCTCAGATGGAGACTCAACAGCCCCCAAGTCTGGAGGTGGCTGATGAGGGAAGAGGAGGAACAGCTGGGTCTGGTGCCTGAAGAGCAGAAGGCAGAGGAGAGGAGAGCAGTGGAACTCTATGGGCTGGTCCTTGGGACGGAAGAGCCACCACTGCTAGCGAAACCCCACCGTAGCTCTGGGGATAAAAGGCAGGGGGCGGAGATGAATAATGTGGGAGACAACTATTCATCTCCCCTGCTGGACAGGCTTGTTAGCCTGAGGTGAAAGAGAAACCTTTTGCTGGGGCTGCTCCTAATAAAGGAATCATTGCTTCAACTACAGAGGGTTTGTTGTGTTTGGAGAGCTGGGTAAGAACAGGAAGTCTCCCTTTTTTTTCCTGCCTTTCTCTTCAGACTTCCCTGTATGCCATTCGATTTATCTCACGATATTCCTGCATTCCTTACTATCTTGCCTGCTGCAACTATAAATGCGAAATATATTTATTTAAATAAAATGACACGTTGGTGCATCAGTGTCTCTAACTAACACCAACTGACTGCAAAGAATATAAATTTTTTCCATTCTCCACTATTCAGTCAGAACGGAAGAAGCTCCTTGGATGAGAAGTGAAACCTCTTCAAGCAAAAGGAAGTCCAGTCGCCTTTTGAAAAAGCACCCTTGGGACAACCAGGACCTGGATGACTGAGAATCTCCATCGACATGTGTTAGTTTAAAGCCAACTTCTTCGTAGGCCTCTAACAGAACCTTACCGGTCATTTCTTCAAGATCTTCCTTCAACTTTTTAATATCCTGTTCCAAGAACCGAATCTGATTTCCGTGTTCGGTGCTTCCCACGTTTTTGTAGGCGGTCCAGTAGTCAATTTCAGTTTGTTTTTGGACAAGTTTCTGTTCAACATAATGTATCTGGAAACGCATATCTAGCGAAAGGCAACAAGGCATCATTTTCAGTACAGTTATAGCAATAATAACACTATAGTTGCTTCACAAAAACTATGGATAAATACAGGGACACCTGTAATTTATATTGGACCTCGATGCACCAACTTCCCAAACCAATTAACATCATTTGCATCCTGACTTCCTTCACAAAGGAGGCTGTTTAGTTTTTGTTTTTATTTTTCCATTTAGTTCCTGCTTGTTCTTCAAAAGCTTAAGGCAGCATCACAGCATTTTCCTTTTCCCATTTTTTCTCGGAAGCCATAGCTCAGGGGTGTCAAACTGAAGGCTTGTGGGCCAGATCGTTGCTTAAATCTGAAATATCAAAGGACTGGCCCACAGTGCCTCTGCTGGCCAAAACAGGCCATGCAGAGGCCTCATGAGCCCCCCTGTGTGGCCTGTTTTCAGCCTCCCCGCCCTCCAGCAGCACTCTACTGGCCAAAAAATAGGCCTCGCGGGGCCTCCACATGGCCCCTTTTTGGGCCGGGAGAGTGCTGCAGGAGGCCATGGAGGCCAATAACGGGCCAGGGGAGGCCACACATGCCCCCCCATGCCCCGTTTTGGCTGGCAGGTTGCTGCAGGAGACATCCCCCCCCCCCCCCCCCCGCCCCCCCCCCGGCCCGCGGAGAACTACAATGCTGATCCGGCCCTTGAAGAAATGCAGTTTGACACCCCTGCCATAGCTCTGTGACAGTGGTCTCCAAACCTGACCACTTTGTGGGCTCCAACTCCCAGAAACCCCCAGCCGGCATGATGAATTCTGGAAGTTGAAGTCCACATGTCTTAAAGTGGCCATGATTGGAGACACCTGCTCTGGGAGATCAATTGACAAGAATAACTAGCCCAAGGTCATCCAGTGAATTTGTGTGGCTGAAGTTAGACTAAAATTTGAAGATTTCTCCCCTTAACCGCTTCACCCTACCAACTATCTTAGTTCTTAGATTCATGCTTGCCTCTCATTCAGGTGCTCAAGATGGAATGGGGTACAGGCAGTCCTCGACTTACGATCGCAATTCAGCTCAACATTTCCGTTGCTAAGCAAGACAGTTGAGTATGTTTTGCGTCAATTACGACCTTTCTTGCCACAATTATTAAGTTGAACCACTGCAGTTGTGAAGTTAATAGTACGGCTGTTAAGTGAATTTGGCTTCCCCATTGATTCTGCTTGTCAGAAGGTCGCCAAAGGGGATCACGTGACCTAGTGGTGGGATTCAAATTGTTTTACCACCGGTTCAGTGGGCCTGGCTTGACGGGTGTGCTTTGCCTAACACTGGCGCACAGCTTCCCCCACACCAGCTGAGACCCGCAGTGCCAATCAGCTGGGAGGATAAAGAAGAGAAAAGCGCAGGGGTGGGTGGGTAGGAGGGCCGATCTCTTCTTCTTGTCAGGGCTCCAACAAATCCCCCTCATTCAAAGCAAAAGTCTCTAGCCGCATCTCAGAAAAAGCAAATTGGTTTATTAGAAGTTGCCATGTTGGCGTGTGGCTAGATGCAGCCGGTACTAAATCCCATCATCCATTTCCCTCTTGACCCTGGTCTTTCTCCCTCCCCCCCCTGGATGTGACTTCTCCAATGGGACACATCCGTCTCCAAGAGTCATCCATCATGCTCTCCAATAACCTTCTAATGCTCTGACAACTTTGGGCTGCTGAGTTGGTTATCTAGGCATTTCAAGAATGCCTTGTTTTCCCCCCACTCCCTTTTTCTGGCATCTAAAAGGACCAAAGGAGTATCTTTTTAATTGACACTTTTCCTCTCCGCTGATTATCCGATTTTTTTCTCCTCCTCTCAGCTGATCGTAGGCTTTATTTTACTACCAGTTCAGTTGAACCGGTCTGAACCGGTAGCATACCACCACTGACATGACCCCAGGACATTGCGACCGTCATTAATACTGGCCCAGCATCTGAATTTTGATTAAGTGACCATGGGAGTGCTGCAACGGTCCTAAGTGTGAAAAACAGTCACCACTCCCTTTTTTCAGTGTCGTCGTAACTTTGAACAGGTCAATAAACGAATAGTTGTACGCCAAGGACTACCTGTACACCTGTCCCATTTTTTTCCCCACCAGGGGAAAAAAGCAGCCAATCAGGAACATCCTGTGAACAAAAATTTCCTTAAAGCCCTCCAGAAATGATCCTTGGTCTTCGTCCCTCCTTCGAGAAGCACAGCTCACCTCTGATAAGTTTCTCCTGGTCTTTGATGTACTGCCATTTGGCCATCATGGCTTTCTCAACATCATCCCGTGTAACGATTTCTACTTTTTCCAGCTCCTTCTCCTGCTCTTTCAGAGCCGTCAGCAACGCTCGGATGTTTTCAATCTGTTCGAATTTGAGTTGCAGATTCTGGTGGCAGGACAGAGAAAGGCGTACTTTTGATGTCTATGGAGATTCTCAGTCATCCAGGTCACGATTGTCCCAAATGTGCTTTTTTTCAAGAGCCAACTGGACTTTCTGTTTTTTTCTTGGAAGATGTTTCATTTTATTTTTTTTATTTTTTTATTTGTCAAGCAAGTATTAGATAACAGGTACAGAGGTGATATTTAGCAGGTTCTGACCAGTTCTGGAGAACTGGTTCTGGAGAACATGACCAGTTCTGGAGAAATTTTGAGTAGTTTGGAGAATCAGCAAATCCCACCTCTGACTGGAGATTTTATAGTACTTTTCCCTGCCACGCCCACCAAGCCACGCCCACAGAACCGGCAGTAAAAAAATTTGAATCCCACCACTGAACAGATATAAGTATAAACATGATTATGAATACATGAAATGGATACGAATAAAAGGGAACATTAGGACAGGGACGGAAGGCACGTTGGTGCACTTATGCATGCCCCTTAAAGACCTCTTAGGAAAGGGGTGAGGTCAACAGGAGACAGTCTAAGGTTAAAGTTCTTGGGGTTTGGGGAAGAAACCACAGAGTCAGGTAGTGTATTCCAGCGCTCTGTTGCTGAAGTTGTATTTCCTGCAATTGAGTTTAGTGCGGTTTACCTTGAGTTTGTATCTATTGTGTGGTCGTGTATTGTTGTGGTTGAAGCTGAAGTAGTCATTGACAGGTAGGACAGTGCAATAGATAATTTTATGTACAACAATTAGGTCGGACCGAAGGCAGCGTAGTTCTAGGTTGTCTAAGATTAAAATTTCAAGTCTGGCGGTATAAGGTATTCTGTTGCGAGTAGAGGAGTGGAGGACTCTTCTCGTGAACTATCTCTGGACTTTCTCGACTGTATTAATATCCAGTATGTCGTGCGGGTTCCAGACTGATGAGCTGTATTCAAGTATTGGTCTAGCAAATGTTTTGTATGCTCTAGTTAGTAATATTACCAGAGAAAAAGCTACGTAGGATTAGGTTAACAACTCTTAATGCCTTTTTGGCTATTTGGTTACAGTGGATTCTAGCACTTAGGAGCTGAAGAAGCTTCTTGAATGAGAAGCGAAACGTCTTCAAAAGAAAAACCAGAAAGTCCAGTTGCCGCTTGAAAAAAACACCTTTGGGGCGTACTTTTGATGGTTTGAAAAAGTTAAGGCTTGTGCAATTTGTTCAGGTGAGGGCAAGCAAAACCATTTGACATCCAAAGCTATTTAGAACAATGCTCACTCTGGTGATTCTGGTGGAAATAATGGATTCCCTTTGTGCTTTCTTTCTTTAGTTAGCATGCAGTGTTTATATGGCCAACTTTCTCACAATTGGGGCATCCAACACCATAGTTAAACATTCCATGACTATCTAAAATCAACCAAAAATAAATAGAGAAAACCCAAGAATATGGAACAATAGACTCCTGTAAGAGTAAACTCCACTCCCTTCGGGCACTGATGATGTTACCTGGTTTGGTAATGAAACATCTACAAGAAAACCATCAACTTCAGAGAACATCAAGGATCACCACCACCTCCTCCTCCTCCTCCTTTCCACAAACTCATCTCCCTTCTAGCATCCTCCTCCTCCTCCTCCTAGTACTGATGATGTTACCTAGCTGAGTAATGAAAGGTGTGCAAGAAAATCCCAACTTTAGATAATCAGAGTTGGAAGGGACCTTGTAGGTCATCTAGTCCAGGGGTCGCCAACCTTTTGGACCTCAGGGACCACCAAACTCATAATTTTAGATCCCAGGGACCACTAATTGGTTCTGTGGGCATGGCCTAATTTGTGGGTGTGGCTTAGTGGTCATGTGACTGGCTGGGCATGGCTTGTATGTAAATATTATAAATATTTATATAAATATTTAATTTTTTATAAAAAAGAGCAACTTTTACCCAAAATCAGGCAAAGCAGGCAGATTGAATTGCTCACAGAATCATTCAGTGATCTATCTATCTGCCATCGGCTAGCTCAGTCTCTCAAATTTGCTTGCCGTGAGTCTGCACTGACTTTGCTCGCAAGCAAACCTTCAGTCCTAAGGGAGGTTCGGCTGTGCTGAGCCGAAGATCTAAAGACTAGCTAGAAAGCAAGAAATTCAACCATTTCCTGCTTCCTAGCTTATCTAAATCTCCCGGCACAGCAGAACAGATGATGGTCGGAAAAAGGAAAAATAGCAATTTGGCAGGCACGTTTACCGGGTAAGGAGTGAGTGGGTGGGGAGGATTCCTGCAGGCCATGTGGGCGGCACAGCCTTGTGTTTCTGCACAGCCTGAATTAATTGCTTTGGGGAGCGGGGTGCTCTGGGGGTGAGATTTCTCTGCAGCCCACCAACATTTTCTCACAGCCCACCTGTGGGCCATGGCCCACCAGTTGGCAACTGCTGATCTAGTCCAACCCCCTGCAGAAGCGGGAGACCCAATACCATTTCTGACAAATGTTAGTCCAATCTCTTCTTGAAAGTCTCAAGTGATGACACTCCCACAACTTCCGAGGGCAAGCTGTTCTCACGGTCAGAAAGTTTCTCCTTATTTCCAAGTTGAATCTCTCCTTGTTCAGTTTCCATCTATTATTCCTTGTCTGGCCTTCAGGTGCTTTAGAAAATAGCTTGACCCCTTCCTCCTCTCTGTGGCAGCCCCTCAAATATTGGAAGACTGAGAACAGAAACTTCAGAGGGCATCAGGGATCCCACAGTTTGACTATTTTGCCTCAGCGCAGAAGTATTATTACCAGTAAGCTGCAGCTCAACGCTAGCCCTACCCCCAAACAATATGTGATCTTCGCTGCTTCGTTAAACAGGATGGACATAAGCCTTATTTATGTATCCTAGTTTATTTATATAGCCATCCAATAGTGTCACTGATGCAATGAACATGCATTTCGGGCACATTCTGAAAGACAGGGGAGGACGGGGGGGAAGCTGGCAAGCAATGCTCCATGGAATCGCAAAGAGTCGGACATGATTTCGCACCTAAACAACAAAATATACACACCCATCTCACAAAGACGTGACCCTGGAAGGGCATCCAACACAAAGACAGTTAAAACCTTCATAACAAACAAGATTCATAACAATCTAAAAACAATAAAAAATAAATAAAATTTTAAAAATGCAGAGGTGGGCTTCAAAAATTTTAGCAAAGAGTTCTCTGCCCGGTTGCTGGGTGGGTGTGGCCATGGTGGGTGTGACCTAGTTGGCCTCCTGCATCAAGGCAGGGGGGAGGGGCATTTTTGCCCTCCCCGGACTCCGGAGGCTTTCTTCGAGCCTCCCGGAGGGCGAAAATGGCTTCCCTGGGCTCCGGAGGCTCTCTGGAAGCCAGAAACAGGCTCATTTCTGGCCTTCCCGAACTTCTGGGACCCTGTTTTTCACCCTTCCCGAGCCTCCGTGCACACCCTGCACTTACCTGCATCCAAAACGGGCCGTGTGGGGACTCCTGGGAGGGGCAGGGTGGGCGGGGCCAACCAGAAATGGGATTTGGGGGTTCTCCGAACTGCACAGAGTCTTAGTTAGGGGCTCCCCCGAACCCGTGGAAACCCCGAGCAGCCCATCCCTGAAGTAGTTCATTTGCTTGCTTACTCTTTCTTTGTTTCTCTCATTCTCGGCTTCCAGTTGCCTGATTTCACCCAGTAGTTGATCAATGACATCTTCCTTAATCTGAATTCTGAAGGTAAATAAAGGCAAAAATAAGCTGTCACATTTTCAGAAAGTACATGCTTTTTTTTTTGCAAGGAAAAATGGAACACAAGTAGAAGAAACAGGCTGAATATTTGAATTCTTTGCTTCAGGTTTTATTGAAAGGTATTTGTTGTAATGACGAGGCAGTCGAGTTGTTTGATCATGGACAACTGAATTATGATGATGATCTTTACTGGAGTATAGTCTTGCATTTATATACATTTTTAGTTATCCTCCGTCATTGGTTAACTTTGGTTACTGCTTAACTTTCGTTACTGTTTAGTACAGTAATCCATACAATTAATTATCTCTAGTTAAAGTCTAACATATGTTTACTTCCCCTCTCTAATCCTCCTTTACCCATAGATCAGTGACTTTGTTTGCCTGAGTTGTATTTGCTTGGAAACATTCTTTATCTGAGGTTTGCCATCCGAGATTGGAACATTCCTGCAATTACAACTCTACAGGTATTAATACAGTGAAACCTTGAGTGAATCAATGTTGATCCAACAGACCCAAATCCCAATTTTTGTGGTTATTTTACCACAATATTTATCATTTCCATAATGCAAATGAAGGTACTGTAAGTGATAAAATGAAGTCATTTGCACTGAAACACTGAATATTCTCTCTGACTGAAATGGACAACTGAGAGTAAGGGCTGCCCTCTCTTCCCAACTGGTCTACTAAACCAGATTTTTCTGTCAACTGATATTAATCTCCATAAACTGGAAGCACACATCTAATGATGATTTAATCAAGCTTTTAACAACTATTTTTTTTTACAGTTTTTCCCATTATTGTATCCCAAAGAAGCTCTTCCTATCCTATTTCTTCATAGTTTTATGCAGAATGGGGGGGGGGGGGGGTTAGATAAATCAGCAATGCACCTCCAAAATGGACATAATCATGGGAAGAACTGTTTTCTGTCGCTTTTTCACTTCTCAGTATACTAAAGCAGGGACCCCCAAACTTGACAATATTAAGACTTGTGGACTTCAACTCCCAGAATGACTGGCTGAGGAATTCTGGAAATTGAAGTCCACAACTGCCAACTGAGATGTAATTCCTAGCAGGGCCTTGTTTTGTGTGTACTATCTAGGACTTGGAGCAATCATGAAGTTGGAGTTTCATCATGGACTGGACAGAATTAATTAACCCAGTGGCCATCAATGGCAATTGAGATGTCATTTCTAGCAGGGCCTTATTTTGTGTGTATCATCTAGGATTTGGAGTGATCATGGAGGCGTAAGGATTAAATGTTGCGGTGGCCTACAGATGGAACTCTCGCCTCACAATCAGGAGGCTGAGAGTTCGATCCTAGGTAGAGGCAGATATTTCTCTCTCTGGGCATGAGGAGAATATATCTGCTGATCAAAACTCCTCATTGGTGAGAGGAAGGGCATCCGGCCATTACTCTGCTAGCTCCATTCAGTTGCCCAGACTCCACCCCGCAAGGGATTATGGGGTCGTTAAAATGTGATGATGATGAATGGTCGGCTGGGGAATTATTTTAACCCAGTCCAGATTGGGGCTAAATCTAACCAGGTTCAATGGTTATTCAGTTGAATCTTTGACTCTGCTTATTTATTTACAGATCAACGCTCGATGCCTGTTGAGTCTCTTGGCCAGTGAGGCAAAAAAAAAAACACTATAGAAAAACAATTTTCAAACTTTTTCAGGCTGTGAAAATCATTAGAAAAAAAATATAATCACAGAATCCTCGACCAAGAGGTAAAGTTCTAGAAAACACATGGGCTGCGTTTTGAGTGAAGTTTTTTCTGTCTCTGGGTCTCTTCCATCAAGTTCATGTGAAACCTGTAGGTTTCCTGCTGTAGAATATATTTCCCAGAACATGAGTTGATTTATTTGTAACCAAACAATAAAGTCATTATGAAAAAATGCCAGTGACTACTGTATATCAAGAGCAAGATCTATTTTTAACTGTCGGTGTTTAAATTTTGTGCATTCCCCCCCCCCCCCCGCCTGCTCTACGTAAAGGCTACCAGCGATTTTGGATAGGAGAAATAATTTCCATCACTGTGTGTGAACCACATTTTATAATTCCTCTCCCTTTAACACTCTCCTCTTAAGTGTTGCATACACATTGGCTCTCTAAATTAAAATATTTACTCTAACTTCAAAGCACTTTATTATCTTCATGTATATTCTGCTGATTTATAATTTGCCTTTCCAGAGATTAGATTTCCGCTCTGTTCCCTTGGTTGCAAAAGCAGTCTTAAGACTAAACTTTGCATCGTAAAGATGGTTTTGAATTGTCCTTCTTAGTTTTGACTGGTTTGGAAAGCTTACAGGATGCTATTCCTTCTACCCATAGGTCTGAGCTCCTGGAGAAAATATTAGATATAAACCTAATGGATAATTCATAGAAATACATCAATAGATAAGTAGGGGAAATCTCACTAACAGCTCAAGGAAAGCTTAGAGTGATTATTGGGCATAGAAATTTTAATTGACTATCAAACAACTAAATAACCCTGAAAAAATGGCAGATGGGAGAAGATAAAATGTAATGAAATGTTCTGCAAGAGGTCATGGATGAATGGCAAGAATCATGAATAGGAACATGTTACAACTGTCCTAATAACTAATCACTAAAAAATAGAGAGAGTCCTTGATTTACAACTGGTATCATAGTGTTGTGGTTTGTCAGCAGCAGGTGTGGATGGCTGAGGGCTCGGAGAGCGAAGACTCAGATGAGGGGCCTGTGTGTGATGCAGGGATGGGACCAGGACTATCAGGGAGCAGAATGCTGCCTTCGGAGATTGTGGAGGCTGGCAGCAGCGATGAAGAGGTCCCCGAGGAGCCTGTGCCCAGTGCGCATGCATGCAGGGCTGCTCGAAGGAAAGAGCAGCTACAGCAGCACGGGCGACTCTGCAGTAAGGCTGCAAGGCAATGGCCCCTCTCTTAAGAGATAAAAGCCAGCTGAGAAACCAGAGTTCCTTGCAGGAAGCAAAGTTTTTGCACTCAAGCCTTGTGGACGTTCGGAATATCTTGGTTGGTGTTTGGAGACTCTTTGTGTTTGAAATATTTCTTAGTCACTTTATCTAGTGTTCTTGGCAGACTTGCACAACCTTATCAAGGCTCGTTCTTATCAGACACAATTAGTTTGAAACAGCCTTTTAATCGGGAAGGAATGAAATTTGTGAAGAATCATTAAAAGGTTTTGTTGTTACCTCTGTTTTGTGTTTGTTTCCTTGGAACAAGGTTTGGGTCAGAACCCATAGCAACTACAGGTAGTCCTCACCAGAATTTGTTTAGTTCTAAGTTTCAACAGCATTGAAAAAGGGAACTTTTGACCATTTTTCACACTTACAACCATTGCAGCATCCCCATGGTCATATATGTGATGACCCAGAGTGAAACACAAACGTCACAAAATCCAAAACATAAATAAATGTCCTTCAATGCCTCCAACTTGGCCCCACTGTTCAATAATACTCAGTTGGAGATAAAACGTACTCAAAAATAGTCTTTAAAAGAAAGCAATACAGTCCGAACTTAATGAGTAGATAGAGGTTGAAATAAAAAACCAAACAAGCTACAATGACGAAATTTCCACAACGGACCAGGATAAGTAATTACCAAATTCAAGGAGATAACAAGACACAGTTTGTTGGAAGGACGTCAACCAAGATCCCTTCAGACCAAAAGAAAACACGCTTTGTTTCCAGCGTTCGCCAGTACGCAGGTCCAAACTCTTATTCAGTTGTCACAGCTGCAGCCCATGAAGACGATCAAGGCCCTCTGCTCCCGAATAGATCTTTCCCTTATTCTCTCCTCCCTGCGTGCCCTAGGATGGGGAGGGGACGGACCTGGGTCCTCCTCTGACTGCTCAGCCAGCCTCTGCCCTGCTCCAGCCTCCTCCACAACTTCCAGAGCCACACTTCCACTCCCTCTGGGCTGTCCCTCCTCTCCCTCAGAGTCAGTCTCCACCAGGGGCATGACAATATAATCAAAATTCGGACGCTTGGCAACTGACTCACACTTATGACGGTTGCAGTGTCCCCAGGGTCATATGATCAACTTTTGCGACCTTCTGGCAAGGAAAGTCAATGGGGAAGCCAGATTCACTTAACAACCATGTTACTCGTTTAACAAGTGCAGTGATTCACTTAACGTAACCGTGGCAAGAAAAATCGTAAAATGGGGACAAAACTCACTGAACAAGTTTATCAATTAGCAACATAAATTCTGGGTTCAATTGTGGTCGTAAGTTAAGGACTTACCTGCATTCAAAGTTATGATGGTAACTGAAAAAAACTACTTATGACTCGGATTCAAAGTTCGGACAGCCGCCCACCTTCCCTGTAGTCACATGACCACATTTTGGATGCTTGACAACTGTCCTGCATTGCAGCATTCCAAAGTCATTGCGACATCTCATTGTGGGGTTGGACTAGAAGACCTCAAAGGTCCCCTCCCACTCTGTTATTCTGATAGTTTTTAAAAACAGCAGAAAATGGGGTGTTTTTGATGGCATTCGGTCATTGTAAATCCTGTGACTTACAATGGTTTTTTGCTATAAGAAAGTTTTTTTTTCCAGTAAAAAAATGTATCTCTTTTTAATTCTGTAAAAGTAAATAATTGGTATTTACCCCTAGTTTCTGGCAAAAAAACTGCCCATAGGATAGAATCGATTCACTTAATGACCATCATGTACCTTTAAGGACCGTTGCATTTATTTAATAACTATGGCATTTCTTTAATGGCCAAAGTGTTTGTTTAACAACCACTGAAAAAAGGTAATAAAAACATAACTGTAATTCCAGACGCAATTACAGTCGTAAGTCAAGAACTTCCTCTATAGATCTACTCCTGCCATACTATAAGTTCAACTACTAGATAGAGAATAGTCGTAGTATTGCTACACCCCACTGCCCCCAAAATAGGTAGTCAGTTCACTAAACAGAGCTAAAGTAAAAATTTGAATTTTTTACGAATTATACATACTGAAATGCCAATAGGGCTTCTGGAAAATAGGTCCTTGGCTCTTTGGGTAGTTGTGAAGTCCCTTTCTTCTTCTTCTCTTTCTTCTTTTCCTTTGCCATGGCTTATGTCTTTATGAGGTCAAACAAATCTCAAGGTCAAGAAAGATAACAAATTAGGACAGCACATAAACAGTGGGTTGATGATTCCAACACACTTAACAATTTCTCACTTAGCAGCATAAATTCTGGGCTCAATAGATTTCTTAGAAATCATATCTATTAGGTTCCTTAATACTGATTTCCTGACAATGTGTGGTATAGATAGCAGCCTAAATTTATCTAGCTTTCCTCGTTATCTTTATAACAGTTCTAGGAGAGAGGCTTATTTATCAATTGAAAGCTAAGTTTTGGAAATGTTTATGGAGATAGTCAGTCATCCGGAAGGTGCTTTTTCAATCGGCAACTGGATTTTCTTTGTTTTTCCTTGAAGACTTTTCACTTCTCATTCAAAAAGCTTCCTTCAGTTCTTTTTCAGAACTGAAAAAGCTTCTTGGATGAGAAGCGAAACAGTTTCAAGGGGAGGGGGAACCAAGAAAATCCAGTTGCCTTTTGAAAAAGCACCTTTCGGATAAGTTTGGAAAACTAATCTCCAGCAGGTGCAAACTTTAATTATCACAGCTTTGGTTGAATAAACATTTACAACCCATTTTAATCAGAGAAGTTGAGGCAAGGACATATTTGTTAATTCAGGGCTGATATGCTAATATCAATAAGGAATGACAAAAGGTGATAGTTTTAAACACTGTTAATAATGTAAAATAGCTTTTTGTATAACTTCAAAACACCCAGATTTCCCCCCACTAATGAATTCCTTCTATCCTAACTAAAATTAAAGAAGATAAAACTTTTACTCTGTCAAGCTTTTGAAGATTTAAAATGGGTGAAGTCTGGGATAAAAAGAAAGAAAACAAATTTGTATTTCTGACTTGTTGTATATATGAGAGAAAGTGCATTTTTCAAAAAATTCTTCGATTTCTTTCTGATTTCTTCATTACTGGATGCTTTTAAAAAGAGACTGGACACAGTCATTTGTCCAGAATGGTAGAGGGCTTCCTGCTTGAGCAGTGGGTTGGACTAGATGACCTCTAACTTCTATCTCTGTTATTCTGTTCTCTTCTTCTTCTCAACCCTTAAGAAGTCCATTTAATGATTCCAGAAGGCTCTGGCTTTTTAAAGTAGAAAAACCATATCTTGGCTGTTCCTCCCAGTTCTTTATTTGTACTAAAGAGCAATCCAAAACTCAAACACGAACCCTGTTTCTGGAATTGAGATACACTCCCCTTTAAAAATATCTTTTCCCAATTAGAAATTAACATGTTCTGTGTCAAAAGCAATCATGATTCTTCCAGATGACAATGAAAAATAAGGGAATGGAATGTGCTACAAATATCTTTGCTGGCCCCCAAAATACCACAGTTATGGAGTTTGCTGTCCAAGTGTGAATGTCCCCAGAAGAATTCCAAAATATGGAACATATGGCAACACTTTAATAAAACATATTACAAATATTAGTTCATGAACAGTGCAGCATTTTATTAGAACACACTAACGTATTCAATGCATTTATTTCATGTAGACATGTAATGTTTTTTTTATATTAGAAAAGCTGTTTTATGAGAAACATCCAGATTTGGTCAGCCTTACCCAAGTCCCTCTAAAGTTAAAGGAATTTGAGCTACACATTATAATTTATTGTCTTGTTGCGTTCAGAGTAATATCTCACAAATAACTTAGCTTGCATGCTGCTACTCCAAGGAGCAACCAAAAACATTTTAAATACAGCAGAGAATGAAAAGAACTGAGTTAAGAACAAGAAATTCTTCTTTTAAACAGGAATTGGGTTGCTTTTAAGTTTTGCACGAAGGAAGGAAAGTGGGAGAGAGGGAAGGAAGGACGGAAATTAATTAAGGAAGGAAGACAGGCAAAAGGAAGATGGAAGAGTGGATAGAAGGAGAAAGGCAGAAGTGGGCAAGAAAGGGATGAAGGAAAGAAGATCAGAAGGAAAGAAGGAAGGAAAGGGGAAGGGAGAAAAGAAAGAAGAGAGAGGAAACAAAGAGGATGGATGGATGATGGAAGGAAGAGGAAAAAGAAAGGGGAAGGAAAGAAGGAAAGGATGGATGGATGGATGATGGAGGGAGGGAGGGAAGAAGGAAGGAAAGAAAGGAAGACAGACAAAAGGAAGACAGAAGAGTGGATAGAAGGAGAGAGACAGAAGTGAGCAAGAAAGAGGGATGAAGGAAAGAAGATCAAAGAAGGAAGGAAGGAAAGGGGGAAGGGAGAAAAGAAAAGAGAGAGTGGAAGGAGAGAGGATGATGGAAGGAAGAGGAAAGAGGAACAGGAAGGAAGGAAGGAAGGAAAGGGAAGGGGGGACCAGCTTTGCCATCCTTCCTCTCACCCCCTTCCCCACTTCAGACGCCTCCAATCCCGTTGCCAATGCAGGCGCCCACCTCCTGCTCAGCAGCGCCGCCCTCCCGCCCTGCAGGGAACTGCCTTACCCAATTTCTCTCTTCTTGGAGGAAGATGAGGCGGAGGGGAGTCCGCTTCGAGCTGCTGCCTTTTGATTGGCTGCCCCTGCAAACTTTGCTAGTTGCCGGGGTAACCGCGCTAAGACCGACGGCCTCCTCCAGCGATTCCTTCTCCTTTCTAACGGGAGAACGGCTCCCCCTTGTGTCACAGTTTAACAACTGCAGTTAATTTGACACCGATGAAGAAAGCGACGAGCTGGTAAAAACTCCTAATTGGGTCTTCATAAACGGAGTCGTCATTCCTTTTCTTTCCTCTCTATATTGTAGAGACCATACAATATTTTCTTGGAAAAATAAATAAAGAACACGTCTGAAAAGGAGGCAAATCTAAAAGCAATTAACGAGGTTAAAACATGTTTATATGCAAAATGTGTTTGTAAATTAACTTACAAAGGAAAATTCAAGAACAAAACCAAGAAAAATAACTCTAAAGGACTGCTTTCTGAAATAAAGAGCTATCCTTTATAATAAAAGATATGTGGTTGCTGTTCTCCATATACATATTTCAATTATATTCCATGTATTTTTTTTCTTTTATACTGCTTTTATTGCTCATTATTTTTTTATTGTGTTTCAGTACATTTTCCTTTCTTTTGTAATCAAATCAGTTAAAAAAACCTCAGAAGGACAGGAGACACCAGGATTCAGGATGATGCGTCACCTGTAAAGTCATGGAATCAATTATTAACCAATCCATTATCCTCCACTTAGAGACAAACAACCTACTCTCCAATAAACAATTTGGTTTCAGAAAAAAACTATCCTGTAATCTGCAACTCTTACACTGCAAAAACATATGGACGACACAACTCGACCAGGGCAAAGCAATAGATGCAATCTACATAGACTTCTGTAAAGCCTTTGATTCAGTGGTACACGACAAACTACTCCTAAAAATAAAATCCTATGGTATCTCTGGACAACTGAATAACTGGATAGAAGCATTCCTGTCAAACAGACAACAAATGGTCAAAATCGGGAGCGTCCTATCAAATCCAGTACCTGTCAATAGTGGTGTCCCCCAGGGCAGTGTTCTAGGACCAACTCTCTTCATACTCTACATAAACGACCTCTGTGATCATATTAAGAGCAATTGCGTTCTCTTCGCTGATGATGTAAAGCTGTTCAATACCACAGACAATACTGCTACCCTACAAAAAGATCTTGACTATGTATCTGAATGGTCAAACAAATGGCAACTTCAAATCTCAACAAATAAATGTTCTGTCTTACATATTGGCAAAAAAAATCAGAAAATAAAATACAAGCTGAATAGTCAAGATCTTGTTGATGACCCAAGCTCTGTAAAGGACCTTGGAATACTCACCTCTAATGATCTAAGTGCTAGAGCCCACTGCAACTACATAGCCAAAAAGGCATTAAGAGTTGTTAACCTAACCCTACGTAGCTTTTTCTCTGGTAATATCACACTACTAACCAGAGCATACAAAACATTTGCTAGACCAATACTCGAATACAGTTCATCAGTCTGGAACCATCATTACGTATCTGATATTAGCACAATTGAGAAAGTCCAGAAATATTTCACAAGAAGAGTTCTCCACTCTTCTACTCGTTGTAGAATACCTTATGCCACCAGACTTGAAATTCTAGAACTAGAAAACCTTGAATTACGCCGTCTTCGGTCTGACTTAAGCATGGTATATAAAATCATACATTGCAATGTCCTACCTGTCAATGAATACTTCAGCTTCAACCATAACAACACAAGAGCACACAATAGATACAAACTCAAAGTAAACCGCACCAAACTTGATTGCAGGAAATACGACTTCAGCAATAGAGTGGTCAATGTCTGGAATCCTCTACCCGACTCTGTAGTCTCTTCCCCAAACCCCAAAAACTTTAACCTTAGACTGTCTACTATTGACCTCACCCCTTTCCTAAGAGGTCTGTAGGGGGCGTGCATAAGCGCACCAACGTGCCTACCGTCCCTGTCCTATTGTTTCTCTTATTCTTTTATTTTTCTTATATGTACCCATTTCATGTATTCATAACTATGTATACACTTATACTTATTATCTTGTAAACAATTGGCAAATCAAATAAATAAATAAATAAATAAATAAATAAATGATTTTCTGTAAACCGTGTTACGAACTAAGCTAACGCGTTCATTAACAACCCTAATAGTTTTACTTCAACAGCAGGCTCGTAATTCTGCACTTCTGATTGGCCCGCGAATAGCGAGTCGTGATTGGTCGTTTCTGGCTGATCTGATTGGCCGACAGCGGGTCACCTCTGATTGGATGCTTCTTAGAGCGGTAAACTCAAATCATTGGTTGTTTTGACAGCAGCCAGCTCTATAAAAGAGCTGCTGCTGCCCAAGTATTTTGCTCTGTTCTTAAGTCACTAATAAAGAGTTGAAGTCACAGTTCAATGCCTCGTCTCCGTTCCTTGTGCCCATGCTCAGGACTTAACACTGGCGACGAAGGTGGGATGCGGAGACAATAGAGCTGACTGAGCACTCATCGAACAATACAGAGCACGTGGCTGAGAGCGCAAGCAACAAACGGCAGGATGACCAGTGGCGCCATACCACC